TTCTTTTTTTTTTTCCTTTACTTCTCTCTTCTTCTCCTCGACCGACGCCACCACCCCCTAAAAACCTCCATAGACACCGTGACTCCTCCAAACTACCATTTTCTCTTTTTATCTTCTTTTTCCCCTCCATCCCTTTCCTTTTTCTCCTCTATTTTCTTCTTTTTTCTCTCCTTTCCTTCTTCTCCTCCCTTTCCTCCTCTTCTTTATGAGTCCATTGTTGGCGGCAGCTCCTCCTTCATTCACTACACTAAAAAAGGGCATTGCATGTAGTTTTTTTGGCTTTTAGAGGCGGTTATAACCGCCTACTGCATTGTAGAGGTGCTTTTGAGGACCGCGCTGCAATGCCGCCTTCTTTATGGTGCGAGGGGCGGTTTTAGCAACCGTCGGGGATTTCGAGGTGGTTGCTTGGGGTGGTTCAAACCGCCTCAAATTTTTTTTTAGGCGGTTTACGATACCAATATTATGGCCGAGTTTTTTGACGCGTAATTTTTGGGGCAATTTAGAACCGTCTCTATGTTTTGAAAGTTTGCAAATTCAAAACCGTCCTAAACTATAAAATTCATAATTTGTAGAGGTGGTTATAATCGCCTCTTTGTTCTAGATTTTGTAATTCGTGTAGAATAAATGAATTTTGTTCTAAATTTATATGAATTTTATAATTCATCCTTTGAATTCAATTGTTTTTTTTTTATTTTGTCAAAAAATAAATAAATGAAAGAAAAGTTAATCTTGTTGAATGTAAATAAAAGAAAAATTATATAGCTTACACAATATTCTTAAATTTGTAATTATTAAATTCCAAATACATAAAAAGTCATCAAACATTCACAAGTAAAAAAAAATAAAAAACTAACGGATTAAACACTTGTTCGAAATACATAAACAAAATTCCAAATATAATTTAAAATAAGTGGCTAACGTTTTAAAAAAAACAATCATGTTTTTATGGAAATGTTTCATTTCGATAGATGACTTGATTGTGATGAGCGATTAGGAGAAGGAGCATTTTGACCATTATCATCATTGCAAGCCTATCAAAAGCACAATTTGAAAGTAATATATATATACTCATTAAAAATATTTTAAGATAAAAAAATGTTACATATTTAATTAAAAGTTTATGATACCCGAGTAAGATTCATTGAAGTTTATGATACCAAAAAAAGTAATAGAACCTAGCCTCGCATTGCGAGAATCAATATCTATCTCCGGGCATTGCTCATAAGCACCGATAGCCATAGATATATTGCCAACATCTCCGTAAAGAACTCCTACATGTATAGGATAAATAAATGACATTTAGCATAAGCAAATTTGGCACTAGCTTGGGTACGGGTTTGTTTCCATACGTAACGAGAATAAAATTTACAAAGGAAAATTGTCACAAACACAAGTGAAATGTGAGATCAAAATCAATAAAAATCTAAAAAGCAAACTCATTAGAGTTTGTAGTGTATAACCCATTTTTCCTAAGGTGGTGGTGTGTGTGTGTGTGTGTGAGAGAGAGAGAGAGAGAGAGAAAGAGAGAGAGAGAGAGAGAGAGAGAGAGAGACCTAAGTTATTGTATGCTTCGAAGCATATGTGGGATTTGCTATGATAGCTTTCTCAATCATACTCGCAGCGAACATCCATTTTACCTTATAAACGTAAAGGATCCAATCAACAATATGCTATATATATAATCATATATAATCATATAAAAAAACGTGCATCAAGCATGATTTCATCTCGGACACGGACGAGTGTAGACAACACCAAGGTTTTTCCATGACTCGTAAAAAGTTTGGTTTTATTGATAAAGCTAATCGTAAAACAACAATAATGATGAATATTATTTCAATCACGAGAAAAATGAAAACTTAAACTTGTACTAGTATTAGAATTTGCTCGATCACTCTTCACAACTTTATCAAGGTTGTCTCGGTCTTTGTATATTACACCTAAATTGTTGCATGCCTCTCGCACAATGAGGATTGAAGTGGAAAGCGAGTTCATAGAACGTAATTGCTCGCTCAAATAGAATAGATTTACTCAATCAATGAATGATAAAATTACTCGTAATAAAAAGTAAATAAAACTATCTAAAAACTTAGTGTTACTAGATATATAACTTTGTTTACGTGTCGTTATAAATTGGCACACATACAAATGGATATGTAGTCAACAACGGGGTAAAATTCTTAGAAGACCACTCACCATTTCAAACTTCAGCATCTCACCATAAGCAACACCAAGATTATACATAGCATCGAGCATAGTGCCAATTATAATATAAAGCCTTCTTGTAATATGCCACGTCTCAATTTATAGCCCCTTCAAGTTTAACCTAAATATACAAATGACTAAATCCAAAATCAAGCATGTACAAGAAAAAAGGTACTCTACAAAAAGTTTTCATGAAAAGACAAGCTACTTGAACATCTCAATAATACAATTCGACGAGTGAGTAAAATAAACAGAATCTAACGAAAGACTTTGCAAATGTGGATTCACGACTATTATAAGATTAAATATAAAGGATGGAAAAAACCCACTTTTTTTCCTAAATCATCAATGCTATTACCATATTATTCTTTGTAATCTCAAAGTTTCACAATAATATAATTACGCAACAAGCATCAACAGAGGCGGAGCAACACGAAGGTATATACATGTTACATAAAGGACCCAATTGCGAAGTTAAATAAGTTACGGGCATACCTCTCATAACAACCAATGGCCGATTCTAGGTCACCTCTCGTTTTTGTAGATGACACCCATGTTGCAATATGCTTCGGTATACATGGGCCTCTCCATTGCAGCCTTCTCATAGCAACTAAGGGTAGTTTCATATTGCATCATTTCGGAATACACAACACCAAGGTTATAATATACGAGTCGCACATAAGATGTATGATTATTTATTTATGAAGAGTTGAAAATAAAAATACAAGTATAGAATTTTGGGAGTGGGAAGGAGAAAACGTGATATTACAAGCATAATGTGGATCTACTTTTAAGAGCTTCATAATACTTTTGAATTCCCTCTTGTGTATTACCCGAGAGCTTTAAGCTAGTTCCAAGATCTATTAAAATAATGGCTAGGCACTTCAAAGTCGGCTTGTATACGGGATCGACTTTCGAGCCTCGTGATACGACTACATTAGGAAAAAATCACTAAACTTTTATAAATCAAATTTATCATATATAGTTACAAAGCCAAACTACCCAAAGCATGACCAACTCATATATAAACGCATATAATTAGCAAAGACATAGTTCCAATACCTTGTAGAATGCTTTCATAAAATATTATGGCAAAAAGGTGGTAAATACACCCTTATGCATAGAAGCTCTCGAGTTGACTTTGATAGACAAGAATTTCATAGCTACCCGAACATTTCTTTTAAAAAAAAACCCATGACAACTTAATATTCTAAATAGATATGCTAGAAATTCCTTGATTTTTTACCGAAGGAGGACATGAGCTAAAATATTTCAAGTTTATACTTATTATACTCTTCATAACTCTTCTTCTTTAGAATACAAGATTTCCACGGTTCGGATACACCCTCTCAAAACAATCCAATAACATAAAATACATAAAAGAAGAAACTTAAAAAGAAGTGTTACCCCCATTTTTTGATAGAGAAGAAGGTATTCATCTAGCATCTTATGCATATCTTGCCTTTCAATTTCTCGGTATGCCCTCACTTCCTGTTCTTTTAGCTTGCTGGCTTGTAATTTGGTACTCACCGCAACTCAAAAAACACAAATATTAACCTAATTGATTTAGAGGATAGCTATAATTTTGTTTCTAACAAGAAGAAGAGAAGGACGAAGCGAGAGGAGAAGAATGAAGAAGAAAAGGAAAAGAAGCACGAAGCGAGAGGAGAAGAATGAATAAGCAAAGGAGAAGAAAAACCCTATGAGGATAGGGATAATGTAGCGTTCTTATCCCTTTCGAAACCAAAAAAAAAAAAGAAAGAAGAAGTAGATCGGAAGATGGAAGAAGCAAAGGAGAAGAACTCGAGGTGAAGAAGGAAAGCTCTCGATAAGATCTTCCCCTTTCGAACAAAAAAAAAAAAAAAAAACGAAGAACCCAAAGAGAAGAAGGACGCAACAAATTGAGGAGAATAAGCAAATTAAGAAAGAGAAGCTCGAAAGCTCTAAAGAGAGGGAAGATGAAAGAGTTTTTTCCGTTTCAAAACCAAATAAAAAAATATATTATGAAAAAAATTCGCGCCTCTCCTTAAAAATTGGGGCGGTTTTGTAAACCGCCTCAAATTTATTTTATAAAAGTTACGCACAGTATAAATATTAAAAGATTTTGAGGCGGTTTATACAACCACCTCAAGCATTCCGCCTCTATATTCGTTTTTTGTTGTAGTGACTCCTCCTTTTGTAGGCTTCCCAACTCTCCTAATTAAGGTGAGTTCTTGGTTTTTTTTGTTTATTAAATATATATATATATATACTTAATTAGTTTTTTTATTAATTATTTGGTAGTTTAATTTATTTTCTTATTAAGAATAATTTATTAGTTGTTAAATAAGTAAGAAAAGAAAGGGATTAATGAGGATGCTATGATTTTGTGGGAGGTAGGTACTTTCTTCTTTTTCTCTTGCTTTGTTTTACTTTTCTTCCTTCTTCTTCTTCTTTTTCTTTTCTTTTTTTTGTATGTCATGCCATGTTTGTCTAATTTTTATTTATCTTATGCATTTATATTCAATAATACTGCGTTTTGCTTTCTGTGGGTTCATTTTGTTTTGCCTTTCTTTTTTATCTATACTTGTTATTGAGCCAATTTCGCAAAATTTGATGCATTTGAATTTAATATTTTGAGCCTATGGTTACAAACAGCCGTTCATTCTAGTCTATTCAATTGAATTTAATTGCTGATTATAGGCATCCATAAAGAATTTTTATTTTTATTTTTTTTTATCTTGTTTCAAAATTTTGGTTCAAAGGAAGATGCAACTTTTTGTGGTGTTTTATATGGCCATGGTCCAAATGGCCATATGGTTGCAAACAAAGTGAGGGATTCTCTGCCTTTAAAGTTGAGAGCTCAATGGAAGCCAAAAAGTAGCAGCAAGGAACTAAGTGAAGCATGAACAGTAGTGCAGGTGGAAGCATGAATTCTGCTGGAACTTCAGTCAAACAATTTGGGTTTCGAGCATAAGGAAAATGAAAACAACACTGTGTCAATGCTTAAGGAGTCATTCTTGAAGGCCTTCAAGGTCATGGACGAGGAACTCAAACTAAATCCGTATATTGACTACTTCTGCATGCAGTAGGACTACTGCAGTAACCTTGATCAAGATGGTATCTTCTGATAATTAAGAAGTCCATTTATTAAAAACAAAAAAAATCAAAGTGATTTTTGTTGATTTTTATTTTATGGCTATAGGGGCAGGACCTTGTTATTGGGAATGTTGGAGACTCGAGAGCGCTGTTAGGTACCGGAGATACAGATGACTCTCTCATTTCGGTTCAGTTGACTGACGACCACAAGCCGAAGCTTCCAAGTATGTCTCTTTCACCATCTCTCTTTCTTTGCTTGTTTTGTTTCTTTCAGACTGAATCTGGCTCCACTTTTCTGATTGCACCAAGGAAAGAATTGTAAAGCTTTGCCTCTAGTTTTTTTTCTGACTGTTTCTTTTTTACACAGAATTTGGACTGATGTAATAATAATGGAGAATAAAGGCTTTTTATATTAAAGTGAAATCGCTTTTTTCTGCTGGAGTCTAAAATGGATAGAGCTGTTTCGGTGTTTGAATTGGTTGAAATTGTACAAGGGGCCAGTCAAGACCTAACCAAAACAACGTCGTCATTCAAGGCATTACAGTTTCCAAGTCTCAAAGAAGAATTGATTTACATATAGCCTTTTGAAATCTAGAGCGTTTCGCACTTTAAATATTCCTTTCAAATTGTCTGGAAACTTCATTTAACAGCTGGTGTTCAAAATAGGTTCTCTTGTTCAGAATATTGGAGTGCATGTGCGGGCAGAAGGCTGTAACTTTAAATGATATTTAGTCTGGTTTTTTCTAAACCATAGCTAAATCCAAACTAATTTTAATGATTTTGAGATACAAGCTAAAATTAAAAATCATTGCTAAATTCATTTAATTTTTACGATTGTTTAGCAACAGTTTTTAAAAATCATCGTTAAGTTTAACTATTTTGATGACTTTTTTTCTTTTATATGACGATGAAATTTTAATTTTTAACAATGGATAAACCATTGCTAAATTAGTGACTGAATGTTTAAGCCGTCGTAATTAATTAGCAAGAAACTTTTTAACGATAGTTATGGACCCGTCGCTAAATAAAGTTTTTTTTTTTTTTTAATGAATCCAGTAGAAGGCATTATCACAAATTTCATATATTTTCTTTTATTTTTTAAATGCTCAAGATTAATGCTGAAACAAATATCACAACGTTAAATTAAAAAATAAAAATAAAAGAAAGAAATCTATACCAATCTCATTCATAGCGAATTCTGACTCTTACCTTAATTTCTTCTTCTTTTCTCAAATCACACTATATACTCAAACTTTCCAAGTTTGTGTCAAAATCATTTGGCAAAACTAAACTCTATCTCTATGTATAAGAACCGACGGAGAAACATAGCAATTAAGTCCTTAAATTTTCTTGTTCACAAATGGTTCCCTGACGGTGACATGAGACAAGGGTGGCTCCTTGATTGTTCCTGAGGGATAGGATAAAAACTTATAAGACCATACACGATTCAAGTTCTACTTCTTACAAACTTGTAATAATCTCCTCCTTCTATCTTTGTACCGAGCTCATAGATAATCATGTCGAAGTGACTACTCGTATAGCTGAGATTTATCTGACCCATGTTAAAAAAATGCGAACCCAAGTTTCTCGTTAAAAAAAAAAAAAACATTATTTGAGAATAGTAATTCACCATTTTTCGTAAAACCTAGTAATTTTCGAAACATGCACCCTTCTTTTGGTTCAAATTGAAGATGATCATTTCTCCACACTATATTCTTTCAAGATCCATACATGACAAATTATCTCACTGTGTAGAGATGCAGGACATGCACTCTTGTGAGACAACTCGTTGATCAGCATTTCAGGAAGTAATATTTCCTCAAACAACTCCTGCCCTAGATAAACAAAGATGTAAAAAAAAATTGATGTTTCTTGCCTTTCACGTCAAGGCCATGTACAAGGCAAAACCACTTGACCCCATGAAGGAAGATCAAATACCAGCTCAAATGAATCAAGACTAACATCAATGTTCTTCCAAGATCTTGGTTTAAGGGAGTAAACCGGCCCTAACCTGAATCTAAAATCGTCTTCCGTTTCGAATGATCGGAAAAACCTTATAGTCATTAATTGCTCAATAAGTCGAAGCCTAACCCATGATCCCCACATTCTTTCTAACAATGCAAAGTGATCTAAATATTTTGGAATAGAAGGATTCCATAATGTAAAGTTCCATGTTTTGCATACATACCTGGATCGTATCAAATATTTGATGGGTGTTCTTGTACGAATTTAGACCAGCAATTCTTATGGAAGATGTTGAAGCCTTTTTAATTTTAGAAAATGAAAAAACGTATAGCAGCTGAACTTAAACACATAATTAAGGTTTGATTTTGATATATATTGCAAAACTTTACTTGCATTTGCATTGCCGTCTTAAATTTTGTTTTCTTAGGGCAAAAAAAAAAAAAAACTAAACCCATTATTCACACCCTGTAATTTCATCATTTTGTCAAAAAAATCCCCTATTATATCAATTAGAACAGAACTTAATTAGTGTTTTGGTGTTCTAACTTTTGGAGGTTTAACTTGATTGATAAGTAGGTATGTTATAAATTATCATCTAGAGTTCAAATTTTAAAAAGACTATGAGAAAAAAAATATATTTTTTTATAAATTCATTCATTTGGATATGGATTACCTGTTTAAAATCCAATCAAAAAGAAAATTGGTCTTAGTATGTGAATGTTAGTCAAATGCTACCGATTATTTACATCTTTGATTTCATCAATTCATAAAAAAAAAAAAAAAACTATATTTTCAATTCAGTCAATCAGTTGAATACAATTTGCTAATCAATAAAAGAATTACTCATAAAGAAATTTGCTAATCAATAAAAGAATTACTCATAAAGAAAGTGGAATGGGCGATAATATTAATAAAAACTAAAGGAAAGCTGACAATAATAAATCATTTAGTGAATAAGAATACTCCATTGGTTGAAATGAAAAATACAAATGCTTAATTAATCGAAGTATTAACATAAAAACTTTTTTGACGAATTGGTATACAATATGGAGATAATAAATTTATTATCAACAGATGTAATTTAATGGTGAGAGAATTGTTTTACTTTTATCAGGACCGAAATTTAATTTTTATTATTTATGAATAATTAATATAATTATTTTTTAATGATATCAAGTTTAAGCTAATTTGATATAAAAAAAATAGTTTAAGAGTCGATAAAAATTCATGTATATTTTGGAGTTGGTTTAGTTTAGAAAACGATAGATATGCTATTAATACATACACATATATTAATTTTTCCCTCACAATCTTTCTGGTGAATTCAAATCCAAAGAAATTTCCTCTTCTACCTATTCCAATATAATCCGAACTCAGAAAATTAAGGATTTTGACCCCCAGGCTTGCCTTGAGACTAAACGTAGTGGACGTCCATTGGGATAACAACTTGGAGAAGGTCCTACCTTTTCATGGTGAATCCTATAGAGTTAGGGCTTTTGTTTTAAAACGGCCCACATGAGTATCACTTGAGGGCTTGGCGCCTTTCCATCTGGCACGTGAAAAGAGAGCCCAACGCATGCTTTTCTGCATTCCTTTTATGTACTCTCTGTGGACTGTAGTCTGTACTTACTCCCTTTGTCTTTCTAGAAAAGGAGTACTTTTGGTAAATGATTTTCACTAATTTTTGACTTGTTTATGTCTTGCATATTTGTTTTTAATCACAGAAAAGAACCCAAATTTCTTTCTTCAAAATTTTCTGCTTTCTCTTTGGTACATTCCTTGTTCTGGGTTTTAGTTGAGGTTTTAATTTAGTGATTTTTTTTTTAATAAAAAATTTGCCTGAATTTTGGGATTTCTTTAATTTGATTTTTAGGGAATTTTTTTCAGTTTGTAAGAGAAATTTTTGATCGTTCATGTTTCTTGGTTAAGAATTTGGTATTTTGAGGGTTTTTTTTTTTTTTTTTTGTGAAAGATTAGATGGTGGAAGTTAATGTGCTAATGCAAAGTGAATGATATTCTCTTTTGTTTGAATTTTAGGGCTTTTTGAGTTTTTTTGCTTTGTTGGTGTATTCTTTATGTTATATAAAGATAAAGTTTGATCTTTGTTAGTTTCTGCATTGAAAGTTGCTTGCTTTGAAGGTAGAGTTGCTGAAATTTAGAAAAACATTAGAAATCGCCATCTGGGTATCTGGTTTTATTACTTTTGTGCGTTAATACTCTGATATTTTAATGCATGTTACTGTATTTTATGTTTGGTTTTGTACTTGTTTAACAGTAAGAAGAATAGGAAAAGAAAAGGAACGTAATAAAGTTCCATCGTTGTTGAATTTGTCTGAATTAAGTATCATTTCTGTTCTTGTGCCATATGATTGAAAGTCTGAGCTCTCGTTATGGTTTTATTTGATATTTGTTTTAAGGAGAATGAAACTGAGGTTCTTAGTTTTGTCTTTAAAAGTAGGTAGCTTTTTAGTGATATGCAGTTAAGGAATTGATATTATGATGTTATGAAGCTGCAGGTATTCAGTATCTTTACAACATAAGTGACTAAGAAAAATGTTGATTTTGGGATAACTTTGTGGTTTCTATCTCGATTATCATGTAGACCTTTTTAGGCTTTTTTCTTATTGTGATGAATCTTTTGAGTCTGAATTTTTGTTCCATTGTTCTCTTTGCCCTGTAGATATAAGGATTTTAAGGGAGAGTTGTACTTCAATGGCTTCAGAAGCCATGGATGTAGCAGATGCATGTCCAACTGAGGATATTGTTGCTGCATTATTAGAATACCTGGTTGATCCAAAACTACAAGGAAAATCTTCAGCTCAGGGAGATATATCACAAATTGCCCAGGAATCAATTGCAAAACAGGTGCTTTTTTTTTCTTTTCTTCGACTCTTCATTTAATGTTCATGAATCTTTTCTCTGAACTGTGCGAAATTATTAAGTAAATATATTTGTGGTAGAAAATGAAAATTTTAAATAAACATCTTTTCTTGGAGAGCATATTTTTGTTACGAGAAGTGCTACCCATTACCTGCAAATGATGGTATCCCGCCCATCCAACAGGCATGAGAAATACACACACTCACATGAGGGGTGGGCCCCACGCATGACTGTCGGATAGGCACGGTTTCTTCATTCGTCAATGATGCCTGCACTTCTCTTTTTGGTATTATATCGACTCTTAACAATCTTGACCTACCATTCAATAAAAATATTTATTGCCATTTCATGATTTCGAGTTCCTATGAAGTGTGGTTTGTCTGTAATGTTCGGGCCAACTTAGAGGAAGTGAGGGTTTTAGGGGAGCTCATTGACAAAGTTATTGAGCAAATCAATGAATGTCGGGCCCTGGATGAGGTTAGATGAGAGGAAGATGCCCAAGAACGAGCAGAAGTCGAGGCTTAGGCTCAACTGGTTAGCCCAACTATAGGGGGCCTTGATTCATTTAGGCCAAAGTATTGCTATGCTTTTTGTGCAGTGTCTTTGTGTATTTTAGTTGTTTCTCTAAACAGTTCTTGAAGATCTATGTGTTTCTTTGGTCCGTCCTTATCCTAATAAAATTATGTATACTGTTCCAAAGACAGAAAAATAAGGGCAAACAAACATTAGTTCCTGAAATAATTCTCCTCCATGAGAAGCTAATGCTATCTAAAGTAGGCGTGACTTATACTCACCGGCCCTTTTAAAGCAGCACAATGGCTTCATCCGAAGCAAACCAGGTGAATGGAGGGGCATTGGGGATGGGTTTCGCTTACACCAACCATGTTCCATGTGGTATAATGCTATAAAGAAACCTACAAACCTTGCATCAAACTCTATGGAAACTGAAATTCCCTTTCCTATTTCATGTACCATAATGATCGACCTTCGGGGTAGCGTCAATCATCTTTAACTAAGGAAAAGTACAACCATCCACCTTTTCCTCGCACTTTTTCTCATATGTTAGGATGCTTCTTATCTTAGCCTGTACGAGGATATTATCACAGGTAAAGTTTATAAAAAATGTTTCCACACATGCTTTGACTATTGAATTTATGAGGGATATTGAACTACTAAATTATGGTAAGTTACTGGGAAAGAATGTTCAAGAAATAAGGAGAAAAAAATTAAAAAAAAAAGGAAAAAAAAAGAAAAGAAAAAAGAGAGGGAGCTTATAAATATGCATTTATATATTAGTGTATGCCTCAATGCTGTTCTCCATTTTCCAGAGAACCCTTCTTCTGGAATTATGTGTCTCCTAATACATACACTTATCTGTGCTTCATTGGCTCATTTGTGCTGAATAGTTGTATGTATATACTCGCACCATTGCTCTCTCTCATCCCTTTGCCAACATCTTTTAACTTCTCTTTCTTTTTTTCATAATGGATTCCTCCAGGTTCATGCAGTTGTTTTATTGTACAACTACTACCACAGGAAACAACATCCTCAGCTTGAATTTTTATGTTTTGAGAACTTCTGCAAGCTAGCTGTGGTTGTCAAACCTGCTTTGTTGGCACATGTAAGACTCTTCCAAAGATCAAATGACACTGAGTCTCAACCATTTCCATTGATGGAGGAAAGAATTATGGAGGCATGTAGCATATCTATGAGTTTAGATGCATCGGAAGACGATCTAAACATTGATGGATGGCCAATTTCCAAGGTTGCAGTTTTTTTAGTAGACTCCAGGAAGGAGAATTGCTTTTTGCAGTTTGGTTCCATCACTGATGGGGTCTGGTCAGTGATTGAGAAAGATGTAGATGGCTCTAATGACAGTCCAAAAGGTACCATGGATTCTAATCCTGTAACTGTAAACAAAAAGAAACGAATTATTAAAAAACCTTTGAAAGGTAAATCGAGCAGTAATGGAGCTGGCTTTCAGCAGTTTGCGTTTTCAGCTGTCAAGGAAGCAACAGGTATAATATGTTAATTTTATCATGTTAAAACTGATAAGTAGATTGTTGTTACTTGTGCATTTCCATTTAACCAAGTTAAATTATTAATCATGCTCTCTGCGTGATGAGTTTAGTGAATGTAGGCTGTTAGCTTGTAATTTAAGTGCCTAATCCTTGTATTCTCTGACCTTTCCTGCAGCTGTAGTTGCTAGAGTGCAGTATTACTTTACTTATTCTAAAATGTACCTGATTGAATATGATACACTATTTTATTTTTGAGTATTAATTTTTACTGGGCTGTGTTGTATGGGGACAGGTATTGATCAGAGTGACCTTATGGTTTTGGAAAGCCATGTCACATATTCTACAAGTAAAGAAAAGACAGCTGCTTATTTTTATATAATGCAATTAACCAAAGCAGACAACAGCGTTGCACTTCAAACTCCGATTGAGGATGCTATAAATAGGTCTTTTCCCTTCTTTTCATTTTACCCTTTAACCACCCAACAATGCATTCAATAATTTTTTTTTTCGTTAGTGTAAAGGTTGCATGTTGACTACCAGTTGGATGGACCCGTCAATTTCTTTGGATCAGCATCACATTTGAAATGGTTTAATTGATTATCATATAGGCAATTATGAATTCCTAAGTTACACATTAATACACTCACATGATGTAATTATAGTTAACACCAAGACATGTTTGGTTGAAACCACTGAGAACTGGATTACCATTTAGCCATTATCATAGTGCACTTTCCTCGTCTTTTTTATTTTTTCTTGATTGGTGAGATTTATAACATCAACCAGAGTCTACCTTACAAAAATCATTTAAATATGATGAAGTGCCGTAGTATGTATTCTCTTATGATAGTGGATCATAACACTTTATTGATATTCCCTTCTCATGAGGGTCTACATTGCCTCACTGGTGGAATCATTATTTTATTGGCTTGTACTAATCTATCTTTGAATGTAATGGGGATGATACATAGTCTCAATGAATAATTACAATCCCTGTTTTTTTTCTCCGATTAAAAAGTCAAGAATATTTTATGGTGCTATTTCTGGAAGTATGATGCTTCCACCACAATATAGAACCCACCATCTGTTTAGATTGTGTGAAATCATTCGTGCTAGAATAGGACTTCATTTGATTAGAAATGTGCTGAGTAATTGTAGAAGAAAGAAAATCTCTGAAATTTCTAATGCAGCATCTTATATTTGCTGCGAGTAGCTTGCAGGGCCCTCTGGCCATAAAGAATTCGATCTGGTGGACACATACCTCAGTTGTTGAGTACTTTCATTTGCTTCCTTATGCTGAGGTTCTATCAGACTGGCTTTTGAGGTGCGTAAAATTCTGGAATGTACTATTGTCTGAGCTCTGCTAAGTGGGAATAACTTATTAGTTATCTTCTTTAGGTGGTGCATAGCCACCAGCCAACTTTGCATGCACATGGACATCCCATCTATAGATTTAGTTTACAGGATTTTTTTTTTTTAATATTTCAATTTATTTTTTTAATTTTTTATTTATTGCTATATGTGGTATTGTGGTTTCTGTGTCTATGGATGAAAAAAAAATTGGTTGAACTAAATTTAATCTTGTGATATTCTGTTATCCTGACTGCAAGTGTCGTGGATACATGGCTATACTTTAGGCACTAGATTGTATGATTTCAAGGACCGCTATTTGGTGCAATGATAAAAGACATGCATTGTAACCGCATTGTGTCTGTTTGGGTCTTGAATGTAGCCCCATTCATGCAAAAAAGTTTACTGGTATAACTCTCTTAAAAGTTCTCTTCCAAGACATCTTTTCTGTGGGATCATGACTGGCTGTGGCCTTTTGCTATATGGTATACTTTCCTTCTCAGTGCCTATGGGTTGCCATGGTGCCCCTCGTATGAATATTGATTTCAAACCTAGTCCTGGCACCTGTCATTAGCTCGTTTTCTTGGCTGATTAGGTTTAACCTTTAGTTTTTTATCCATTTAATCTACCGATTTATTCTCCCCTTGTATGTTATCACTGAAATATCCATTTTAAAGCTAATATCTTGACACTAGAGTGCCTTAACTTGGAATGCATGTGGCTGAATTTTAACTATTAGTTAATGATCTGAAATTATCTAGAACTCAAAATCATAAAGAAGTCTTTCAGCTATAACCCATGTATTTTTGTTGCTTACTTTCCATTCTTTTTGCTTTTAAAATCTCTGAACGTTGTCACATAGATTGCTGCAGAAATAGGTGGCTGCTCAAATAATGTCAATTGGGGAGAATAACTTTATAGGCCTTTTCCTCTTATCATTTTGATTTTTGTAACTATCTTTCACTTATGATTTGGAGATGAATTCATCTTCTAAACAGGGAAGGGCTTTCTAATCGTGTGCAAGTTCAAAGTGGGGGATTGGAAACTGTAAATGTAAGCAGCACTGATAGGACTGAAAGACCTTGTGAAGCAGAAGTCTCAGAAAGATTTCATAATCATGTAAATGATAGTGCCGCAGAGCTTCGTGGCAGTGAGGCCATAGCTCGACCTTTAAAGCACAATGACAACACTGGATGTCTTGGCAGTGAGATGAATTCATTAAAGCAGAATGACAATGATACATGTTGCATGGTTGATTCGACTGGTGATGATGATAGGCCTCGGAAGATAGATGTGGATGAATCTCCTGTGGCACGTACCCAAAATAAATACAAAAGAAGAAATGTTTCTAGCAAATACCAACCTCAAAAGTGCCTGAAGAAGACAAATACAGCGGTTAAGTGTTTAAAGGGCTCGACAAGTAAGAAGATGGAAACTGTGGAGAAGTGTTCAAAGGGCTCCACAAGTGATGATAAGATTAATGTTAGATTTGTAATACGTGCGACTATATGCACATGCCTTTTAGTTGGATCACAAGATGAATGTTTTTAATTTTAATCTTGTAAAGCTTGTCTTTTATTATTGGACTGTTTGTAATATAATGCCGATTTACCACTGGGTATGCAGGCTGACATGGTTGATCAGACAATAAGTCAGAAAATTACTGGATGCACGGGTGCAGTTGTTGCCAGTGGAAACAAAAACTGTAATTACTGGATGCATGGGTGCAGTAAGAATATGGAAACCGTGGAGAAGTGTTCAAAGGGCTCAACAAGTGATGATAAGATTAAGGTTAGATTTGTAATACATACGACTATATGCAGATGCCAGCTAGTTGGATCACAAGATGAATGTTTTTAATTTTAATCTTATAAAGCTCATATTTTATTATTTAACTATTTGTATGTAACGCGAATCTACCACTGGGTATGCAGGCTGACATGGTTGACCAGACAATAAGTCAGAAATTTACTGGATGCACAGGTGCAGTTGTTGCCAATGGAAACAATAACTGCAACAATATTGATGCCAATGGAAACAAAAATTGTAACAATATCGTTGCAGATCAAGATAGGTTGCCTGCAACTGATCATGCTGTGGTTAAATGTCAATCCAACTCCAAGGATCTTGTCAAATTATGCACCGTTTTAGCTTCGAAGGATAAGGAACTTTCACATACTGCATTGACATTTGTTTTAAGCAGAAGGGATAAATTGGTATGACCTTTTTCTTTAACATGCTATATCTTTTTCTACATCAATCATTCCAAAAGAACAATCACATGTCAAATACGCAGTTAGTAGTGACTTTATTTGACTGTGTTTGCTGAGTCAGTCATCCAGAACCTGCTTGCTGGCAAGGTGATCGCGATCTATGACATCTGCCCATCCTAGACTAGGACCAGTCAACATATATCCTTCAATGTATATGAATAGCGTGGCAAATGTACTACATTCTTGCCACCACATGCCACATAGCTTGAAAGTTTAGTTTCTAATTTGTTCTAAAATTTGTAAACATCTTCCAAATTTACCACATTGGAAACTTCCATGACTGATCTCCATTTGTGTCTGCAGTCTCTGCAGCAACGAGACATCGAAGATCAGATTGCTCAGTGTGATAAAGACATCGAGACAATTTTGAAGGGTATTCTTTTTTCTTGTTTTTCGATTCATTCCAGTTTCTTTTCTTAAACTTGTGTCATATTTTACCTTCAATTTTAAAATCGTGTATTCAAGATGATATACGTGTAAGAATCTAACTACAGGCTCTATGATCTCTACGATCTGTTTCAATTCTGTTCTTATAGAACTGTTCGCTCAAAATGAGTAGTCATGCCCATTTTCAGAAAAGCGTGATTGAGTTTCAATGAAAAGAAGAATGAAATATAACTTAAATAATAGAAACAAGAAACATGGTTGAAAAATTCCTTCGTTGCACGGATCTGTCATTAACTACAGTTGATTGCTCTAATAACAAGGTTTCCATGAATTCACTGTCAGGTCCTTACATTATCATAAACTAATTTTTGCTTTTGTGAAGATAAGCATTACTAGATGTCTTGTCTACTTGTTTTACTTGTTTTGTTTCCTACATGTTTTACCGTGATAACCGATGGATCACACACACACAATAGGAGTTGTACAGCTTATTTTGATGTTCTTGTTTCTAATAGCATAAAATGTACTTTCATTTCATGAGAATTTCAATCCAGTTTCAACCAGGGTCCAACAGCATGTCTAAACTTGTTATTATTATTACCATTCTTATTTATTTTTTACCATCTTTTCATCGTGACATATTATAGGTGGTGAAAATAATTTGTCCCTGAAGATAGAATCCCTTATAGAAGGCTGTAATGGCATATCCCTGAGAAATGCTTCTCGGGAAAGGGCTTGTGAGGACCAATGCTCGTCTCCATCTGTCAAGAGGAAGAGTTTGCCTGACACTGTGCCCAATATGAAAAATTCATGTCAGGCAAGTTTGTACTAGAGATCTTTAATTTGTCTCATTCCTCACTATGAAATATCCATGCTAGCATAAAACCATGCGAGAATTTTCTAAAAGCTTGGTAGATCTAATTGTGTCATGATTTTGTAGGGTGAGCCTCAATTTATCTGAAAAACGTAAAAAAGCCTTGCAGTATTGAAAACTATAGTAGCTACGACGCAAGTCTATGAATGCCCAAGTTATTGGAGCAACATTCTGACAAGTATTTTACTCCCGACCATTGTAATCCTGATGTGGTGCCCATGTGGCATCTTTACATCATTCTATTGGGTAACGTGTATAGTTAAGGGTCGTGTCCTGCGAATCTGGTGCTTGAAGCATGCTGCAGGTAATGAAAACAATGGCATGCATGCTTCACGCACCAGATTCACAGGACACGGCCTTAACTATACGCATTACCCAATATAATGATGTAAAGATGCCACATGGGCACCACTTCATGCATCAACCATTGGATGGTATATTAGCATGTTAAGTGGACTTGAATCCATTTTTTACATGGTTTCATTTGGCAGGACTTGGATGATGTTTGTTACAAGCACAACTGGATTTTACCTACTTATCATGTGTCATCACAAGACGGTAAGATAATTGAGAGTAATATAATTTCCAATTCCCCATCAATGTGTCAAGAACTGAGGCTAAACACAAGTTTCTTTTCATTTGAAGGTGGATTCCAAGCTAATGTAACTGTTAAAGGAACAGATTTCAAGTGGTCGAGTGGGGGTGACCTGTGTCCCCGCCCCCGTGAAGCGAGGGAATCAGCTGCGCAACGGATGTCGGCCAGACTGCAAAACATGCCAAACAACTCTTCGTAGCTCTATGATTTTCAAGCTGAGGGGCAAGGAAAGGAAATATTTTCAGTCTTTGAGAAAGTTAACCTAGGCCTCTGTTATTTTGTAATTAGAAAGAAAATAGCTTTTACTGATGTTGTGCTCCTCTCCCCTTATCACTAAAGAAACTCCAAGAACTAACCATAGTTAACTAACCTAAAGCATCATATTTTGACGGTTTTCTTAATCCGCATTAGAAGTTGCATTAAATTTGTTTCAAGTTCTTCAGCATATGTAAGGGCATATCACCATCAGCCACCACAATTCTAGTGGCGCAACCGTTGTATAATTGTTTTTTTTTTTTTGGTAATTAAAAAATAGTAAAATTGTTTTGCAACGATAACAATGTTGGGAGAGAGAGAGAGAGAGAGAGAGATTGCTTTCACTCAATAATTTTGCATTGAAAAGAAAATCCCGACTTTACATCAACTACCTGCAAGATTTTTTTTTCTTTTTTGGGTTCATTTTTCATTTTTTTATCCTGTTAAAGGGAAAAGGTATTGAGTTCAGAAATTCGCAGAGTCCTCTGTAAATTTCACCAAAAACCTCAAAATTGAGTATTTGGGGCCATCTTCGACTCCTTTGTCCTTGGTTTCAAAGATGCCCTTCATTATACGAGTGTAGAGCCTTTCAAGCAGCGGAATGTCGTAATTTTCAGTGCGCTCGATGAACAGCCGCTTGATGTAATCCACATGGCCTGATATTTCGGCATCTGACATTGTAACATCTTGGGATCCACTCCCTTTGGTATGACCAGAAGCTTCTCCTCCTGAAGTTTCATGTCGGTTGTCATCAGCTGAAGAAGACTCCGGCCGGTCAAGATTCATATCATCAGCCCCAAGTTCCTCTGGTGGATTTGCCTGTACTGAATCTTGATGCCGTGATTTATCTTCTGCTGTTGAAGCTGATTTTCATGGAAGTATAACATGATCAGAAAGTTATGTCTTAAAAGGGATCATGCAAGATTAAGAGTTCCCTCAAAGAAAGAATAACATTTAACGAATCCAGGCAAATTAGGAGTTGAAAACTTAAAATAAGGGCATCAGCTTAAGAGGAAATATGGACTGCGAGATCAAATTCATAAATGGAATAGCTTTCTGGCTTGGAGATTTAAATGTCAATATGTACATGAGGTTTTCCTAAATATGATGGTAATTTGAAAAATTAACACAACCGAAATACCTTCTCCATGGGGGTATGTAAATATATGACGTCAATGGCAGAGATTAGTGTACTTGCTATCGATCTATAATATCAATATACTGCACCCGTAGTTCAAGATGTAAAATATGTGCCTTGCAATTTAAAGGCTATTTCAAGATATTGTTCAGATCATTGGGAAAAACAAACGGCACCATCAGAAAGAAAAGATAAAATTACCTATGTACATACCAGCATGAGTTGCATCAGCATTTTTCTTCTGCCTTTTCAAGACCTCGTAGCTTTGATCCAGATTAACATCAGGCTGGACGTTACGGAGCCGGGCACTTGTTCTAGTAACAGTTCCCAGCTGCACAACTGTGGTTGACGGAAAAATAGATCCCCCTAAATCATCTGGTACTTGCACTGGACCCCCTTGGGCAGCAATCTTGTCACAGTATGTGATAAGCGCAGGGTCCATCTGTGACAACATTCCATGCACCTGTAAAATATTACGAAAAAAGTTTCATCCATGATGCTTTAGGTGAAAAAGAACGAGGATAGAGAAAAACATTGAAGATCAAAGAGTATGCGAGCTTACTGCATCCCGAAGCTCATAACCTCTACTGACGATCCTAGCACCATTATAATCATCTCCATTGTACACCTACATTAGAAACATACACCAAAGTTAAGCATAAAAAAAATGCACTGGGAAAAGGTATAGTGGTGTTTGTTTTTCAATGGAATAACAGCTGAACTAAAGGTGTGCAGCGAACAAATCATGAAAGGAAACCTAGAAATAGAATTATATGCCGTTAGAGACCAAACACCTTTGCATTGGCCACAATGAGATCAATGTCTTGCAGGAATGCTGAGCATGTGATATATTGACCAGAGTCAACACGCTGCAGCATAGTAGCCACATCCATAGGGTTCTGTATTATAGAGCGATAGTTTGGAGCATCCTCATCAGTGACAGGATAATGGAAGGCACTAAATCGCTTGTCATACAGCATCCTGCATCAAAGAAGTCAGAAGGTTTAGAATATGAATGGTGCAAGGAAATATGAATACTGGACAAAACCGATTTTTAATTAAAAAGCAGGGCACGCTGTAACCAATTGAGTGGGTTCATCACAGGGTGCACCATCCACCCACCTTTTCTTGACCTCATTCTCACTCAGACCACTTTCATTGCTCTGACTCTCTCATTTGGCTCCTTCCATCTCTTTTTGGTGTTTCACCGCATGATTCTCTTATCCTCTTATTTAATTTGACTTTTGATTCTCTCCAGCAAAAATTAGGGGTGATTTGTTCAAAAGATCAGAGATTGAGAAGAAAATCTTGACCAGTGGCTAAGAGGATTATGGCAATCCCAAGTTTACTAATTTTTGGCAATCTATATTTAGCTTGAATTAAGTAGACGAATTGAAACATGCTCGACAATATCTGCATTTTATTTAGAACCAACATGCTGAATCACATTGAGGCCATTTCAATATTGATGCAAAGTGAAACTGCAATTCAAATCTAAAATTTCTAGTCGCAGGAAGGAGTAAATTCCATGTTGCGTTGCTTTGAAGTAACATGCTCTATGATATCTGCATTTGTTTAAACTATTAAACTTGAGACCATTTCAATGTGAACTAAACTACAACTATAATCCTAACCTAAATTTTTTATTGAATTAAGGCAGTAAAATCATATTATTTTGAGGTAATCTGTGATGTGTGCAAAACCACAAGTGCAATGTCAAACATAACAATCTTCTATGGACAAGACTACAAGTATGGTCAGCTTACCTGTTGCAAACATCTCTGAGGCACATCCGCATTCGGCGTAGAGCATGCTGCTCAGCTTCTATCTTGGCTTTTAACTCTGATACCTTTGGGCCACTTTCCACCTTTTGCGCCTTAGGAAGTTCAGGAAGGGGTGCTGACCCTTGAGATTTCTTGGCAACATCCTCTGAGACAACTGATAAGGCAGCTTCAATTAAACGGTCAAAGAACAAAGATCTGTCTTGAGTTGATGGTTTGCCTACTTGATAGCTGACAACATAAAGTCAATTCATAAATAAAATACTGGATTTAGCAAGAAAATACATAGCAGTCGTCATTATATAAACATGGCACATTAAGTAAGGTTCCCAAGACATAACAGCCACAAGGAGACGAAGTCTTTGCAAGTACCAAGTACATGCCGTGCATCTGTTTAAATGGGTGGAAAAAACAACTTAAAGGGTATACAAGCTTGCACTGAAAGTCTTTTGATGCCTAAAGATGGCATTCATATCACCTATGATGATTTACAATGATTCCATTAACTCTTAAAATAAGCATAATAAGGATAAATAGTCCTTTTATTCTGGCAAATATGAGTGAATAAATAAAAATCACCAGAATCTTGCGTTAGCCAAACAAGAATAGATGTATAAAGTAAAATATTAAAATGATGATTAAAGTAATACAGAAGGACTTTAAATTTAAAAGATTACCAGCAATTAAAATTATTTCATAATGATTATAAACAGCAGTACTAGAATTGCAAGACAGTTTCGTTCAAATAAGTAAAACATACACTGAACGATCGGGAAATACTGATGATGCGCCATCAATCTCAGCAAGTGGAGATGAAGAGCTTCCAAGTAATAGAATGGGTGAGTCAGATGGCAATTCTTCTAACAAAGTCAGAAGAACAGCCCTGAGCTGTTCATGTGCCTGCAACATCAAGTTTGTAAAGCTCAGATAAAAGATGACGCAAGGTGATCATTGACTTTAAGGTACTTAATGACAAAAAAAAACAAAAAAAAAGAAAAAAATCACTGAAAAATCATACAGTTTATGCAAGATTGTCAACTGTTTCAGACTAGATATAAGAATACAAATCCCTTGGGTTTGTAGAAAAAATTAAGTGCATATACTAAAAAAATATATTACTGCATTTTCCTAAAGTTACTACAGGGAGGTACGTGCTTACATTATCCCACCAAAGGTCGAAGTGAGGTATGTAAAGAATGGATGGCGTGGTTCTCCGTGCTTCACCAAATATGTGCACCAAAGCTTCCTCCGGTGTCTTTGCACTAGGATCCGAAAGCAGAGACGGAAGCCCAAGAGAATGAACAGGAAATTTCTCCAGTTCATGTAACACTGCAGGCCCAAGATGATCCTGTTAAACTAAATCAGTAAGTACTCTTAGTTTGGCGTTTCCATAATGATCAATATTCCAAAGATCAAGAGGTTATAAGATAATTACCAGACCAGAACCTTCACAACCGCAAAGCAAAAGCCGTGGCCTATACACAAGAGGAATTGCAGATCCATAGGAAAGCATCGAAAGCTTGATAAACTCTGATGACAGTGCAAGGGGTGGAAATATATCGGATAGGCAATTCATGGTTTGCTGGAGATGACTTTGCAGACATGGTGCAACTACTAAAGACAATGGCCTGGAGTGCACAGCAGCGCCTCTATGAGCTGCAGGGGTAATTGTGGACATGGCATCGACAAAATGATACTTTTCAACCTTTACTGAATCAACATCAATCACAAACTTATCATCACTTGTGTAAACTTGAGGGTATTTTTCACGGAAAGCACGGATGGCAGCTTCAGTGCATAGTGCCTTTAAATCTGCACCACAATAGCCAACACAACTAGCAGCAAGTTCTGACTTTAGCTCCTTTGAAGGAGGATGCTTCCACTTGCGGGTGTGGATGTCTAATATTTCAGCACGGGCCTCACAACCCGGCAATGGAAAGTTGAATTCTCGATCAAACCGACCAGGGCGACGCAAGGCTCCATCAATGGCATCAACTCTGTTGGTTGCTCCAATCAAAACAACTTGTCCTCGAGAATCCAGACCATCCATCAAGGCGAGTAAAGTAGAAACAATAGAATTGTGAATCTGCTCTTGTTTGCTAGATCTAACAGGAGCAAGTCCGTCTATTTCATCAAAGAAGATGATGGAAGGCTGGTTTCTTTGTGCCTCTTCAAAAAGAAGTTTCAATTGCCTTTCAGCCTCACCAACCCATTTGCTGAGTACATCAGCACCCTTGCGCATGTAAAAACTAACCTTCTGGCCAGCTTTTGAAGCAGCACAAGCTAATGCCCTGGCAATTAATGTTTTTCCAGTACCAGGAGGACCACATAACAAAACACCTCTTGGTGGGGTAATGTGATAACTGGCAAAGAAATCTGGATATAACAAGGGAAAGAACACCATCTCCTTCAGAGAATCAATATATCCTGAAAGCCCACCTATGTCATCAAAAGTTACACTCTCATCAACCTGTAAAGGTTGGATATCTGCCCCTCCCTTTGAGCTAGGGCCAGCAGTTTGTGCACCAGACGTCAAGCTTGCTAAAGCGTCACCTTGATGGCCCCAACCAGATGCAGCAACATTCAGTCCCCATGCTGTTGTCCCATGCATCTCTAGTCCCCCAAAGAGCCAAGGTGGTCCAGATCTGCTCCCACCTCGAGCCCAAGGAATAGCAGGACCTTGGTCCAGCTCATCCACAAGAAGGGAATCATCAGAATCCTCTGCTCTTGATAGACGATGACGCTTGAGAACCCTTGATCCCCCTTTCTTACATCCCTATTGACCTTTGTCCCCATTCCTTGATGCAATACCCTTCGCGGAGATCGCGGTCTTTGCTTACCTTCCTCCATAGAGAGCCTACGAACTTCTGCACGGTTTCGGAGATCATATCTCCTCCTCCCATCCTGTTCTTCTTCCTCCTCCTCACCTTCATCGTCATCACCATCTTCCTCTCCTTCATCTTCATCCTCACCGTCACCCTCTCCATCAATCTCATCCTCAGCCTCATCATCATTCTGACCATCATCTGCATCATTATCATCAATATCATTCCCATTTTCAGTCTCATCTTGGACAGCCTTCTCCTCAGAAGTATCTTGCTCATCCCCAGAGTCTAAAGCCAATGGCTCTGTTGTGATTGTTCTTGAACGACGGGGCCGCAGTCCTTCACGTCGAGGCATTGATTTAGTCTCCACAATTTTTTTACGCTTGGAAGATGACAGCTCATCTTGACTTGCACCATGAATCCGATTCCTCAATGGTCGAAATGCAGGTCTCTGAAAATAATGTTACCCAAAGCTTTACATGAGGTGAAAAGTGGAGAACAAATCATTTTTACCATCTCAAGCTTAAACCTTTACAAGTTGAGAAAAGCTATAGGAAAGTGTATAAACAAAAACTGAGGACTTGCAAGAGTATAGATTCTAACCATCAAGTCTTCATCCTCTGATCCAGAACTATCGGTGTAATCTTCCAGATGAGCAGAAAGCCTCCTCTTTCTTGTTGAGCGTCGAAGATTGGTTGGAACTGACTGTGACAACATAAATCAGATTTTAGAATCCATAACATGAATAGTAATATGGAATCATGGACTAAACTAATCAACATTAATAGAAAAGAGAAACATTCTATAAACTCGTCATCTTGCATTTTCAATGTCCAGGAAAAGTCCCAAAGATGGAATGAATAAAAAGAGAAATGTAGTTACAGGAAATATGGGCACTTACATTGGCATTTGCAGCCCGCACTGCCCTGTTACCCAACATCTTGGCAATCCGAGAAGCTGCAGTCCTCGTCTTCGTTTTTCCTTTCCTAGGCCGCATAATGTTTGGCGTGTAATACAAGTACGTCCGGCTAAACACTTTTGGCCTTCTCCTAAGCCTATCACTAGTTCGTACTGGCCTTGGAACTGGGCCATCTCCTTGACCAGAACGTTTTGTATACATGTGCAAAGAAACAAAAAATCTAACCCTGCCGACTATGCACTCCCATAAAATTAAAAATACCTAGCCTCAAAAAAATAAAAACAAACAACAAAGTCAAGTTTCAGCCTCAAATCTCTACAATAAATAAACACATACAAAATAAAATCCCAAATACAAACACCGTTTATTAAACTCTCCCACACATAGAGTATCACTATTTTCAGTTCCCAATTCTGATGATCTTTCCAGCACCGCTGCAAATTTAACAAAAATTCCGGTTTCAAAACTAACAACTTGCATGCATACATTCCTACACATTGCTCTCATTCTCTCACTTTCATCCTTACACCACCCAGTAGAATCAACAGAAGTTCATTCTACTTCCAAACACACTAAAAATCGATTACTAAAATGCTCTAAATATCTAAACTTACTGTCTAAAACACTCTGAACAGCTCTCCTAAAAATAAATTACTAAACACCTAGCAACCGAAACATCTATTCTAAAAACACAATAAAAAAATCCTTAGTTCCGGACATGCATACATTCCTACACAATCAATATTGCTCTCGAAATCTACCATAGAAGCTAAAAATTGAAAGTTTTAGCTAGTTTATTCAAATTATATTCATTTAAATGCCTGAAATTACTCCCCGGGAAAAAAATCAACAAAATAATATTTACTAACCACTAATTAACACTAATTCGATCATTTTCATTAATTTGCACACAAAAAATCAAAGAAATGTACATAGTTTTATTTTAGTAACTAAAAATTTCATAAAAAAAATAAATAAATGCATGCAGAGAAAAAGAGAGCGAAAATGAATAATCTTTTTAAATTTTCAATTTCAGGAAAAAAAAAAAGTGAACTCCAAGAAATTGTGTGCATTTTGAATAATCAGAAAAATCTTTGAAAAACGGGGAAAATAAACGGGCGGTTGAGATTTACCTGATCAGAGAGATCTGTCTAGAAAGAGAAAGAGTGAGTGAGAGAGCGAGAGAGAGAGGGCTAAAACCCCAGGGATATGGTGTTTTTGAGAGAGTGAAAGAGTTTGAGCATTTTATAAAAAACCTAAAGAGAGCGAGTTTTGTGCTTTGATGACTCAGTGAGTGAGTTTAAAAACGGAAGAGCGAGTTAGTACTGGACCAACACGAGCTCTTATTTCTGTGTATACGTATATGTGGGTCCCGCTTGTCCCTAGGTCTGATCGTTTACTGCCACGTCTTGTAATGGCTTGTTGAAGAATCTTGTTTTTAACGTAATGTGGCCAGTAGGTTGTTGCCACGTGGACAAAGTTTGAATTTTGGCGACGTGTGAAATCGGACCTGTTCATGTTGGTTTGATGTGGCGGAAGGCGATTGAGTGGGGGTTGAGAAATATTGTGTAAGCGGATACACCTGATATATATATATTTTTTTTACTTTTATCTTTTTTCTACTTTTGTATAGGTAATAGGAAAATAATGAGTGGGGGTCTTAAATTAATAAATTCGATTAATTAGAGTAAATTACACGAATTTCTAAGTTATTATGAAATTATTATCATTAAACCTTGTTAAAAAAGTTTGGAATTGTCCTGAGTTTATTGAAACCAAAAAGATTTCGGTATTGAAAATTTAATTGTTATAGGATTATTTAATTATTCTTCTAAAAAACTACATATTTAAAACGTGTTTGTTTGATGGAAAGTATTTTTTGAGAAATCAAATATTAAGACTTTATGTCAAGGGTTTATATATATATATATATATATATATATATATATATATATAAGAGAGAGAGAGAGAGAGTGTTAGAATTAATGTTAATGAAAAACATTAAACTTCAATCGATAATTTAATATGAAAATCTAGTGATATATAACCTGAGTAAGGTTGAATTTCTAATGAAACTAAAAAAAACCATTGATTCAATTAAACATAGTTAATGTAATCAAAACCTAATTATATACATATATTTAAAAATGTAAAAATCAAATTCATAAGTCGAACCAATGATCAACATTCCATTTCAATTCATTACATTGATCTGAAAATCTAACGATTTAGATTCTCAATAAGGTTAAATACAATAAAATCGAAAAATCTATTAATTCAATCATATTCGATTGATGTGATCAAAACCCAATATATATATTTCTTCAAAAGGAAAATATCAAATCCATATGTCAATTCAACAACTAATTGGTCGACGTGACAATCCGAGGACTTGTCCAGATCATGTCCCTGTCGTATCTAACGACTTTAAGGCTGTGATAACAGACTGTGAATTGCGTGGCACTGAACCATGTTGTAGGAAAATATAAGAGGAAAAAATGAAGTCAAAGGTTTGATATTGTCTCTCACTTGTTCGGATAGGAGTGGAAAATTTAAAAACAAAATTGAAAAGAAAATGGGATGGAATGGGAAAAAAAAATTATAATAGATTGAAATTACTATTGTATCCTTGGCAATGGCATTTTTTTCCCCTCCTCTTTTCCTTCCTCCCATTATTTCCTGTCCAAACATAGGATACAAAAATGTCCACAGCAGTGTTCATGGGAAATTAGCCACTGCAAATGATCCTTGCCACAGATTCCACATGTCAAACTTCTTGGCACTTTAAAGGTTAATAAAAAGTTCATCTCATTAAACCAGAAAGATGATAAATTTACCAGAAAAAGGAAAAGATTTTCCCAAGAATGAAGTAAATTTGCACACAATAAGGTAAAGATAGTACAATCAGTAAAATGTCAAAGAGTGATGTCATGTCTCATGATAAAGAGAAACTTGGCAAGGTTATACAAATATGTATATATATATGCACATATAATAATCAACAAATGTTTGTATAAACACCTGCACCTATCAAGATATTAACAAACCTTGCTACAGATACTGAAAACAATTTAGGAGTTGATGATAACTACCTTCTCGCTTCTCAACATTGGTACGAGGGAGATGTAAACCATCTAATCAGACCAGGTAACATTTACGTGTCAAGCTAAAAAAGGCAAGCTCCATTGATAAAGAATTGCAGAAACAGATAATTGTCCGAGGAAAAGACAAATTAGACGAACATTGCAGTTATACATACGTATAAAACGCTCTTCAACATCCAGCCGCTTTCAAAAATTTGTCATAAGGGCTTGATGGCGGTAATCTGAAAGAATTTTGACCATACTCAAGTGAACAGAGGGCGAGTTGATCAGGTGCTCTGATTTGATCCTTCGTATCTAATTTTAGATCGCACTGCAGCAACTCCAGTTTCTGAACAACGAATGATGTGCAAATAACTTATCAGTACATAAATTATGTATTACTGAGATAGCCATTTCTGCTGAGTACTAAAAGGTTTAAGAGGTTCTTCGAACCTTACACCTCAAAAAATAAAATGATGAAAGTTTACGATTGCGTCAAAATTATATCATACAGTGGTGCAGGAACATCCAAAAAGCCCTCTAAGGCTTTGGAACAGAGGGATCCAAATAAACCAACTTCCAGGAAACTTCAGATATCTCAAACTTTAGGTATGATAGTGATGACAGTGACAGCGATGATTATAACATCAAATATTGACCTTACTGTTCTTGGTGTTGTTATTAGTAACAGTTTCAGTTATGATGTAACTAACACCAAACCAGAGGAATGATGCACAAGTTATGTATTCGTGCAAAGGGACAAAACAGGACAAAAGGGAATCAATTTGAAAAAGCAATATATTTAAAACATGGCTTGTGTCAGTAAAGTAAACGAACTCACCACATCGTGTACTGAGGTGTCTTTCTTTTCGTCTGCACTGGGGAAAACCTTGGCTTCTGGTTGATGCTTAAAACTATGCAGTATTGACATTTTCTGCTGTTTACCAGTTACAAGAGCTTCACACTGACTCTTCATTTGGTCATAAGGTACAGGTGTAGAGGAAACTTGGGAGTTTGCAACTTGTCGTGCAGTTTCCAAGACCTGGAGGCAGCACTAACAGATTTAATTTGCAAGGTTGTGTGAAGCTAAGACAGGTAGTCATCAAGAGAAAAATAAATCATGAAGCTTCATAAAAAGCTGGCTTTATCTTCAACAAGAAATGGATAAAACAAGCTATTCCTGTTACTATTAGTGTATTTTTCTCTTGTACAAAATTTTTACCAGATGTATGGGAAATAGAGTATTTCTTGAGCAACCCCACCCCCCAACAAGAAAAAAATAGATCTCATTCAAAGTTTCCAAAATTTGTAATTTTCAATACATCCCACAACAATTCAAACCTTATTCCTTACGAAGGATCACAGGTCTAAACAGCATAGAATGGAAAGAAATGAAGCCAAGGAATGACATTTCCATCCAATAAGCAGTTAAAGGTTTAAAAAATTTAGATGAAACAGGAAGTGCTTCTCTTACTGAATCCAGAAGTTCATTGACGCTTAAAATGTCAAGTGTATGGACAGATATTGATGTTTTGCGACCTGACTGGCTTCCATTAAGTTCCATGAAGGTTTCATCATCCGTCAAGGCAGCTGCAGGCATGATCTGAGAGAAACCCAATAAAATAAGTGAACTGTCACCACAGTTGCTAGCTGTAAGATGAAAATATTATCTTAATGATGTTACCTCTTCAAATGCCTGAAACTCCATTCGGGCAAGAGGGGAACATGGCCTAGGTGTATCCATAAACAGGGGAGCTCCTAATGGATATGCATCATCAGGTGAAAACTCCTGTAGAAGTTGCTGTTTTATGCCTGACAACTCATCCTGGAGGAAAAAAAAGAGTGAACTTTCATAAAGAACACCTCAAATGCTGTACAACCCTTTTGAGACAGAACGTACTGTCCTCATTGGAACCTTGTCCCAAGAAACAACACAATTAACTGTTTCTACCTAGGGTCCTGGGCACAAGATTAAAGATTTTTCAAAAACTCCAGAAAAGCATAATTATTCTAAAGCATGAGCAACTTATTATAGTAGACAAGCAGAATTTATGTAGTCTGTGTTTCTTATACTTGTCTAATTGCAAAAATGGCGTTGAATTGGATTGAATTAATACGAGATCCTCTTCCTGTATTTTTCAAGAAAACATTCATTTCCTTTTTCTTCATATCTCTATGCAAGTGTGTTTGTTTCTCACAATATACTCTGTTATCACATGACACAAATGTGGCTAGTGCCATTCACCATGCAATTCTCTCTCATAGATACTCGGATCTCGGACTTTAGGAACCCATTTGAAAAGTCTTATATCAGATCTAGGAAAGATGAATTCACTACTGATCTTGTTAATAAATTGCATAAATATAAATCAAAACATCACCTCTGGTAATTGGACAAATTTTGTTATGAATTGGGATATCAGGGTTTCCTTCAAATTACTATCATCTACTTCTACTTGTGAGAGGCATTTTAAAGCAGCAACATCGTCCTCCTCTGATCCATATGCTATTTTCCCTTCATCAGATTCTACATAAATAGCTTGCAGCCTGATATCTTCAACTAATTCAAGATAAGGGTCAGCCTGCCAAAATAATCATAAATTGATGCAAATATATTAGAGGAAGCTCCAAGGGAAACATGTCTTAGCCATAGAAAGCAAAAACAAAAAATTTCCTTCTAATCTGTAATGGAAAAGGAAACTAACTGTTTTTTCTGTCAGAGAGGCTTTAACAAAAGGAATTAGCTCTGGGAGATTTCCAGCCCTTGCTGCAAAAATAAGCATAAATGATGCCAAGGTGAAGAGAGACCTTCTGCGAGATGGCTGCAGACCTGCTTAAATTTGGATGCAAGAAATATATATCAGAAGTACATATCAAAAACATAACCAGACTAACAATTTCAGAAAATAAGTTTCACTAGCAATTTAGAAATCATAAACCAGGGATCTTTTAGCCAAAGAAAAACGAAGGAATGAAAGAAAAAAATCTGGTCAGTATGTCGCTCAGACTATCATAATTTACTATATAAAATATACCCGTGTGATTCAGCAAAAATCTTAAGCGAGGCCATAGTTTTACATTAACGTTTCATTTTTATTGCATGAATAAAAGAAAAATCAAGGCAATATTGTGAGAAAAAGATGGTCAGAAAAGGCAAATTTCGGAATGCCGATAAAAGGTCTGAACGATATGTATAACTGTGAGAGTGGGTGTGTTTATGAAAGTCTAAACTCGTGAATATCACCATCTCCAGACAGCAACATCCTGCTGCATTCACATATATACAGTGCAACGTGTGAAACATCTATTAACCACCAAATAATGCTGTGAATCCCTATGACCAAAATATAATACCATTCACTGTCAGATTCAATTTACCTTCTTGATCCAGAGAGATGCTCCTAAGAGAGAATGCCAGCTGAAAACACCGAACTAGAGCCATGTGACTTGAGGTCTGTCGTCACCAAAGTTCATCAGCATGCAGGTTAAGTATTGCCATCAAATAGAAAGCATTAAATTCTTCAGTTATCTAAAGCTGGAAAATTTGAAAGAAATGAAAGACAATGAACTTCTTTTCTGGGTATGCAGAAACCCCTCTCAGCAATTTTCTTCTCCAGATTCAGTGTTGGTATCATTGCAAAGAGAAAAGGTTGATAGATGGTAAACTGAGAAAAAAGTTACTGGCTTGAAGTACCATTGTAAGTTCAAAAGATTCAGGACCCCCCAGATATACTTTGATAAGTTAAGAAATTGAAGTAAATTGTAAGCATGACTCACCTTAGATCGTGTAAAAAGCAAAGCAATGTTATAAGTATGGCCCATGGCCTCAAAATTTGCAGGCATATTCTCTGCAGAAGTTGCCTGAACCCATATTGATGAAAGCAGAAGACTGACTTGATGGCTACTCAGTCGAAGGGAAGTTTGCTGACAGTAAACATTCAACTATATGAGAACATTGAAAGGATGTGGAAAAAAACAATTCCAGTTGAAAACTAGATGAAAGCTCAATTTCAAAATTTTGGAGCTCCATACCATTTTTCCAACTGGGATAGCATGCTTGAAGCTGTTTGAATGATCGTGAGAATCATGTTTTGCACCCACGTCTGATATTGGATTGCCTTCATCCCATGATTTTCCATCCATGGCATCAACATTATCTTTACTTTCATCCTGAAAGGCGAAACTTTTAATCCTCTTTTGTGATGCTGATGCACCAAAAAATCCAGAAATATCTTCAGAGGTTTTCTTATTCTGGTCTGACCAAGGAGAAAGCAAGGATGGCATAAGCAAGATAGAGAAGACACTGTGTGCTCCAACTCTAGTCTCATGGTCTGGGTGGGCCATTGCTACAAGCAATTGGTGGAACAGAGCATCAGGAAAAGCCTGAAAGAGATTACATAGCATTACCTCAATACTTGAATGGTTTTAAAAATTTGAACACACAAAAGTAAAGTACATCTATTTACCTTTCTGTTATATGATATGTTAGGGATGGAAGAGATAATCTGTGCAGTTCGGTGAACAGCAGAGAGAGTCGTTCTAGCTACAGCAGTAGCAGCTGGAATATTCTCTAAGAAAACAGCTATCTTATCAAGTATGGGTCCCGCATCCCCCACCTGGTGATTACAAACAATTTTTGTTCATAAACTACATGGTAGAAATAAAATCAACGATTTTTACACCATGATTCACTCCCAAGCTTCTTTTCCAAAACAATTTTACATGCATATGAATATAAACAAGGTTTTAAAGTTTCTGTAGCACTACTGCACCATTTCATTCCATAAATTAAATGAAGTGCCAACGTTAGGAATAACTGCAAACCTTATTTGAGAGCTGTGAGATACATTTTTCTAAGGCAACCTGAAGACCGACATTCCATTCATCACTGCCACCGTTAGGGCTGGATGATTCAGGTGAATTTTGCAGGCACTTTCGTAAATGTTTCATCAAGTCAGATATAGCACCAATGATAGCAACTGTCGCTTCCTGCTTTGCACTTTGTCCAAGTCGTGCAGTGACATTAATAATGTCTACCTGTAAAAGAGGTTGTTTGGCAACACTCTTATGATCCAAGTGCTTGACCAGGATGGATAATAGCAAGTGCGAGTTTTCTCCTGATGTTAATATAAGCAATATCAGTTATGTACACAAAAAGGTTAATTGAATTACAGACTAGAGTATCTGAAACCACACAGCCTGAAAAGATGGTGCATCAAGTTCCAAATATAACCTGATTCCTCCAGAAATGACTGCAAAAACATCAAAACAGGGTAGGCAACTCCTTTTTCTAGGGACCAGTGCTTGTTAGCATCAAAGTTTTGGAACAGAGGTTCAAGGACACGCCGTATTGTTGTAGCTCCATTCGCTAGTCTAGCCATGTTACATAAACATACCCTAGACCAGTGAGATGGACTCTTGGAAGTATCCCTGTTTTAGAGGTAAAGGAAATGTTACTTCAGCAAAAGTTATTGTCTCTAAACACATGGCATCAAACTAACAAAATCGGCTTACATTGCAAGGTCTGATTCAGGCTTCATTGTAAGGTCTGATAAGGAAACCTTCTTACTGATGTCTGGGAAAGACGAGACATCATCTTCTGCTTTAAGAACTCCTTGAACCCATTGATCTTCCATTGTATCTGGATTCATTTGGAAATCAATGTAGTTCTCCAGAGTGACTGATATAATCTATTTCAGGCCAAAAAAAGTGTTCCAATTAATACCAAAACCCAACTGTTACATGTGTTAGCTAATGTCAAAGGCTGTAATAAGGGTACATGAGAAATTCTACTCACACTGTCAAAGTCCATCGAGATGTGCGCTTGCTCACCCATGAAACACACCTAGGACAAAATAAAATTAAGAAGGCATCAAAGGAATGACAATCGAGCATGTGGGAGATCATAGAACATAAGAATCTTGGGCTACAAGCAATAATGAGAAAGATAAAGGTCATGTCAGGATCAATAAAATAATAAGAAATGAGTTATTAGATATAAGAACATAAAAATGCATCAAGAAAGTTACTGGAAAAAAAAGTCAGGTATTTTGATTTTCCTTCCCCTATAAAAAAACAGAGCTCAGAAATAAATTTAATTGTCCCCAGGTTGTTCGGCTATAAACAAATCAGATCAGGATCCCAGATAGATCCAAATCTGATACCTTTAAAAATCTACCATCAAATAGGATCTGCAAAGAAAATCTAGAATATAGGGAAAAAAAAATTGAGTATCAAGCACAAGTTCAAAAAACCTAGTAATGCAACTGAGTCATTCATTTATCTAAACTGCACGTGCCTCATGTTTAGAGGCCAAAAACAATGGTAATTCATATGATTGTTGAAACATAAAGAATTCACATAAACACCCATAAGCAGCAATTCCTTGACAAGAGACATTTGAACTGGTGAAGGAAAGGAACTGTACCATGGAGCCCAGCGCTTGCAGCCCTGCTGAACGCAAACGTAGAGTTCTTTCGCCATTTCCAGCTTCTTGTGCTAATTGACAGAGCTTAGGAATGAGGCCTTCTAAGTTGAACATATATGTGCTATCCACCTATTTTTTTATTCAATAAGTTAGTATCATACGCCATGTGCCATTTTATATAGCTTTTTGTCAACATTACTCTCACAACTATAGTTTTATCCATTCAAACCTGGCAACTTATAAAATCAACAAGAATATCGCAAGCCAGAAGCCGCAAATCATCATTCCCAGTTTGCTCCAAAAGAGTCCGAACAATGCTCAACAAACTACTAGCAAATAGAGGCCTGCATGTATTGAAAGGCTTCAGCAAATGCCATCACAAACAAAAACAGCTGCCTTTTGCGAAAAACAACAGGACCTTAATATTATTTCAAAGAATAATTTGCAACTGTCTATATTACTCCATCTATATTATTATGGCCATATATATTAATCCATTGGCATCAATAACATCCCAGTTTACTTCTTTAACCATGACTTTTAATCACGTATATATTATCTTTTCATTTTACCCACAACTATCAGTACAGTTTCTTTTAATTTTACAAATTGTAGCCAAATGCTTACAATTCTTTATGCATAAAGATTATTATCAAGTCAAGTAAAAATACATCCTTAATGTGGGGCATTACTTTATGGACGCAATCCAAAACTTAACACATACACATTACAAAGGCAAAATTACAAGGTTATCTTCAACGAATTTCTAGTTAGGTGGTTTTAAAATATCAGAGTCAAGTCATTTCAAGTCTAAAATGCATAAACTTACATCTGCTCCTTACATGACGATAGAAATTTTCTATAAATGCACACCACAACCTTTACAGATCCAAAGTTCTCATGCCGCAACTCCTTGTAAAATCTTTGCTCCAGGGTATCAGTAATCTGAGGAGCAGAGAATAAATGTAAAAAGACAATGGGAACCAAGTTTTATAATTTAGCAGGTAGATGTGAAACTACAGAGACTGTTGAAGAAACTCGTAACTTTTTATTTGAAATTAAACCCTGTGAACAAATCACCTTTACAGGGTTTTGACCAATTTTGGGTTTTGTTTTTCAAAATTATACAATATTTTAATAGGATATTGTAATTCATTAAAAATTTCAATTATGACCAGAATCAGCTGTGAGACAAGATAAAAAGTTTGGATTCCCATTAAAAACCAAATAGTTACGAAGAGGAAAAAATAACTATATATTAATACTTAATTTTATCTATTTAATGAAGAGCATACTAACAAGAAAGCATAAAAAGGACATTTGCGTGGCAATTCAGACTTTTATATTCCTTTTCCTTTGAACTTATTAAAGAAAATAAATAAACAAATGAAATGTTAAATCTTGACAATATTTTAAAACGCATGAATCTGCAAGGTAATGGCTGCTCAATGAATCAGTAAACAGACCTTGGGGATTCGTAATGGGTTCTTTGAAACATACTCACAAAGCTTCCCAATTTTCCTATCATTTGGTTCAGCCTCCTGCAAAATGTTGATTGTATTAACAAAAAAGAAAAGGAACAAAAACAAAGTTGCACACTGTGGTTTTTATCAAAATATCATTCTTTTTTCCCTATCTCGAGGACTGGAGAGGATGAGAGGAATCATGAACATTTGAGAGGCTTTAAAAAGGAACTACAGAAGCTATAGATTCCTCTACAAGCAAGACAGTGAAATTCCTTAACTAAAAATTCACTGATAATGCATCCAGATTAGTGATGATGATACAAATCATGGTCAACAGTATTTGACAGCCATAGTATTAATGAACCACACAACTGGAGTTTACTTTGATTAGATGTTCAAGATGACCCAAAGCACAAAAAGACCACATATATACCATCATAGAAACTGAACATAAACTACATTTCAACGAGCAAAGATCCATTTGATCCACACTAGATTAACACTGCTTCAACATTCAAAGCACGAGAAGAGAGTTGCAACTCAATTTAGTATCCTTCCAAAGCATAGCCATATCAATACTTGCAAAGACAAACAAGCTACCATGAAACACATAACAAATCACCTGATTACGCGGGAAGATATCGGCAAGCAACTTCTTGTATCGTTTAACGGGCTGTCTTGACCTTGCCCTCAACGAAGGACAGAAGAAACACAGGCTACCACAGGCGGGGACAACTCGTCTTGATATAACCCCCATTTTATCAAATGAAATTCAAACCCCCTCCTCTTCTACAAAATCAAACACAAAAAACCAAAATTTAGTTCACAACAATTCAAATCAAATTCACTGATCAATAACTTGCCTGAACCTCATTGACCCACATGACCCAAACAAATCTAAGTCTCATTCTTGTGACACAATCAACAGAATTTTTAAAACCCGGATGGGATTTTGGCTCTGAAATAAAATAGAAATAAATAAACTGCCAAAAACCCAGAAGAAATAATCAAAATTCAAAGTCTATTAACTAGATAAATTAAATAGAAAAAACAAAAAACACCCACCACTTAAAATATTAATCAAAGCTCGTTTCATCACGATCTGAAATGCTTGTGAGAAGCCAAAATGAAATGCAAAAATTACTAATAACGAAAAAAAAAAAGATTCATTAATTACTAATAAACAAATGTTAATAAAAAATATGAATAAAAATCAATTTAAAAAACAAATTGTTACCTTATAAAACGGGAAAACAAAAAAAAAACAAACAAACAAAAAAAGCCAATGATGAGGAAGAGGAAGGTTTGATGTTTCTTCCCCCAGGCCTCTCTCTCTCTCTCTCTCTCTCTTGCAATTATTTTTATGGACGGTAATAATAATTTTTCAAATGGATTTTCATGCTAATGTCTCAGCCGAGTAAATTATATATTAGTCCCTCTAGTTTCAAGAAATTTAATTATTCCTTTTTTAAAAAACTAATTATTTAATGATTTAATTAATCTTGATTATACATAATTTAATATTATTTTATTCTATAAAATTTCTTCTTTATTCATTAATCTTTCTATAATATTTAATTATTTTTTAATTTTTAAAATAAAAAATAAACAAATTAGAAACGAATATAAAAGAGACAAAAAATTAAATAATTAATTTTCAAAATAAAAAGGATTAATTAATTTAATTCTTGAAATTTAAAGAATTAATTTATAATTTACGCTGTGACAGCCTGGGTTTTTTTTTTTTTTTGACTTATTTAATTATATGGATGGATTATTTTGAGATCAGGGGATAACATGTGTTAGCCATTAGGTGCTAATCCACCTACTTTGGGGTTTTTAACAATTGTTTTTGTTGTTTTTTGTTCTTAACAAATTATTTAATTTTTTTATTTTTTTTAAGATGAAAGGTAGCAATTCGAGATATTAAAAGGAGATACTAATATTAATCGAATTAAAGCTTAGTAAAATCGTGGTTATTTATGAAATCAGCTAGTTAATTTGAATTTATTCTTTTCTTAATTATAAAGTTGAGTTGGGGGTGTTAAAATATAAAATGTTTTCTCTTTCGATTTTTCTTTTTAAATGACGAACTTCTTTGAAATATTATGTTTAATATATTATAATGTTGTGTAGCATAGTAAAAAAATAAAAAATTTATTATGTTAATTTCTACAAATGTTTGAAACCCACCATCATAATCAATGTCACAATATTATTATTTTTTAATTAAAATGGAACATTTCTAATACATTTCAGGCACATTAAACAGAAATTTTCTTTTTCTTTTTTCTTTTTCTTTTTTCCATAGAGAGTGGATGCTGTGATGAAAAAACTTTGGTGGATGGACGTGACCCTAGCAGGTCTTAAATACGGCATAAGAAACATGGAAACGAAACCCACTACCCACGCGATGGCAAAAAACCCAACGGTTCCGCGATTTCGGGGAGGGTGCTTTTTTGATTGTACGACAAAAAAGGTCCCTTTACAATCCACTTTTGACAGTTTGGTCACTTTTTGAGTTTTGACTCAATTGTTTTTTCTTCATCTTGGTCACATTACATGCACTTGCACACTCATCATCCTTGCATTGAAGAAAATATATGTTACTCTAACAAAAGTGCGTGAGTGATATATTATCTTACTCAAGTGCATTTGTTTAGGGCTGGGATCGGATAACTGTTTCTAAAAAAATATTTTTTTTGTGATGTGATGTAAATGACTTATTTAAAATACGATCAAAATCTTTTTTGATGTATTAAAATTGATTAAAAAAATTTTTACAAAATCAAAACAAGTAAAAATGCATTTATTTATTTAAAGTTCGAGTAGATTTTTTATATTGGTTAAAATCAGTATAGATTTTAATTAGACTCGGTTTTATGCTTCTTGAGAAGGTTGAACGATTTAATAAATATTTTGATATAACTTTAGGATTGATCTTTTCTCCGTAATAATGTTACCTATTTGATTGTAATTGGTAAGAGAGGTCTAATGGCAAAAATTACAGTTGAACTATTGGGTTATGAAAATTTAAGACATTTATAATTAATTTGAGTTATTTGGACTCTAAACTATTATTTTCTAAATAAATATTATCTTTTTTTCATTATCTTTGACGATCAAAACATTAACCTACAATTTGAATGTTTAAACGACGTCCTTTAAGCAGTCTAACTTCTTTTTTTTTATGACAAAACCACAGCTAACTTAAATGCTTAAATAATATCGTTTGAGCATTTAATTTTTTTGCAAAAAAATAATAGGTAATATCCACCACATACTTTTTGAAATAAAAGAAGTTTTTGAAATTGGTTAAAGAACATAGCAAGATTGATAAGAAAGAAGACAATTTTTTAAATAAAATAATATTAAATTAAACATGATCAACACTAGTTAAAATATTAAATAATTAATTTTTAAAACAACAATAGAGTGATTAGTTTGCTTTTTAAAATTAGAGGGACTAATTTATAATTTAATAAAAGTCATTTGGGTTGTTGACCTCAACCATCTGCTTTATTTGACCGATTAATATTTTTGGCAACATAGAGAGACGATTGTGGTTGTCTTTTTACGAGTCATCAACACAGCTTAGCTGGCGCCTTTCTCTTTATGTTTATTTATGACAAATTATGGCCATGTACTATTGATGCCTTCAGAAACAAGGCATTGCAGTCAACATCATACTACAAAGCAAAATTGGCTCATCCATGATCCTCTCCCGTTAATTAGGGTTTTTTGTCCACCAAGAAACAAACCAGGGCACTCTAAACATTAGGTTTATTGGCAGAATCTCTCGGTTATTTTGCTATCTAGTGAGGCTGTATTTGTTTCCAAACAAATAAGTTTCACAGGAATTTTTTTATTTTTCTTCGTTTTCCGGTATTTATTTTGTGTTTAGGAAAAAAAATCAACAAAATTTGATTTTTAGTCACCAAAAATTAATAGATTATTTTTGAGAAAGTGATTTTCGAGCTAAAAAAGAAGAAAACATTTTCCTGCAAAATAGTTTATTCAAAATTGTTTTTCTTATTGAAAGTGTTTTCTGTCAAATAAATAAAGTCTAAAGAGACTTTTTTTTTTCCTCTTTGTAGGTTTCGATCCTAATTATTTATTAGTCATGGACATTGTATATTTTTTTTTTCAACTTTTCAACAGTATTAATCAAAAAAGTTTTCGTTCTTAATGATTTTAAAAATACATATTTTAAATAAAAAAATTATTATTATCGTCATCAATAAGTTATTGGTGCAATGATGAGTGAGTTAATCTCTAGATAAATTACCTAAGAATGTGCAAAGTTTAAATTTTGAAGTCGCATTTGTTAAGAAAGGTTAAATTTTATTGTTTTCGTTGCGAATCTGGATTAATTCTATATCTAATATGATACCTAGATTAAAAAAAAAAAAAATTGTTACTCGACGCATACATACTTAAAGTTGTAATTATGTGAATCAAGAAAGAAATAATTTTTTTCAACCACGAAATTTACTGATTATCCCTTGATATTGAATAATTAAACCCCATTTTAAGTGCTCATAAAACGGGCAGACTTGTTTTGCATCATCTAATGAGATTGTCAATATTTAATTCTATTATTTTTGGTCAAGTTGTTTGCATTTGTTTTTTCGGTGGAATAAAATGTCAGTAAATTGATTCTAAAAAGCGAAGCTTGGCCGATTATATAGGTACATAAAACGTCTCAATTTCTTCCCCTTTCTAATTTCCATCCAAGTCTAAAAAAATTAAATAATTACATCTAGCTAGCTTTTTTTTCATTTCTCGAAAAGAAAAATGTCATAATATATGAAAACGAATCCCAAAATATTTTTATCTTGAAAAAAAAAAAAGTTGGGTCCACTTCCACTTGCTAATATTCCTAAAGGAGAAAAAAGCCATATTGACAACTTTTGACTCTTTGGCTCCCCTTGCTTTTCTTTTTCTGTCCTCACCATCCCAATTTCTATACATTGTACAACATGTTAGATGCTCTCTATCCCATCATGTTTTTCCATTTCCATGAACCTGCAATGAGATCAAAGCTCACGTTTCTAGAGTTTCACATTTTCGTGGAATTCAATCGACGAATCACATAGTTTATTCGTTCGTATCCAATCAATTTTTATGATTACTAATTATGTGTGAAATTTCAACATCTAAATTTATTACATTTGATATTTTATCTTTTAAAAAATATTAAAAAATGATAATAATGTCTTTTGAAATGCTACAAACATGAACTACGAGAATCAGTATTAATAGTATTAAAAAGTGTAAGATCACTTTAACAAGTTATATGTTATATGTTAATACAACAAGAACCACACTTTTAACCTAAGTCAACCCATGTACTTACCTCTAAATAGATTACTACCAAAAAAAGGGGGAACAATTAAAAAAATTGAAAAAATTTAGTTTTATACTTAATCTTAATCTATCATCTTAATTAGGCTCCAAACCTAAGGGATTAGATAACTAAGCTTCAGCTCAAGAACTGAAATTCTAACTGGGTCCCAAATGGAAGCTTGTTTTTGCAAGTTCAACCAAAATGATCCGGTTTATAAGTGTTCACCACATGGGAAGGGAAACCTGAAAAGCATACGGGCCGAAATTTGACAGATTTAACATGAGCCAGGCTCATTAGAATTTGGCCCAAGACTAGATCCCGATAAATTTAACTTGGCCCAAGTAAACTGAGCCCAATTCGCTCATGCCTAGACCTAAAATAATACTGTACAATGAGTAAATTATAAATTAGTCCCTCTAGTCTTTTTGTTCCAAAAACTAACAACTTAATCTCTTATGTTTTAATTTCGTCAAGTAATTTAGCCATTTATAAGTTTATGTTAGATTAACTATTTTTGTTGCTCTTTTTTTTTTTAGTTGACAAGAGAGAGAGAAAAAATAAGACATAAAAAAGAAGAAGTTAATTTGAGAAGGAAAAAAAGCTGATAAAAAAACTAAGTTATTGATAAAATTAAAACGTGAAAAATTAAATAATTAATTTTTAAAATAAGAAGAACTAATTAATTTTGTTTATTGAAACAATAGGGAATAATTATAATGTAATCTCTATATATGTACAATGTATCTTGCAAGTGTTTGCTTCTTACATACTTTGTCTTCTATGTATAAAAAAATGTACAGACATTAAACACGTACGTCAATTTTACTTAATTCCTATTGGGTGTTGATTTTGGTTCATTTTTGGTTGATTATCCCCTAAGATTGAATAATTAAACCCCATTTTAAGTGCTCATAAAATGGGCAGATTTGTTTTGCATTATCTAATGAGATTGTCAATATTTAATTCTATTGTTTTTGGTCAAGCTGTTTACATTTGTTTTTTCGGTGGAATAAAATGTCAATAAATTGGTTCTAATAAGTGAAGCTTAGCCGATTATATAGGTACATAAAATGTCTCAATTTCTTCACCTTTCTAATTTCCAAAAAAAAAAAAAACATCTACCATAAATATTTTTATCTTGAAAAAAAAAAAAAAGCTGGGTCCACTTTCACTTGCTAGTATGCCTAAAGGAGAAAAAGCCATACTGACAACGTTTGACTCTTTGGCTCCCCTTGCTTTTCTTTTTCTATCCTCACCAACCCAATTTCTATACATTGTGCAACGTTTCAGATGCTCTCTGTTCCATCATGTATTTCCATTTCCATGAACCTGCAACGACATCAAAGCTCACACGTTTCTAGAGTTTCACACATTCGTGGAATTCAATGGATGAATCGCATGGTTTATTCGTTCGTATCTAATCAAGTTTTATGATTATTGATTATATGTGAAATTTTGACATCTACATTTATTATATTTGATATTTTATCTTTTTAAAAATATTAAAAAGATAATAACAGTATTATTCGAAATCATACAAATAGATATTAAATAATTCATCAATTCGATATTAACGGTGTTAGAAACTGTCGGATAAAATCACTTCAATGGTTAATATATATATATGTGTGCGCGCGCGCACGCGCTATTTAGATTGAAGCCATTGAATTTTTTTTTTCAATGAAAGAGTCGTTTTTTTTTTATATATTTAATGAAAAATTTAAGATTCAATGCATATCTCTTGGGTCAAATAGTTATGAAATCTAAAAAAAGAGAATCCATGATTATAAGAAAATCCAACCTAATGGTTTTTTGTGGAAAGTTTAAATTCCATACCTATTGTGTTACAAAAAGTAATACAATTTAGTTTATTAGTAAAAATTAAAAAGTCGAATCATATAAATAATAGTAGAATTTATTATACATTAATGAAGTCATACATGCATTGCAATTTTGGCTTTTTGGATTTCGATTGACCAATTTGGTCTCAAAATAAGGAATAACTAGTTACAGTCAAAGGATTTTGTTAATATGGTAAGAACCAAACTTTTAACCTAAATCAATTCACATACTTACCTCTAAATAGACGAAAAATTTTATAATACTCAAAGAGTAATTAGTGACGAGTACGGTAATTACTCCTTAGGCCCACTCCATAAAGAGAGATAAACACAAAAAAAAAAAAAAAGGGAGAGAGAAATAAGAGAAAGAAAATTAAAAAAAATGAGTAATTTTGAAAATCTTCTTATCATTTTTTGTGAGTCCGGATGTAATTCTCCTTTCTTAAAAGTTAATCTATGGAGTAAGCTATCGTACATATCACTGAGTTACTCCTCGAGTATTATAAAATTTCTCCAAATAGGTTACTACAAAAAAAAAAGAAGGAAAAATTAAAAAATTGAAAAAATTCAGTTTCATACTCAATCTTAATATATCATCTTAATTAGGCTCCAAACCTAAGAGATTAGATAACTAAGTCACAGCCCAAGAACTGAAATTCTAACTTGGGTCCCAAATGGAAGCTTATTTTTGCAAGTTCAACCAAAATGATCCGGTTTAAACGTCCACCACGTGGGAAGGGAAACATGAAAAGCATATGGGCCCAAATTTGACAAATCTAACATGAGTCAGGCTCATTAGAATTGGGCCCAAGACCAGGTCCGATAAATTTAACCTGGCCCATCGTACTACTTGGCCCAAGTAAATTGAGCCCAATTCGCTGATCCTAGACCTAAAATGATAATTATAAATTAGTCCCTCTAGTTTTTTTTAAAAAACAGTTAATTAGTATTTTTGTTTCAAAAACTAATAACTTAGTCTCTTATATTTTAATTTCTTCAATAATTTATTTATTTTATAAGTTTTTGTTAGATTAACTATTTTTGTTTATAAATTACTTTTTCTTTTTAGTTGGAGAGAAGTGAAAAAAATAAGAAATAAAAAAGAAGAAGTTAATTTGAGAAAAAAACTCACTAACCTCATAAAAAAACTGATAAAAAAATTAAGTTATTAATAAAATTAAAATATGAAAGATTACATAATTAATCAATCAATTAATTGGTTTCTCGAAACACTAGGGAATAATTTATAATTGACTCTATAAAAAATTTTTGTTCAGACATTGTACACGTACATCAATTTTACTTGGTTCTTGCTGGGTGTTGATTTTGGTTCATTAATTTTTTGTTGACGTCTCTGCCATTATGTCGGTGGACTATTCTAACATTTCGATTTCGATTTGTGGCCGTCCACGATTTAAGTGGCTATCGTTTATTCCTGTTTGATCACGCTAGTCATTTTGTCCTTGGATCATAGCTACAGGCAAATCAAATTTAAAGAGTTCTGGTTGAGCTGAGTCTGACACTTTACTGATATGGTTCAATGTAGATAAGTCTATCCACTCAAGTTAATTTTGACGTATTTCAAGATTAATTTTTTTTTTGAGATATGATTAAAAAGCATTCTCGAATACATGGTTTTGGGTAATCTATGACCACAAGAATCGAAATCTGGTTTTGACCGAAAAATCAATGTTTGCCTAGGAGCAGATTATATCCTTGTGGTTGAAGAGTTGTTTGTTTTATTTTCCATACAAAAAGACCTCAAGACTCTTTCTTTTTGTTAATCTTAAAGCTAACGATTCTTGTTATCCTTTGATTAATCTGTAAGAACAATCTTACCTTGTACGGGGGAGGATTTTCTTGACTTAAACACCAATTAATGACGATGGAGAGAGAAAAATCTGCGGATGCAATGGTTGCCCTGATCGTGGGTGTCACTGGCATGGCAGGATTCAGCTTGGCAGAAGCTCTGAAGAAGCCAACAACTCCAGGCCGGCCATGGAAAGTATATGGCATAGCAAGGCGTCCCTTGCCAAGTTGGTTTCCCTCTTCCTTGATCGACCGTTTCATATCTCTCGATGCCTTAGACCATGCCGATACAGCAAGCAAGCTCTCCCCTGTAGCCCATGAGATCACTCACGTCTTCTGGGTTACCTTACAACTTCGCGAAAGCGAAGAAGTAAACGTCTCCCTGAACTCCACCATGCTCGTCAACGTGCTTAATGCACTCAAATCAGCTACTCCTTCAAGGCTCAAACATGTTACTCTGCAAACAGGCACGAAACAGTACATGGGTCCAATATTTGATCCTTCACTTACAGGCAAGCTTGTCCATCACGAGCCACCTTTCAAAGAAGACCTAGACAGACTCCCCTACCCCAATTTCTATTACGCCTTGGAGGACTTGCTTGCATCATACTTACCTTCCATTACGCACTCAGTCCATCGCTCATCGTTAATAACAGGCGCATCTTCAAGAAGTGTTCACAACTTATTGACTACTTTATCGGTCTATGCCACCATTTGCCGATACCAAGGGTTGCCGTTTCGATACCCTGGGAGCAAATACACATGGGAGCACTTCTGTGACATGTCTGATGCAAGAGTGCTAGCTGAGCAACATATATGGGCAGCGGTGACTGATGGAGCCAAGAATCAAGCCTTCAATTGCACCAATGGTGATGTGTTTACATGGAAGAGTTTATGGAAAGTCTTGTGTGAGGTCTTCGATGTTGAATTTGTAGCCTTTGACGAAGATGAGGAGTTCGATTTGGTTAAGACGATGAAGGACAAGGGCAAGGTGTGGGATGAGATTGTTCAGAAATATGGGCTATTGGAGACTAAGATGGAGGATCTTGCTTGTTTCGAAGCACTTAACGTGATTTTGCATTTCGGGTTTCAACATGTCTGTAGCATGAACAAGAGTAGAGAATTCGGGTTTCTTGGGCACGCTGATACACTCAAGAGTATCCCCATGTGGATGGGGAGATTGAGGGAGATGAAGATCATACCATGAAGACAATAATTTACTCCTATCTAGCTATATTCTGTATAATTACAGAAGTGTAACGAAGATGCAATGTTCTTGCTTTATCTGATCTAGCTTCACATCTTTTCTTGCTTCAAGAATTGTAACAAAACATACCACAATTACTGTTATGGTGCCTAGTTCAATCGACTCTCTCTGCAGCCAAAGTTCTGGGTTCTATATAAACCTCTACTATGGAACGTTTGCTATAATTGTTTGCTTTATAAATCAATCTAATTTTTCTGTGATTTTGTTAAACCAAACCCACCATCAATCATAATTGCTGTTACAATATATCATATGTGGTCTGATGATAGAAGAGTTGTCTTGATTGATCTGGTTAAGGTCAAGGTTCAATTCCTATAAAAAAAAGTCCATTCCTATAAAAAGAAAGTCCAGTGTTTTGAATCTAGCTTACTTAAAAAAAAAATAAAATGGTGGACTTAGTTGAGCAACATGCCCCACTACTTTTAAATTATTATCACAAAATTATTATTTTGTTTAATTAAACTGGATCATTTGTAACAAATTTGAGGCACATTAAATAGAAATTTTAGTTTTCTTATTTTTTTTAATAGAGAATGGCTGATGTGATTAAAAATAAGTAAATTATAAATTAGTTCTTTCATTGTCAAGAAATAAATTATTTATTCCTTCTTGTTTCAAAAATTAATTATGTTAACTATGCTAAAGTTAATATTATTTTATTTCAAAAATATTTTTTTTCTCATCAATTTTTTTAAAATAAATAAATAATAAAAAATAATTTATAAGAAAATTTAAAATATAAAGATTCATTAAATAATTTTTTTTAAACAAAAGAGACTAACTAACATGGTTTTAAAAATAAAGGGACTAATTTATAATTTACTCATTGTAATTTAGGCAGAAGGACGTGACTCTAGCAGGTCTCGAATCGTAACTGTTGACACTTTGGTCCCGCGATTTGAGGGAGGCTGCTTTTTTATTCCATGACAAAAGGGTCCCTCCACTATTTCGATTTTTGTCACTTTTTAAGCTTTGACGAATTGGCTTTTCGTACTTTTTTATTACGTCTGAATTGGCTATCATTTTTAAACCCGGGCGCAGGGTGAACAGTATTCGATTAAAATCGAAAAATTAAATCGAATTGAATTAAATTAAAAATTTTAGTTTAATTGTTTTAAAATTTTTGAAAAAAAAAACTGAAACTAAAAATTAAAATTATTTATGTTCAGTTTGGTTTTTTTCTTTCTTTAAATTCGGTTTCCATTGAAAACTGAATTAGTTTTTTTTAAAACATATACTCAAGCTCTTTTTTTTAAAAAAAATAAAAAAGGCACTTATGGGTTTAACAAAAAAAAAAAACAATAGCTTTGATGATTTTTTATACTTAAAATAAAAATAATTTCCATTAATTATTTATTGAAATAATAAAATAATTGATTATATTATATTACCTCACAAACAAGTAAAAAAAACTATGATAAAGTAATTTTTTATAAATACACAAGTTTATGTGTGGGTAAATCCTAAAACCTCATGAGAAAGAAACTATCTCTTTGTATTAAAATTGGCACAAAAATATCTCCTAAAAAAATTGACCTTAAGCCGTTACATTTATAATAGTACCGTAGTAGTATTAATAACAACTAACAATAATAATTTTTTTCACTCTTTTTATGCTTATACTAAACATAAATTAAAATTTTAATTTTTTAGATTATCTATTCAACAATAAAATATGCACAAAATAAGTAAATTAAAAAGAATATGAAAAATTAACAAAAAAAACCAATTGTAGTGTGATTTAAAAAATAATGAGAAGCTTAACCAATCTAGTTTATAATATAAATAGAAATTTAGTATAGAAGAATAATAATAATCTTAAATAATTTTCTTATAAAATCAAATATGAAATATGCAATTTTTTATTATTTTGTGGCTCAATAAATAGAAAAATGTTTATTTATTAATTAGAGTATAAGATTCAACTGACGAGATGGTATTCATGGTAACGAGTTGTAAAATTAAATTACTATAAAAGTTATGATGTGGTTATTAAGTGAATTAACTTTTATCTTTGTAAATTGTAATCCAAACAAGTGATCCCCTCTAAAAATAAATAAAAAAATTAATCACTATTGAAATAGTACTTAGTTAATTTGTAAGTTTGATATTTTCTAAAAGCAAAATAATTCGGTTTTAGAAGGAAAAAAAATCAGTTTTTAACCAAAAACCGAAACACCGAACCGAAAATTTTGATTTTTTAACCGAGAAACCAAACCTCAATTTGGTTTGGTTTCGGTTTTTGTTTTAGCCAATTCGATTAACCAAAAACAAAAAAAAAAAAACCGAATCGAAAAACCAAATAATCACCCCCATTCTATAGGGTTCTTAAAAGTGCGAAAAGCACACCAATGATCTTGCCCAGAGAATTCCTGGCAATGAAATCATATTACATTTGCCTGCAAATTGTTTTGTACCAACAAGAAAAATTAAGGGATTAAAATATGTGAAATGAATTATATATAGCTACTTGCCACCAAATTTTGACTAAGTTTATCATGATACTATAGGCACTTCTCAGTTTCATCCAGGACTTAAGTAATATGCTTGTATCTTGCAAGTATTCGTATGTTACATACATTGTTCTAAAAAAAAAAAAAAAAGAAGAAGATGTAAATATAGCTATATTTTCTTATATAATATCTAAAATTTTTCATATGTTCTTAAGTTTTTTGTTACATTCCATCTGTCTCTAAATTTTTTTAAAATATTTAATTTATCATTTCGATCAATTTTTTATACTAAAAGGCCTTTGATTGATATGCCAAAAAAAAAAAAATCTAAAAACTTAAAAAATGAAGCATGCAGATTAAACATGAGACTTTAAGTGTTTTTTTTTTTTAATAAATGATATTTTGGTCAAATAAGTTTTCCATTGTCGAAAAATTAATCAAAAAACATATTAAACATTTCAAAAAAATTTAAAAACATATGAGAGATTTTGAGTATTATAAAAGGAGAAATGAATACATTTATTTTAAAAAAATTTAAACATGTTACATATTTACGAGTGAATTACAAATTAGTTCCCCTAATTTCAAGAAACAAATTAATTAGTCCCTTTCGTTTCAAAAATGATTATTTGGTCATTTAATCATGTTTAATTTAATATTATTTTTATTTTATAACATCTTTTATTTTCTCATTAATATTTTATATTTTTTCTCGTTTTCAATTTCTTGAAAAAAAAATTAAAAAGGAATTAAAAAAACTAATTTATTAGTAGATTTCAAAACATGAGTACTAAATGATTAGCTTTTAAAATGAAAATGACTAATTAATTTATTTAGGGACTAATTTATAATATACTGTACATATTTATATCACTTTTACTGAGTTGCCGCTCATGCTAATTAATTTGGTTTATTTGTTGTTTGTTTGCCATTGTTTTATTCTCTAAACATTTGGTTTTCGATTTGGGGCCGTCCATGATTCAAGTGGGTTTTGGTTCATTTCGTGTTTGATTACTCATATGCCATTTTGTCTTTGGATTATTCTAAGAATTGGATATCCATTCGAGGCCGTCCATCAATCAAGTGGGGTTGGTATATCTCTACTCATTTCATTTTGTCCTTAGATTATAGCTACAGCCAGATCAAATTTAAGACTTTGGTACTTTAGATTGCAAAGTGGAAATTTAGCAGTCTGATATCGCAGATTCGAGTCCTGAAATGTCGTTTAAGGACGCTTAACTTTCAATTCTAGTTGTTTTCATTTTTTTTTTTTTTAATCTCATCTTCAATATATATATATATATATATATATATATATATATCTACAGCCTTTTCTCAAAGATGTATGCTAGCTAGCAAGCTAGGACATACCTAAAAGGGTATATCCTGCGTATGTTCTATGGAGAAAGAAAAATCTCCAGATGCATTATTGGTTGCCCTGATCGTGGGTGTCACTGGCATGGTAGGATTTAGCTTGGCAGAAGCTCTGAAGAAGCCAACAACCCCAGGCAGGCCATGGAAAGTGTATGGTGTAGCAAGGCGTCCATTGCCAAGTTGGTTTCCCTCTTCCTTGATCGACTGTTTCATATCTCTCGATGCCTTAGACCATGCCGATACAACAAACAAGCTCTCCCCTGTAGCCCAGGAGATCACACACGTCTTCTGGATTTCAAGACAACTTCGCGGTAGCGAAGAAGTAAACATCTCCATGAACTCCGCCATGCTAGCCAACGTTCTTAATGCACTCAAATCTTCTGCTCCTTCAAGACTCAGACATATTACTTTGCTAAGAGGAACAAAACAATACATGGGTCCAATATTTGATCCTTCGCTCGCAGGCAAGCTTGTTCATCAGGAACCACCTTTCAGAGAAGACCTTGGTAGACTTCCCTACCCCAATTTCTATCACGCCTTGGAAGACTTAGTTGCATCATATTTACCTTCTGTTACACATTCAGTCCATCGGTCATCAATAATAATAGGTGCATCTTCAAGAAGTCTGAATAACGCATTGCTTACCCTTTCTGTTTACGCCACTATTTGTCGACACCTAGGGTTACCATTTCGATACCCTGGGAACAAATACACCTGGGAGCATTTCTGTGACATGTCTGATGCAAGAGTGTTAGCTGAGCAACAGATATGGGCATCAGTGACTGATGGAGCTAAGAATCAAGCCTTCAATTGCACCAATGGTGATGTTTTTGCATGGAAGAGTTTATGGAAAGTCTTGTGTGAGGTCTTTGATGTTGAATTTGTGGCCTTTGAAGGAGATGAGAAATTCAATTGGGTTGAGATGATGAAGGACAAGGGCAAAGTCTGGGATGAGATTGTTCAGAAATCTGGACTATTCGAGACTAAGATGGAGGATATTGCTTGTTTCGAAGCACTTAATGTGGTTTTACATTTCGGGTTTCAACATGTCTCTAGCATGAACAAGAGTAGGGAATTCGGGTTTCTAGGCCATGCTGATACACTCAAGAGTGTCCGAATGTGGGTCGGAAAATTGAGGGAGATGAAGATCATACCATGAAGGCAATATTTACTCCTATCTATAGATTCTGTATAATTACAGAATTGTAACGAAGATGCAATGTTCTTGCTTTATCTGATCTAGCTTCACATCTTTTCTTGCTTCAAGAAGTGTAAAAAAGCGGCAATTTATGTTCTTGCTTTTGAGTAAATTTCTCTAAAGATTTAGATCTATAGGATCATGATCACCCCACCATGTCTATACTCAAATTCATCCATTTCACATCACCCCACCATGTTCTGGTGCCTAGTTCAATCAACTTTCCCTGCAACCAAAATTAGTTCTGGGTTCTATAAATGAACCTCAACTTTGGGACATTTGCTATCCAATATCAACAAACAATAAAAGGAAATCCTCAAAGGGAAAAAATTCAACAGCGTTTTACGTTGTAAAAAAATATTCAAAGGTGAACTATACATGCTTGCTAAGTTACTTATATAGCTAATTAATAATTAATGCAAGCCCACGATTTGGCAATTGTAAGGAAAAGAGAAGTTGAAAAAATGTCTTCATCGACAATGATTAATGTGTCCACTTGCTCGTGTTTCCATCCCCATAAAGCATATAAAAGAGGAGAACCTGATTGACCACTTTTTACTCTTCAGCAGTACCCTTGCTTTTCTTTTTCTTTATCAAACAGGTAAAGAATATAATCTTTCGCCATCCCACTCAAGCAACGTATAATCGAACTAATTAATCTCTACCAGGTTTATTGTTTTTTTTTTTTTTTTTTTAAAAGGGAAAAGCATCTTTGGTCCATATTTGAACTAGGTTTTGCCAATCTGACCCAAGACTTGATCGAGCTAGATAATTCTAAGGGTTAGCCCAAATCAGATCGAGCCCGATTTTTCCAATCCCTAGATCAAAAAACTAATCCAGAACTAATATTGGATTTCTTTTGATTTCTAAGCTTAAAGCACTAAGCAAATCATTATAATCTCTTTTTGGTAAAATAATATTTATATATATCTCGCAAGTATTTATATGTTACGCATACAGTCCCATAAAAAAAAAAAAAAAAAAAAAAACTGAGTGCATGCATATATTGCATAAGATATCTTTGAGTATATAAGAGAAATAGAGTAAATTATAAATTAATCCCTCTGTTTTCCAAAAAGGAATTAAATAATGCATTTTGTTTAAAAAACTAATCATTTAATATCTTAACTAATGTTCACTCCCCTTAATTTAATTTATAAAACTTCATTTTTTTTCTTTTCATATTTTCCACTTTTTTTCTATTTCTTGAAAAAAAAATAAATTGAATAACAAAAAATAAAAATAAAAATAAAAATTAATTTACATGAAAATTTAAAAATATAAAACTAAATACTTATTATCAAGGGGACTAATTAATTATTTTTTCAAAACTAAAGGAAGTAATTTATAATTTACTCGGATTCAAGTGAGTTTGGTTTTATTGAAGTTTACATTTCAATTCTTACCTTGAATGTAGCTATTACAGAAAGTAAATGAGAAAAAATAAAATAAAAGAATTGAAAAAAAAAACAAAAAGCAAATAAAAAGAGGAGCATTTTGGGATTTTTAATTTTTTCAGATTTTTTTAATTTTTATTTTTAAAAATTATCACGTGTCAACATCTTATACATATGTCATTGAAAATTGATATCATTACCTGAAAATGTGGACAAATGAAAGAAATTAAGATGCAAAGTTAAAGTTAAGAGATTAAATTAATGAAAATTTAGTAAACAAACACAAGTAAAACAATAAAAACAGTAAGAAAAAGACATCCTCAACCATTGACATGGAAACAGAGCATCTAGAAGATAATTTGAATTCTAAATGCAACACCAAATGTTACTACCATATTACATACCACAGAATTCCTGTAGGCTGCAGTGCTTTCCAACAATGTACGATCATGGATTTCCTGGTTTAAAAAACAAAACGTGTAGGATTTCTTACCCTCGATAGCAATGACCAATCACAATTTGTCTGGGGCTTGCCCTGACCACAAAATATAAATTAGATAAGACTTGTCCAGAGTAAATTATAAATGAGTCACTCTAGTTTTGATTACTAAAGTCATCATTCAATTTCATTTTAAAAACTAATTATTTAATGATTTTTGTCTATTTTATATTTTTCATTAATTTATTTTGCTTTTAGTTTTAAAATAGAGAAAGAAAAACAAATAAATATTATGACAAAGGTTAGGCTAATTCTTTTTAAAATAAAATAATATTAAATTAAACATAGTGATAGAGAAGGTTGATTAATTTACTTCTTGAAACTAAAAGGATGAATTTATAATTTATTGAACTTGTCCGAGCATAAAATGCTATGATTACTAATTAATGGTATGCTTGTTTTCAATGAGAAATTTTATAATATACAAGTAGTAACTAATGACATATACAATATTTACTCCATGGATTTATTTTGAAAAAAGAGATAGATACATTAAATTACATCCAAATTCATCAAAAGTGATAAAAAGATTTTCACGTTCGCTTAATTTTTTTTATTTTCTCTCTCCTAGTTCTCTCTCTTTTTTTTTTTTTATCTATCTCTTTTTTAAAGGTAAATCTCTCGAGTATCTATTATATATATATTATTGATTATTTATTATGTATTATAAAATTTTTAGTTTTCAAGCATACCACAAGTAGCAAAAACAAGACGTTAGAGACAAATCAGTTGTCACTCCGTAAGGTCAATGTTTACGTAATTGACAGAAAGAAACATGTGCAAGTTTATAGTTTACCCCTACCAAGAAGCTAATCCAACTAGGCATTTTTGTTTGACATACAGAAAAGAACATTGAGAGATTCTCTTATGTTTTACTAAACCTTTTTTTTTTTTTTTTAAGAGAATCAAAATAGGCCCATGCAGTGCATGCAAATTAAATTAGCTTTTTCCTCCCTCAAACTCCAATTATTTTTGGACCCACTTCACTGGTTTACGATGAGCCAGTCCAAGGCTGTGTTTGGTAATGCCTTCATTGCAAGTCATTTTAAACATAATTTGATGCTTTGATTTTTTTTTAACTGTTTTTAAATGATTTTAAAAATACTCATATTAAAAAAATGTTAAAATTGATTTATACTTTATATCACTCGGTAATAAATATTACGACAAGATTAGGAGAGAGTTTTTTTTTTAAATAAAATAAAATAAAATTAAACATAGCCGACATTGATTAAAAAAAAACTTAATAACTAATTTTTAAAACAAAGCAAATTAATTAATTTGTTTCCTGAAACTAAAAGGACTGATTTATAATTTACTCAACTTGTCCGAGCATAAAATGCGGGTCTCATGGAATGCATCAGTGCAATGCTTAAACCAAGAGAAAGAAAAAAGGAACTGCAGAAATTGTGAATTGCTTTATGGAGGAAGAAAAGCCTCCAGATGCATCAGTTGCCCTGATTATGGGTGTAACTGGCATGGTAGGATTTAGCTTGGCAGAAGCTCTAAAAAAGCCAACAACTCCAGGAAGGCCGTGGAAAGTGTACGGTGTAGCAAGGCATTCCTTGCCGAGTTGGTTTCCGTCTCCCTTGATCGACCGTTTCATATCTCTCAATGCCTTAGAACATGCCGAGACAACAAACAAGCTCTCCCCTGTAGCCCATGAGATCACACATGTCTTCTGGGTTTGCTTACAGATTCGTGAAAGCGAAGAAGTAAACATCTCCATGAACTCCACCATGCTAGTCAATGTGCTTAATGCACTCAAATCAGCTATTCCTTCACGACTCAAACATGTTACCCTGCAAACAGGCACCAAACACTACATGGGTCCAATATTTGATCCTTCACTTACGTGCAAGCTTGTCCATCACGAGCCACCTTTCAAAGAAGACCTAGACAGACTCCCCTACCCCAATTTCTATTATGCCTTAGAAGACTTGCTTGCATCGTATTTACCTTCTATTACACACTCGGTCCATCGCGCATCAATAATAATAGGCGCATCTTCAAGAAGTGTGTACAACACATTGCTTACTTTATCAGTCTATGCCACTATTTGCCGATACCAAGGGTTGCCATTTCGATACCCTGGGAACAAATACACTTGGGAGCACTTCTGTGACATGTCTGATGCAACAGTGCTAGCTGAGCAACATATATGGGCAGCGGTGACTGAGGGAGCTAAGAATCAAGCCTTCAATTGCACCAATGGTGATGTGTTTACATGGAAGAGTTTATGGAAAGTCTTGTGTGAGGTCTTTGATGTTGAATTTGTGGCCTTCGAAGAAGATGAGGAATTCCATTGGGTTGAGACGATGAAGGACAAGGGCAAAGTGTGGGATGAGATTGTTGAGAAATATGGGCTATTGGAGACTAAGATGGAGGAAATTCCTTGTTTCGAAGCATTTGATGTGGTTTTGCATTTTGGGTTTCAACATGTCTCTAGCATGAACAAGAGTAGAGAATTCGGGTTTCTAGGGTATGCTGACACCCTCAAGAGCATCCGACTGTGGGTGGGGAGGTTGAGAGACATGAAAATCATACCATGAGGACTATGTCAACTCCAATCTAGACTTAGTTTTCTTAATGTAAGAATAATACTAGAGTGTAACTAATAAAGCAATGGTATTCTTACTTTATCCCCAGGTGCACATCTTTCTTTACTTTTAAAGTAATTTCTCTAATTCTTGCTTTTTTCGGTTTTTCTTTTTCCCATTTATTTCAACCTATGAAATGAACCTATGCATGTTTTCACCTGTTATAAGGAAAGCAAAGCCTAACTTATACAGGATCCAAGCAGAGACAAGAAACCTTAGTAATATCACCTTACCACAGATTCAAACCATACAGCAAAGGATCATGGAGGAAAGTTACTAAGATCTTTGAACTCTCGAAAGGCATAAGTAGTAAGCAAAATAGTATCATTAAGGTTTACTTTCAAAATCAATATAGGAGTTGCCCAATGATGATAATCAAAGACAAAATTCGAAATCTACAGAATCACGATCTTGCCAAGGAAAGGGTCAACAAACAATGCATGAAATCAACCTACATTTCTACCCCCAGTATTCCCAATTCACATAACCTCCCAAAAGAAACCAAGTTCAGGGTTCGTGGCACATTTACAATCATGATGTGATCATTAAAAATGGTGATTGAACATTTAACGAGGGAAAGCAAACAATTCAACCATTACCAAGCCTAGCTTGCAAAATGTTCAAACCGGATTCCAGAACTATACTTACGTTGTTCAAACAATCTGAACCTTACTGTTTTCTTATGCATATAGATCCAAACAACCCGAGCAAATACACCTAATTTCCCACAACCACGAATACCAAAACGACACTAAGCCTAACCTTATCTTACCATGTCTTCTCCAAAACATCACACCCTCCACCCATACCAATACTGCAAACCACAATGTACCTCAAATTATCCAATACCCTTAATCCTAAATTAGCTACAAATCCACAATATAACTCCTAAGAAGTCCTTCTCGAACCAAGCTAGCTATATAGTATCTTAAAATTCTAATTTTGGCAAATAATTGAACGAAAATTAGACAAAACGATCATAAAATCGAAACAAAACATAATCATTCTAACCGAGCTAGCTTTATAGTATCTCAGAATTCTAACTTTGGCAAATAATTGAATGAAAATTAGACAAAAATGATATAAAATTGAAAGAAAAAACTCAAAATTATCATTCTCAGCTGATAATTATTCCATCATAATATACAATTATCAAATAAAATAAAATACAATAAAATTAACAAAAAAGAAAAGGAAAGTACCTCTCTTTATAAAAATGTGTGCCGAACAATTAAAACATGACCTCCATCAAGCAGGACCGATCTCTCCTAGCTTCTCAACTCCGTCAACTTCAATGCCAACGCGTTTCACCGTATCAAACAATGGCAACACACGCTTTCTATAATGAATCGGCCTTGACAACTCTTCGTACAAATCGATATAAATATTATTAACCCCAATTTCTTTTAATCTAAACCCTACTTTCTCCCCAACACGCGACGCCGTTTTTGAGTCCCAAGATTGGCGACGCAAGATAGGGAGGGAAGTGTTACGGAAGTGAGAAAGGAAAGATTCTTGTTAGGAGGAAGAAGCCATCGCGATTATTGTGGAAGTCGTCGGATTTGTTACCTGTGCTGCTATTTCCCGGCAGGATAGGACCGGCCGGAGAAGGTGTTGCTGATTTCTAGACATATTTTCTTCATTTAACGGAGAGATGGCGGAAAAGATGAAGTGGTGATGCCGTTGGGCTTGGGTAGTTGATATATGGGTTTGGAGTTTGGGCTGATCAATGACAATACAAAAGTAGTATTGGGATGTTTAAGCCCATACCTAGACAAAATTCTGTTCGATCCATTTTTGATAGGTTATGTGTATTTTAACTAGTAAATTTTATTTACTAATTATTCCTCTAGTTTCAAGAAATGAATTAATTAATTCTTTATGTTTTAAAAAATAAATTAATCATTTATGTCCATTTTATCCTTTTTTTTTCAAAAAAATTGATTTGTTTCTATTTTTGGAAAATAAAAAAATTGATATTATGAAAAAATTGTTGAGAAAAAAAGAATTTTTTTTAAAATAAAATAATATTAAATTAAATATGATCAACATTGGTTAAACGATTAAATAATAAATTTTTGAATAAAAGACTAATAAATTTGTTTCTTAAAACTGGAGGAACAAATTTATAATTTACTCATATTTTAACAGATACTTTCATGATAATTTTTCATTTTTAAATTCTCTTTATATTTAACTTGAAATAATAATACAGTGGTGAATCTTGCTTTCATTAGAATGTAAGTGGATTTTTTTTTTTTTTTTTTATCATGTAATGTAGAAATTTTACTGAACAAAAAAATGAAGGAAAATATTTAGCTATTTTCTAAATTCAATAAAAATGATGAAATATGATTTTTCATATTGTTGCCGGTCTTTTTATTTTTAAAAAAGAAAAAACATTGATGCTTGCACCATAAAAGATAATAGGGAAAAAAGAGTGGTAATGGCAATGGTATAATAAAAATAGTGTTTGTGGTGGAGGAAGAATAATGACATAATAATAATAATAATTTGTTTGAATTTTTTTATTACCATTGTCAGTTGGAATAATGATAGTATCAGTAGTGATAGTGGTAGAAATAATTGATATACAACAAATAAAACTATTTTGAGAGAGAAAAAAATTTTCATTTTCATTTCTTATTTCTATTGCCACCTTCCCCAATAAAACTATATTTGATTTTCATTTTTATTCCTATTTTATTCTTTTTATCCAAACAATTTAAATACAAGAATAATTTTCTTATTTCTATATTTTCATTCTTTATTACCCAAAAAGCACCTGAATATATAAGAGAAATGCAACAATAAGATATAAAATATGGTATTATTTTTATTTTTTTAAAAAAAATGAGCCTGAAATTAGAGGAGCATCTCCATCAAAATTTACTGGGTTGCTGTTTAATGTTAATTTGGTTTATGTTTTGCTGGATTATTGGGCATTTTAGCAATTCAACTTCGATTTCAAGCCATCCAGGATCCAGGTAGGTTTGGTTTTACTGAAGTCACTTTGCATTCCAATTCTTACCTTGCATGTAACTATTACCAAAAGTAAAGGAGAAAAAGATTAAGAAAACAAATTGTGGAATTAAAGACTATTGCAACCCTAAAAACAGAGCATCTACAAGAAAATTTGCTGGCTGTAGTGCTTCTCAAAAATGTATGGTCAAGGATTTCCTAGTTTAACAAAACAAAACGGGTAGGATTTCTGATCTTCAATAGCAATGACCAATCACAATTTGTTTGAGACTAGCCCTTTCAATAAAATATAAATGAGATAAGACTTGTCCAGAGTAAAATTATAAATGAGTCACTCTAGTTTTGAGAAATGAATTAATTAATCCATTTGTTTCAAAACTAATTATTTAGTCTTTTTGTCCATTTTATGTTCTTTTCAATTTATTTTGTTTTTAGTTTTAAAAATAGAGACAAAAATAAATATTAAAAAAAGGTTATGAGGAAAGAAGAATTTTTTTAAAATAAAGTAATATTAAATTAAGCATGGTTAAATTGATCAAGAAACTAAATAATTAATTTTTAAAACAAAAAGAATTCATTCATTCCTTCATTTCTTGAAACTACAAGGACTAATTTATAATTTACTCAACCTGTCCAGGCATAAAATGCCTATCTCATGGAGTGCATCAGTGCAAAGCTTAAACCAAAAGAAAAAGTAAAAAAGAAAAAAAGAACTAAAGAAATTGTGCATGCTTTATGGAGGAAGAAAAGTATACAGATGCATCAGTTGCCCTGATTGTGAGTGTTACTGTCATGGTAGGATTTAGCTTGCCTGAAGCTCTAGAAAGGCCAACAAGTCGAGGCAGGCCGTGGAAAGTGTATGGTGTAGCAAGGCGTTCCTTGCCAAGTTGGTTTCCATCTTCCTTGATCGACTGTTTCATATCTCTCAATGCCTTATACCATGCTGAGACAACAAACAAACTCTTACCAGTGTCCCATGAAATCACCCACGTTTTCTGGGCTATGCAGACACACTCAAGAGTATCCGAATGTGGGTGGGGAGATTGAGAGACATGAAAATCATACCATGAAGACGAGGTGAACTCCAATCTAGACTTAGTTTTGTACACAATAATCGTTTCTCAATGTAAAAATAGCACTAGAGTGTAACTAATGATCCGATGGTATCCTGACTTTATCTCCAGCTGCACATCTTTCGTTACTTTTAAAGTAATTTCTCTAATCCTTGTTTTCTCGGTTTTTCTTTTTTCCATTTATTTCAACAACCTATGCACTTTTTCACCTGTTGTATGGATAGCAAACTCTAACTTATAAAGGATCCGAGCAGAGACGAGAAACCTTAGTAATATCACCTTACGACAGATTCAAATCATCTGGCAGAGGACCATGGAGGAAAGTTACTAAGCTATTTGAACTATCGAAAGGCATAGGTAGTAAAAACAGCATCATTAAGGTTTTACTTTCAAAATCAATAGAGGAGTTGTCCAATGCGGATAATGAAAGACAAAATCTGACATCTACAGAATCATGATCTTGGAAAGTAAGCAAAGGGTCAACAAACAATACTTGAAATCCACGTACATTTCTACCCCCAGTATTCCCAATTCACATACCCTTCCCAAACGAAACCAAGCTCAGGGTTCATGGCGTATTTGCAATCATGATTGGATCATGGAAAAATGGTGATTGAGCAAAGTAAACAACTCAAGCATTACCAAACCTAACTTGCAAAATGTTCAAACCAGATTCCAGAACTACACTTGCGTTGTTCAAATAATCTGAAGCTTACTATTTTTTTACCATATAGATCAAAACAACCCGAGCGAATACACCTAATTTCCCACAACCCCGAATACCAGCATGACACTAAGCATATCTTACCATGTAGTGTCCGAAACATCACACCCTCCACCCACACCAATACTGCAACCGTAACGTACCTCAAATTATCCAATACCATTTATCCTAAATTAGCTACAAATCCATAACATAACTCCACCCTTCTCGAACCGAGCTAGCTATACAGTACCTCAAAATTCTAATTTTGGCAACTAATTGAATGAAAATTAGATAAAATGATCATAAAATTGAAACAAAAAATTATCATTCAAACCGAGCTAGTTATATAGTATCTCAGAATTCTAACTTTGGCAAATAATTGAATGAAAATTAGACAAAATGATCATAGAATTGAAACAAAAACATACAAAATTATCATTCTCAGCTGATAATTATTCCATCATAATCGACAATCATCAAATAAAATACAATAAAATTAACAAAAAAAGAAAAGGAAAGTACCTCTCTTTATAAAAATGTGTGCCGAACAATTAAAACATGACCTCCATCAAGCAGGACCGATCTCTCCTAGCTTCTCAACTCCGTCAACTTCAATGCCAACGCGTTTCACCGAATCAAACAAAGGCAACACACGCTTTCTATAATGAATCGGCCTTGACAACTCTTCATATAAATCGATATAAATATTATTAACTCCAATTTCTTTTAATCTAAATCCTAATTTCTCCCCAACACGCGACGCCGTTTTTGAGTCCCAAGATTGGCGAGGGAAGATAGAGAGGGAAGTGTTGCGGTAGTGAGATAGGAATGATTCTCGTTCGGAGGAAGAAGCCATCGCGATTATTGTGGAAGTCGTCGGATTTGTTACCTGTGCTGTTATTTTCCGGCAGGAGATGACCAGCCGGAGAAGGTGCTGCTGATTTCCTGACATATTTTCTTCTTTTTGTAACAGGCAGAGACTAACAGAGAGAGAGAGAGAGAGAGAGAGAGAGGGAAGGAAGTAATGATGTCGTTGGGCTTGGGTAGTGATATATGGGGTTGGGTTTTGAGCTGTTCTAATCCAAAAGTATAGCTGGGCTTATAAGCCCATATATATATATATAGCCCATATATATATATATATATATATATATATATATATATATATATATATATATATGAAATAATAATATGGTGAATCTTGTTTTTATTGTTATATAATGGTGGATTTTTTTCTTTTTTTATCATAGACTATAGAAATTTTATCAGATAATAATTTTTTTTATTTTTTTTTAACTAGGTTTAATATTTTTCAAGATAGAAAAGATAAAATTTAACCTCTCTCAACGAATATAATTACAAAATTCGGATCCTGTTTATTGGCCCATCTTATTTATAACTGAATCAACAACTTGTTGATAAAATATATTATTATTTTTAAAATCTAAAAAAAATAACAAAATATGATTTTTCAGATCGTTTATTTCGAATTGAAATTTTTCATCTTTATAAAAATGTGGAATTTAATAATATATACTGGGAAGTCTAAGATCTTTTAAATAATATCATTTTATTAAAATACAAGAAATATTCACAGCATTCTATATTTTGAGGAATGTAGCAATCAAAGTCCAAATCTTGGCTAGAAGACATGATAGCACATCCAAACTCTTTCAAAATGCAGTCATTATTTGTATCAATTTTTTTGCAATTTTATTCCTTTTTTTCCCCCTTATTGGTGAAGCATTATGTTGCAAGCTAATGTCTTAATAAGCAATTTCGTACTTTAATGAGCATATAAAATTTTTCACAAGAATATGACAAACAAAGGTACAAAAAGGCTTCTTGCCTTACCAAATGTAAAAACAATATATATATATATATATATTTTTTTTTTCCATATTTCTAATGGGCATATTTACTTGTATTTTATATTTGCCCACTAGAAAGGCCAAAATAAACAGAAGCATGAAAAGAAAGAAAAAGCGAGTGAAATAGATAAGGAAAAAAAAAAAGATGCAATCAATCAACAACTTTCATTACATGTGTATATTAAAAAAACCCAAATCCCATCTCTGTTGCGTTTCATACTCAAAAGCTGTAATCTGAACTGAGTACTCTCTTGTTTATTGGAGGCTTTGAGCTATCCGCCAATCCATTTAGCCCACCATTTTCATTACCTTCAATTTTGTCTTCCTCCACTTCTTCATCTACCTCAAAAGCAGGATGGTTAAGAATTTTGGTAAGCAATTGCGTCCCTCTAAGTGCATTTGTCAAAGGCAAGTGGCCTTCAGGTGTATCATCACTAAGCTCCCAGATGAACTCATCAGGAAAAGACCTATAGTTGTATTGCTCAACCTCGGTATCAAGTTTCTTCATCCACCCAAGTTTGATGAACAGTTTAGAGAAGTCTTTGTTAGCCTTTTGTTGCCATATTCTCTTTTGAACACTGTATCCAAACTTGTTGTTGCTGTGCTTTTTCCACAGTTCATCAATGGCTTTAAGGTCTTGTTCTGATATGAACTGAACCTCAGAGAAGAAGACATAGCCGCGCTTCTGAGCTGCTTCGCCAGCTAGAGCTATGAGAAGCCTGCGGGTTTCCTCATCGGCTTCACGGAAGTTTTGGTTGGAGAGGTGTTGCTGGAGGAGGTCAAGGGAGGAGGTTTTGGAAGTCGAGGGAGTAGTGGAGGTGGTGGGGGAGATGGCGTGAGCAGTGGTGGGTGTTGAGTACGAAATAGAGAGGGAGAGGGAAGTGTTGGTGGTGGTGGAGATGGATGTTGTAGGCTTAAGGAAGAGGAAGGAGGGAGGGGCGGTGTCTGAGGGGAGGAGCTTGAGGAGGGAATGATGGTGGTGGAGGGACTGTAAAGAGTTGGTGGCCATTTGAGAGAGAAAGAAAGAGCAAGGGAAAGGGTATGGAAGTTATGGGATCATGAAGGAAGGTGATGGCTTTGATGGAGTGGAAGGATTGAGTGTGGGTTGGATTTTGGTGGGAGATAAGGAAGTTGTGAAGAAAGAAGTATAGACGTCATCAAGAGCAATACAAAGGTCGATTTTTATTGGATAGATGTGGGTGAGGCCAGATCCTCCCTGTCTCTCTCTCTCTCTCTCTATCTATCTCTTCTCTTTCCTATTCACAAATAAAGACAGGAAAGTATGTTTGTCACCATAAAAAACTAAGGATAGAAAAACAAAAAAATCAAAGTGCCATTCTAGCCTTTGCCTTCCACAAGCAAGTTGTGGAGCAAATACATTCCGAAGCCTTGTAAAAGTTTGACTAAATTTTGCCTCACCATTACCAATTACGAAATGAAGTAAAGTCTGGTTTCAGTAGATGGATTTCATTTACTCATTCTCAAGCAACGAATGCCTTGATGAAAACTAACACTTATGAGCACATTCAAGAGGAGGCAATCCCTAATTAGATAGAAAAAGATCATAACCAGACCAATTTCTGCGGGCAGGATTGATCCATTTCGCAAAAGCTTTTTAAAGGCCTCCCATCCATTGTCCACAAAAAGCCCAAATATGGGCTCTCACTCAACTGGTAACAGCAAAGAAACTTCAACAAATCCCACTAAAGAGCACTCTCAAAGAGAAAAACAGTTGAGCAGTAATTCTTTGAGAAGGTACTAAATGAGCTTAAACTCGCAAGTCAGACCAATCAGTTTCGATAAGTAGATGATCTTACCACATAGAAGACATAAAAGCACCATCAAAAGATGAAGTTTATAAACCTCCATCTGTTTCAATTAGCCTTCCTCAAATATTTACATTAATCCAGAACGAGTAGACTAATTGGATTTACATTTCTGATGTCCAAGAGGAAGAACTAGGCAGGATCATAAAGCATGTAATGCACACTGAGACACAGAAATCTTATCTCAGTGAGGCCCTCGACAAAGCAATTAGACTAAAGTACATCTTCCGTTTTGTGGGATCTCTACAGATTGTTAGTGAAACGAGCAGGAGAAGACAGAACTAATCAATCATCTAAATTCCTCATGTGGTAACAACGAGCCAAACCCTGAGCAGTTCCATCAGAAATGACATTATCTATCATGTCGTACTTCTTATAATTTGCTTTAAGTTCTTCTGCTTGCTGCTTTGCAAGCTTCTCTTCTTCGCCCAACAGGTGCTGCAAATGAGAATGGCAATTTAAAAGAACATAACCAGCCAAAATAAATTAAAAAACTACTCTACTGGAAAAATATGCAAGCATCAAGTAAATAAAATGAAATTCCATGGATGTTATCACATAAACTTACCTTCAGCAAAAATAATTCTTCAGCAGCATGCTTTCTGACAAGACGCTTCATTTTATTTGTACATTCAAAATCAGGGTCTTTTGGGTCCAACCAACGGCACTGTATCCTTCTACCACGCTTGATTGGGCGATCATCAAACATCTCCTCTTCAGCAGCAAATGCTCTAACAGGCCTAGGCGTCCCAGAGATCATGAAGGGGAACTGAGTGATCTCTGAAACAATGGCTTCAGCTTGCCTAGGACTCTCCATTTCCACCAAGGCACAACATGGGATATTTTCGAGTCCTGTATAGTTTGGAATAAACTGTACATTCTTCACAGTCCCAAACTGACCAAAAGCTGTTCTCAGGACAGATGCAGTCACTTGTGGTGAAAGATTGTCGATGAGAATTGTACGTTTCACCTTCTTTTGAAATGCAGCATAGTCTGCTTCAGGAGTAGGAGTAGAACCCATGTTGGACAGTACCTCAACCTAACAGAGCCATACATCCAAGAGCTAAACAAGTTAGTCATTCTAGGTTTTTCTGTCCAAAAATACATTCCATCATGATTAGCCTTTTCAACTAAAGTCATATTCACAACATCCAATTCATAACCTAACAACATATACATATCAGAAATTAAAAATTAAACGAACATTTTTCCATGATAAAGCTTCCAAGGTTTAGCAAGTTGCAATAGTTGACCCCATAATAATGCTGCCACATGCTCTTGTCTTCCTATAATTATTCTAAATGTCATTTCCGATACATTAAAATTCACATCATGAACTAGACCAGACCCAAACCATAAGACAGGCAGCTGGAGACTATCTTCCCATTAGCTAACCTACATCTCGGTTTATCAGTTCAAAATACAAATTCAGTTCCCACTACTTAAAACAGCCGGGCTCCAAGAAATCGACACACCGCTATGCTTATAGATACACTGACACCTCATTTTACGGCAGATGACTTACTAGCTGTCTAGCTCCCATAAACCACATGAGAAACCAAGAATAGTACAACACATCAACAACACAGTAATCACAACTCACCATTGGCACATGACAAGCAGTCATATCTAGAAAGAAATTAGTAAATCCCGTCTAGGCAGTGTTAGAAAAATTCGACCAAAATCCACCCACCATGAATTTCTCTATTAGGAATCAATTAAAAAACAACCACCAAAGATGTACCAACTGAAGGCATAATGTCAAACTCTATGAATAAAGTGACTAGAACACCACACTATACAGAAAATCACTAATGCAGCTCCCATAGAACATATGAAAAAGAAAGAACAGCACAGCATATTAACCACAACTCACTAACAACATATGACAAGAACCCAAATCTAGAAAGAAACTAATAACTATACGAACAGAATCGACCCACCATGTATTTTGCTATTTCGAATAAAAAACAACATGAACCAGCTGAATGCATGTAAAACGCGGAAGGATGAGACTAAAGTGACAATAATCCATTCTTCAAAACTTCACAATCATAAACACAAACATGCATTCCATGCGATAATCAATCAATTACTAGACAAATTCGAGGATGAACTTACAGATGCGGATTGAATTAATCAAGTCGAAATTTTGAAAGGGATTTTTTTTTTTTTAATGAAGGTGAGAGATCAAATGGGATAAAAAGAACCCTAATTCAGAGAATTAGGGCTCAATATCTTATACTAGAGAGAGGTGTGGAACTCGTTGAATGTTGGGCCTGGAATCGACCTATTAAGGTTAAACTTTGAAACCCAGTTTTTACTTTGGGCCTTTCAAGCCTTGATTATTTTGTGAGATACAATTGAAAAGTTTTTTGAAGTACAGGGATTTTTTTTTTTTTTTTTGGGCCAACGAGTTAATATGCAATCATATGATAGAATATTTCTAATTAAATCAATTTATTTTTTAATATATATTTTAAGTGAACATTTTCAAGTTCACTACTGTAATAAATTACATGATTTGCATATAAAACATGTATATTTAACCACATTGAAAGAATATTTTAAAAATAAAAATTGATCATTTTTCGAAAAAAAAAAGAAGCTTTTTTTGTTAAATTTTTCTTTTTTAAAAAAATTGTACGAAATTCAAGGAATTTTGACTAAGTATTTCATATGAGATTTAGATGGTATACTCACTAGAAATTTCCTTCTCAACTTCTCTTTTTGAATTCAAATCCCAAAATAAAGATGAAAAGCAAGCACATGAACTTAAAATAGTATCAATCAACATTGATAAAAGTGGTGAGGTTTGAAATTTAAACACGAACTTAAAATTAGACAACCTTGTAGAGCAAGAAAATAAAAATAAAAGTTGATATAAAATCAGCTTATTGATGTTTTTTTCTTACCATAAGTCACTAACTATAATGAAGTTGATATAAAATAGTGATGAAATGCTAATCGAATTTAAAAATTAATAAATTTAATTTTGATCGGTACGAAAATTGATTTGATGATACTATATTTATAAATATAAAAAATAAAGTTAGATACTTAATCTAAAAAGCCATAAATTTACTTTTCATTGATATAAAAATTAATAAAAATATATATATAGCTTACGTGGTTATTATGGTTGAAGTGCTTGACAAGGAGGAAAGCCAAAATGGACTTTTTTTAATTTTTTATTAGGCAATAAAGACAAGGATGAGCGTTCAAGAATACTAAAAGAAGTCTTGTCATGCAAGAAAATGGACCAATGCCATCATGCAAATGCATCTAACCCAATCCCTGAATTTTCTTGCCATGGCCCGTTTGAAGCTACAGCAACGACTGGGAGTCTGGGACTAGTAAATTATAAAATTAGTCCCTTTAGTTTTTGAAAAAAACTTAATTAGTTCCACTGTTTTTAAAACTAATCATGTATTGTATTTTTTTCATTCATTTATGTCATTTTCTAATTTATGTTGTTTTTAAAGTAAAGTACTGTTAATTTAAGTGTGATCAACACCAGTTAAAGAGTTAAATAATTATTTTTTAAAATAAAAAAATTAATTAATTTATTTTTTGAAACTAAAGGGATTAATTTATAATTTATTTCTGTTCTGATAAACTTACTTATATTATCCTATAAAAAAATCTATAGTTCAGTGATGAAAATAAGTGATGGATGATGATTCATAATTAAATAAAAAACATTAAATAATGAATTATAATTGTGATCCAGATGTGAATGTTAATGATAGATTATCTTATTGTCAACTATTGACAACTTCCATCGTTAAATAACAACGTAAAATATTTAATTTTTTTTTCAGTTTTTTTAATAAAATAATTATTTTAAAAAAATTAACTAAATCTTATTTTTACCCATGAAGAGATTTGTCAAAACTAAGACGATTTGGAATTAAATTCTGATTTATTTTAGCAGCCACATTTTACGACAGCAGCCAGACATCGTACAGTAACAACAAAAAATGCTGTCCCAAAAAAAAAAAAAAGAAACGAGAATCCAACAAATCAAATGCCCATACAAAGCCAGCCTCCAAGCCCACAACCAATGCAGGTGCAACGTATATAAATCAAACTTCCATTATTTAAATCATCCGAAACGCAGAAAACTCCACATTTTCAAAGTCCTACAAATCATTTTACTACAAATCATTTTACGCAAATCTTCTTTGATTTCAAAGAAATCTCTTTTTTACTATATGAAGGAGGAAACTTTGTTGGGTTTATGCCTTAATGGGTTTTTGATGACATAAAAAACCCGTCTATTTTTAGTGATTTTAAGGCATTTTGGTTTCTGGGTTCATGAAATTTCATTGATTTCTATACATTTTTGCTATAACGGTTGAGTATTTTTTATTACAAGTGAAAAGGGTTTGTGGGTTTTGAAGAATGGGGCATAGTTCGAAGAAGAAAAAGAAAGGAGGAGGAGGGGGTGGAAGGAGAAGCAAAGGAAGGTCTCAATCAAAAGACAATTCCTTTAATGCAGATGACAATGAACTTCTTGCTGAAGAGATTACTGCCTTGTAAGTGGTTCTTGTTTGGATTTTTGAATGGTAGAGTTTAGTGTTTTATTGGTTTTACTATATCACCTTTTCTTTTATTCAAATTTTTGGTTTTGGAAGTTTTGTGTTCTTGGTAGTTTGGTTCAAGCTTTTGAATTAGAGGCTGTTGTCTTTGGAATAGTAGGGAGTACGACTTGAAGTTGGTGATTTTCATTGCCTTGAAAAATATTTGAAATTTAGAGTTTGTTTCTAATGGGATGTAATAATTAATTTGCTGCAATTTTCGATTGGTTTGGAATTGGACAGTGACTCAAAGATCATTAAATTTGTAAATTGAGATCGTTTGGGACCTTCGGAGCATAGAAATTGTTAGTGTTTATAGTTAAAAAGTATTCGAGGGCAGAATCTACTCGTTGATTCTAATTGTCCGGGATGCTTTTAGTTCAAATAATACTTTTTGATGACGGCCTATAACATTCTTTGCAAGTGGCAGAAAAGCTTTAAACTTTTGCTACATTTAGAGTATTCCTATGATGGTCATTTGGCTTTACATGATTAGAATTTTTTTCAGGCTGTGCTTACTTTAGCTTTCACGGTATTCAGTATAAGGATTTACTTTTTACAATCGTGTCTTTGTGTTTTACTGTAATCTTCTATGTTTTCAGAAATGCAATATTTCAAGAAGATTGCAAGATTGTTTCGGACTCACCTCCACAAATCATCATAAAGCTCAGGTTCATTTTATTTCAATATTCTTTCTAACTTTTACTTGAGATATAATTTTCCTGGATTTATTTTTGCTATGTTTGAATTTGAGCAGGCCTTACTCAAAAGATATGGGCTATGAGGATCTAGATGTTTCAGCTCTGCTTTCAGTCAGGTTGGTGATTCGCTCGTTACTGTTATTTTCATTCTATGTTAATAAATATGTCTTCTCATGCTTTTTTCCTTTTTCCTGTTACTTATTTATCAGGTGCTTGCCTGGATACCCAGACAAGTGTCCGAGGTTGCAGATTACTCCTGAAAAAGGTTTGACAAAATGTGATGCAGATAATCTTCTATCTCTCCTAAATGACCAGGTAAAGGATGACTAGTTTGAGCTTGATTGACAATACACTATCATGCAAGTAATCTGCAATCCTGAATGCAAACTTTTTTGTCGCCTTCATGTTTATTTTCTAAAGATATCAAAGGCAATCTCTTACTTCGCCTAACAATTTTAATTTTTGGATCAAGTATTTCTTTCATGGGGTATGATAGCCTCTTTGACCAAGTGATCAGAATTTCAAATCCTCAAACCCTCTCCATTTATTTACAAATTATTTCAACACAATGTAGTGGTATGCCTGTGATCAGTCAACATTTTATGGCTAATGTGCTTTCGCCTGAGGCATGCTAAAGATATTAAAGCCTATCTCTGATCTTCACCTTACCGCATTAGTTTTTGGGTTGTGTGATTCTTTGATATAAACAAAGGGTTATTTAATGACTTTGTTAACTTAAACTTGAAATTCAAATTCAAGTAACTATTCTAAATTTTGAATGCATATACATACATCATCATGTGCTAAATTTTATTATATAACTACAGTTTATGTTTTTGCTTTCAACATTTCACTTCATTGGGTTGAATTGAGTTGCATTTCTCTTACTGCAATTCTCTTTCGTTTAAGGCAAATTCTAATGCTCGAGAAGGACGAGTAATGATTTTCAATCTGGTGGAGGCTGCTCAAGAGTTCCTCTCTGAATTAGCTCCAGTGGGTCCAGCACCTGGAACTGTAAGCTTTGGCATGGAATTGCCTCTTGCATTTCCAGTTCTTTTAATTAATATGCCATGCATATTTATTCATCAATGCATTAGTTTGCTTCCCTGCTTTCATTTGCAAAGCAATATATTTCAGTTTTTGCAATGTCTTAGTTTTGATTATTCCATGAATTCTGGTTCATATCTGTTATTTATCAGTATCTTAAGGTTTTGGTGTTTTCTTAATCTTTTTCATGATTGGAGACTTGGGAAATTGATGTTATTTATTATATGGATGTCCTATATTTCTTATGTTTTTGGATTAGAAAGTTTTGTTTTTGATTTCTAAGTCTTCATTTTATGTTAAGAGACAAGGAGTGTTCCTTTACGGTAGGTGTCCTTTTGGGTAAAACTATAGCATAGAGGGAAGATTAGAAAGTATCATAATAATAAAGTGAAACAAAATGGTGATTCAAGGAGAAGGGTGGTTGAAGGTCCAAAAGAAAAAAGTTCCATACCAGTGTAATGTATCCTGTAATTGTTAATGACATTGTCCATTATTTCTGTTCTCTATTTGTTTAAATGTGATCTAATACATTCATTTCTTCTTTAGGTTTTGTGCTCAATCATCAATAGCAGCAGTCAGTTATTTCAGAAGGACACTGCAGTTTCTAGTAACAAGAGCAGCTCATCCAGGGGACCTTTTGTTTATGGTTTCATAGACCTCTTTAGTGGCTGTGGAGAGTCATGGCATTGGGGTCTTGCTGTGGATGAAGTAAAATCTCATGTGTCAGACAATTCAGACGTTGGACATGAGGTACTGGAGAAGAAACTTGATAAGATTGCAAAGCCATTGGCAGTCCAAGAGGCAAAGCAAGGTCCATTGATTTCCCCCGTTGCCAAGTTGGATACCCTTGAAGAAGAAAGTGAAGATGAAAATAAGGGCCTATCTACTACTAATTCAAGTAGATCTCTAGTGGAGGAATTGGCAGGAATTGACATGAAAGGGGAGAAGCAGGTGAATAATATTGAACATGTTCTGTTTTTTTTTCCCTTTGATTGTTAGCTGCTTGAATTTGTTAAGTTTGTACCGTCTATGATTCCATTGTTCTTCATATAAACTTTGATAGTTTCCATCTTTATATTGCTCTTCTTTGGGTATGTCATTTTCTAAATATATATAAATGACAATATATTGTTAAAACAATGAGGTGGTAAAGGATGTAAAGTCCATTTTCTTAGCTTTCACATATTCACTAGGCTCTTCAATTATAGGTTTTATTGATAATATATTGGTCAAAATAAGAAAGTACATGCACTGTGCTTTTTTCATTTTCTGTGCAGCTTTTACCCTCTGTGAATGGGTGGGTGGTGCCTCCTTTATTGCCTTTCTGATAGATTGCTTATGAAAAGGCTTAAATGAGAAAGGAGTTAAACTATCCCGGGATGGACAGTTTTTGTAAGAATGACTACTGAAAAATATAAAAATCCTAGGTCGTCAAGACACACAACTTTGAGATTCTGGGCAAAAAGTACAGTGCAGCTTTTGGTGACTTCTTGAAAATGGAGATAAACTTGATGAAAATAACGAAGTTAATTGTTTGTGCATTTCATAAATTGGAGCAGAGATTTGCACAAAGTAGTTCAATTGTCCTGCCACAGTAAAGAATATGACAAACAGATCAACAATACTTAATTTTTGAAGAAATTTGAGCTACCATTACTTGTCAGCATTCTTCAGAGTGAAGGTCAAATTTATATTGTAATATTCACTAATACAGAGGTACTGCATGCTTTTACAGGTTATTTTTCTTGAGAAGCATGACTATGGATCAGAAGATGATGACGACGAGGATGAGGATGATGGTGACAATGAGGACGATGATGAAGATTTTGAAAGTGAGAATTGGGAGTCACTGTCATCGAATTTCTTAGGGTTTAATCTAGCATCTCAAACTATTGAAAAGGATCTAATAATGGTATGTCATTTATTTATCGGGATAAAAATCACTCTCTTCATATTTTCTCCTTTTGCTTTTCTGTTTGAAGAGTCTGGACTGGTTATTCTTTTCCACTTCAATTATGGACTGATATTGCTTCTTCATTAGGTTCATCTTCTTCGTCTTGCTTGTGCCTCAAAAGGAGAATTGGCTGATGCTCTGCCTCAAATAACCACTGAACTCTGCAACTTAGGTGTATGTAATCTGATATGTCTGTCTTGGAGAAAGAAATGAAATCATTTTCTTTGTTGGGGAAAAGTTCACCTTTTTCTTAAACCTTGATTAAACTGTTATGTTCTCTGATGATGGATAACCTTGTTCAGATAATTTCGGAGTCAGCACGAGATTTAGCTTCTAAACCATCCTCAACCTTTAACAAGACCTTTGATCATGTTTTCCATCAACATACGGTTTGCCACCCTCTGTGTCTTTGTTTTTTGACCACTTGAAACTGATTTCAAGTTTTGCTTCACATTGTTGTCTGTTCTATTAATTGTATCTAGGTTTCATCTAGAGTATCTCAATTTTGGAAACCTACTTCTGATTTAGGAGGGGCTAGTGCATCTCTCCCAAGTTCTCGGTATCTGAATGACTTTGAAGAGCTGCAACCCCTTGGTATTGTACTCTTCCATATCTGTGTGTGTGCGCATGTTTGCCTGTGAGTTTATTTAGATTCTGATTGTATGTTCTGTGGGTATATATACATGTGTGTATGTGTTATCGTAGCTAGGAGGGATGGTAATGATGCTGATATATAGGTACTTTATGAAGATGGTTGCTTATAAATGCGTTTTTACCATTTGACCAAGACTGCTACTTGAAAATTTAATTACTGATTTACTGGATGCTTCTTTATGGAACTGCATATTTGAGTCTTCATGGCATTGTTTTCACTGAATACTGTGATATTGCATTTGTGTACAGACATTTTTGTCATTATAAAACTGCAACTTTCCTCTTTTGTGGCCATAAGTTCGATAGATACCGTATTTGTGCCTTACTTGGGGTGTCCTTTATGAGCGGTGACAGGTCATGGTGGTTTTGGCCATGTTGTATTATGCAAAAATAAGCTAGATGGAAGACAGTATGCGATGAAGAAAATTCGCCTCAAGGACAAAACCCTACCTGTCAATGACCGAATCTTGAGGTAAATTTATTTTACAATAAATCTTCTTTAGAAACTGTTGTCCCAAAGGGCAACCCAAGTGGGGGGTTTGGGGGTGCGGTGAATTGGGTTTCAAAAACTAAAAATAAATAAACAGAGTTAAAACAATCTTAAAGACAAGAATCACCAGGATACAGCAAGGTGAATTAAGAAGATTCAGGCACATGAAAACTAGCAATCAAATATAACAAAGAAAGGGTCAAGTCTGTTTGAAACATACAAAGAAGGAACTCGCAGGCAATTCATCAACACCTAATGAGCAGAACATTAAAACAGTGGCTATAAACAAATTGCCTTCCAACCAAACCAATCACAACAGAAAATAAAGGAGTTAGGTAAGAAGAGATTGCAAACTGATTTAGCTCCAATTTCAATCTGTAATTCCTTCTACAGATTTGTAAGGTTCCTTCCTTTCCTTTTGTTTTGAATTGATCGTTCACAACATCAGCTAAAATCAATTCAATTTCTTCTCACAGAACTAACTTTGTGAAATATTTTCACTTTCAATCACTCGTCACTTTTCAGTGAGAAAGATTTAGTCACCTAAACACTTCTGATGTGCTCTTGTTATTGCTCTTTCTCTGCCATCTTGAAGTCAAACATGGCACAAAATATATAGATTTTCTTGACTCAACTAGTTGTTGTTGAAGAGAGAAAATCTTGGGATTTTGAACAGAGTACAAATGGCAAAGAGAATTTCTCATAATCAGGGGTATACAATCAAAGGGGAATTCCGTCGTGATATTTGATAAAGATGAGAAGACTTTGGTGGGATTTTTATGAGTGAAAATCTTTAAGGTTTAACATTAAACTAGGTGGAGAAAGTCAAGGCTTTATGAAAGAAAGGAAAATCCTTTCTGGTCTTGAGGAATAAAAGCTTTTCCATAGATGTTCTCATATTTGAGTTTAGAATAGAGACCATATTGCATGCTTATGTTCTTCTTTGATTTAGTCAAGTTTCAGGTAGGATTGATCTTGCAAACTCCAGGGCTTTAACATTGGACCATGAGAATACTTAAAGTTGAGCCTCCTGCAATATGAACCAGTTCCATCTTTTTGTCTTTGATTGAAATACGGGATTTCTCCCTGACTTTAGCTTTCAATAAAACTTATTTCCCTGAACTGTCTTCAAGTAATTTATTTGATATCTCTAGCACAACCTGCACACTAAGTAGAAATGTTAGTTAACAACAGCAGGTTTTTTATCATCAAAAGATAGGCCTAGGAGTTCAACAGAAACATCATTTTCTTTTGGTGCTATGGGACTCCCTATTTTTTCATCAAATTAAAAATTGAGTTAAAACTTGGTTATGTTCTGATCATGTAAAATTTGCTTCAAGTTTGCAATACATTTTCTTTTTTCTGTTTGATTTTATTTTAAGATTTGTGTCAACCATTGCGAGGTACTTAGGGAAGTAGCCACTCTTTCACGCTTGCAGCATCAGCATGTTGTCCGATACTATCAGGTAAAACTTTCTTTCCTGCGTGTTCTGTGGATTTTTGAGTAGGAAAGAATCATAGTCATTTCTTTATTGGTTAAGTTTAGTAAGTCAAGATGTTCATGCATGTAAATTGTAAACGACAGTCAATGGCCACTTGTAGAATGATAAGAGATTGTTCTAATGAATTTAATGTGTTATTCAGCATGCTGCTTGTATTTTCTATAGAAAAAGGATACACAGCTTCTAAAGTGACATTCTTTTGGTTTTGTTCTTCATAAAAATGAAACGTTCAGGAAAATTTGCTGTTATAGTTTTTTGGGCTTCTATGATGGTTATGATATTTGTGAAACTTCCAGGCATGGTTTGAAACAGGAGTTGTTGATTCTTTCGGTGACTCTACTTGGGGTTCTGGTACTGTAGCAAGCTCCACGTTCAGCTACAAGGGTGCAAGCTCAGTTGATGTTGGCCAAGAGAACAAGCTCGAATCAACGTATCTGTACATTCAAATGGAATTCTGCCCCAGGTAAAGTGTTTTCTTCCCTTAAATTTTTATCCTCCCATGTTTTGTATCCTTTATAGTATTTTTTAGATGATTTAAAAATCATTTGTTTTTCGTATATTAATTTCTCCTTTGTATAAAATGAGAAGAACAAAATAAACTTGCCTGAATTGGCCATGAAAAAAAGCCACATGAAATGCAAAAATGTCTTTAAGCATATGATTATTCCTTTATCCTTTTATCCGCATAATGAATATAACAGGAATTCTATAATCCATATGGACTTTGCAAAAATTTAGTTATTTTTCATGTTGAAGCGCTTATAAATGTTAATATTTTCTTTTAACTTCTTCTTTTTATACAATTCAAATGGCCAACCTTTTGCTTCAAGTTATCAACTGCTTTTGAGTTCTGATTATTTTGCCATAATTGTCAGGAATAATATTGCTTTATTCCTCAGATCCTATAAAACTAAAGACCATTTGCTTGTTTTAATACTTTCTTCACTTATTTTATTGACCTTGCTTCTTTCTTTCCTTTTTTTTTTTTAAGGACTCTCCGCCAGGTTTTTGAATCATATAACCATTTTGACAAAGACTCGGCATGGCATTTATTTCACCAAATTGTGGAAGGCTTGGCACATATACACGCACAAGGAATCATTCATCGAGACTTGACGCCTAATAACATATTTTTTGATGCTCGGAACGATATTAAAATCGGAGATTTTGGTCTTGGTAAGATCCAGGAGCAATTCTCTTTCTCTGTTACTAGAATTTATTCTCTATAACTAACTATGTCAGTTGCAAATGTGAGTCTTTCTCTTGAATATTTGATGTGCCAAAAGGATGGAATGAATTGCAAAGATTCTAATTTGATTGCACTAATCTACAATTTCAGATTATGCTATAAAATGGCTCAAAAGTTACCAAGGACTACTTGTTGCTAGAAAGTGGAACAGATTTCTAATCATATATTTTTTTTAATAAAGTAAAAATATCCTCAAGTGTTTATAATGTATAGTCAATGGTACAAAATTCTAATATTTCATGTTTTAACTTAGATTCTAGGGGAAGTTTTTTAACTTGTCTTTTTTTATGGTAATGGCCTTTCATTTTGGCAATAATACTTGAGTGAAAAACTGTAAAAAAAAAAAAAAGGTCCAGGGAGATGATGTTAACTCTCCAAAGAAGTTTTACCACATTTCCACCATCTGAAATTTTGATACAAAAATAAGAAACAAAGGTGAAATATTGGGAATGTGGCTAAACTTTTTTAGAGTGTTAGTATCATCTCCCAAAGTCTAGTTGGACATGATAAAAAAAGGAGGTACCTTTTGAAGTTCTTAACCTGATCATGATGTGTGTGTGTGTGTGTGTGTGTGTGTGTGTGTGCAAGCACTCATAATTGGAGCTTTTACTGCATCCAACTAAGAATTTGATTCCTTTATACTGACGAGCGCAGGCATTGATTCTTGATCAAGCAATATCTCAATTCCATTATAAAATCAAAGGCAATATCTTGATTCAGTTTCTAATTGAAGACAACCAAGGAAAATGCCATCCGAAATTCTCACGTTTGATCTGGTTTCAGCTAAGTTCTTGAAATTGGAGCAGCTGGATCTTGATGCAGCTTTACCTACCGATACAGCTGGAGTTTCAATTGATGGTACTGGTCAAGTTGGAACCTACTTTTATACTGCTCCTGAAATTGAGCAAGGATGGCCAAAGATTGATGAAAAGGTAAATTTTTTGTGGAAGCTTCTTCAACTTATCTTCAGCATATTAGTCATTATGCTTGTTGAGCTCCAGCTTGCAGTCAAATCCACTTTGTTCAGATATTATTTGGAAGATTGCTAACCTATCTATATTTCAGGCTGACATGTACAGCTTAGGAATTGTGTTTTTTGAGCTTTGGCATCCTTTTGGGACAGCTATGGAGAGACACATTATTCTATCTGATCTGAAACAAAAGGGAGAGCTTCCTCCTTCATGGGTTGCTCAATTTCCAGAGCAAGCATCCTTGTTGCGGCGCTTAATGTCTCCAAGTCCATCAGATCGTCCATCTGCCACAGATCTTCTAAAGCACGCATTTCCTCCAAGAATGGAATCTGAGTTGTTAGATAGTAAGTAATTCTTTATGTATTTATTTTTTTGTATTCTTTTGTGTGTGTATCCATTCACTCATTTGTGTCTGATGTCTTTGAGTATTACATACCTTTTGACTTTCCTGTCTCAGCTTATCTCTCAATCTTCTAATACCTTTTGACTTTCATAAGAATTGAATTTTAGAATTTTTTTGAAAGAGCAGAAACTGAGGAATTTTCAGAAATGTTTTTAGTCATATGGAATTGTGTTGTCAGAAAAAGTAGAACGTACTGTGAGAGAGGATTCTTAATTCTCAAAAATTTAAAATCTACGGCGGCAGTTCCACCAAATGAACGGGCACAAAAGAATTGTATAACTCTTAAAGATTGGTGCACTAATACTGGGATTTTTCCTTAATAGTTCAAATAAGTAGCAATAATTTCTGCTAGGTAGATCTCTGCGAAATTACAAGCACTGTAGAATCTATGCTAAATTTTCTTGGACCACTTTTTTTAACATATTTTATTTTTTGGACAAATATGAAATTCATGTCTTCTGAAGATCATGTAGATTTTTATTAATCAGTTTAACTTATTGGCTTTTTGCCTTATGTTTTCAGATATGCTAAGAACAATGCAAACTTCTGAGGACAGAAGTGTGTATGATAAAGTTGTGAATGCTATCTTTGATGAAGAGATGTTAAGCCTGAAAAACCACCATCAACACGCTGTTAGATTGAGGATTGGCAGAGATGATACTGCCTCCATACAGTTTGCGGATTTAGACACTGAGCTCCGTGATTGTGTTGTTGAGATTGTTAGGGAAGTGTTCAAGCAACATTGTGCAAAGCATCTGGAAATAATACCCGTGCGCTTATTGGATGATTCCCTACAATTTAACAGGTTGGTTCTATCCAAATTTTTCTGCCATCTTTCTTGTCAAGTGCTAGAGCTGACTCTAACTATTTGTTTTGCATGAGAAGGAACACTGTCAAACTTTTGACCCATGGAGGAGATTTGCTCGAACTTTGTCATGAGCTGCGTCTGCCTTTTGTTAGATGGCTTATTGCAAACCAGGTACCAATGCTCAGAAGTTAAATCCATACTGTTTGACATTGATTTCTTGTCATATGCATGGTAATTGTAAATTGGCATGCAAGTTAAAGGAGATGAGTTGCTTATCTTCTCATGGTTTGATTAGACTATCCACCTTTTCATTTTCGATTGTAGTTCTTTTTCTGTTTCCTTCATTCTCTCAACTGTCTTCATTAGCTGCTCAAGCCCACTGTTCTGAACCATTACTTACCTAGAGGGAGTTGGCATTACCAGGGTTTAGCCATCTAGGTTGAAATCAGGGAGTACTTTTTATTTAATTTAAGATTTGCAAAGTGGAAATGGTATTGGTTTTGACAAAATCCTATTCATTTATGGTTCCTGATAAACATGTTTCACGGGGCTTATTTTTATATTGCATGCAAGTTTTCCTTAAATTTGGGATTTGACTTCCTTGCAAAGCATCTGAAAGAAACAGACTTGAAATGTTTGCCGCACAAACACAAACCTGGCACTTAGAGCTGGGGACTTATCTCATGACGATAGTCAAAATACCTCAGGAGTTTTGTTTGGCCTGCTACTGTTTTCACTCATTATCGCAAATCTCTAACAATCAGTGGGAGGAAACCTGAATTGGATAATTGAATATTCGATGGGTATGCTTTTTTTTTTTTTTTTAATTATTTGAATGGTGTGAAATAATTACTAGCAAACATTTAGTTTGTTTTTAGATATATGTATTGTTAAAGTAGTAGTACTAAAAACTAACATTTATGTGGGCTTTATACTGAATGAAAGAAGAAATATTAATATGTTCAGGGAAAAAAGGTTGTTTTCAAATCATTTTAGCATCATCCGTCACCTTATTGTCATTTTCGAGTGATATCAGGATGGGGCCTGTTAGGGATGAACTTAGATAAAGATATGCCTGCAGTGGACTTGTTATCATGAGCTTAAAATAAATGTAAGATTGCCAACTGATTCTTCACAAACAGAATCCGGGATGTAGACTTAGAATGAAGTTCTATTCAAGCGCAAGTTAACATTGTGTGCAGACAAGTTCTCAAAAGTTAGGGCATATCATTGAAGATGAACTCTTGCAAGATCAATTGCTAGCAAAGCATCTCCATACACATGCTTCTCTTTTTTATCTTAGAATACTTGTTCAATTTATACATTGCTAATCATCTAAATAAATTTGGTGTGGTATGAGTGAACCATTCTTGAACTTCGTCTCTTGCAGAAATCGTCTTTCAAACGATATGAAATATCATCTGTTTATAGAAGAGCAATTGGTCATTCACCCCCAAATAGCTATCTCCAGGTATGGATTTTAATATTTTTCCAGCGAATCGTCTGGAGCATCTATGATCAAACGTTTTTGCATCTACTTGCTAGTCAGAACTCAGAATATTATACAATTTTTATGTAATAGGGAGATTTTGACATCATTGGAGGTGCATCAGCACTGACAGAGGCAGAGGCTATTAAGGTGCTGTTATTTTTGTTTTATTTTTACTTTTTTTTTTTTTTCTCCAGGATAATTTTTAGATATTTGTGAAACTACTCGACTTGACTATATGGATGTAATGATGAGTTGTTACTAAAGCATCTGCCAAGGGCGCAGATATGAGAATCCAGCAAAAATTTCTGTAGCCTATTTGAACTTATGGAAATAGGGTTTCCAATACAAGAAATTGACTGAGAAAAAAATTGAGTATAAAAAGGAGTTTGATGTTAATTATGAGGCAAGGTTAAGCATACATTAAAAAATGACACCTTGGAAGAAATTTTACTTTCTGTTTGCATTCTCCAAATAAATAAATGTTGATGAAGTTCATATAGGATAGAGATGTATTAAAGATGCAATTCAAAAATTTAGCTTACCAGTTAAAGAGATTATCGAAAGAGGTTGTTGGATGTATGTGTTGGGTTGGGGGGTTGATAGTTAAATTTGGCATCTTTTGAAGACCCATTCTCTGATTTTGCAAGTTCTCATCTCTTGTTAATCTATAGTAGAACTGAATGAAGTTAAAGCTGAGTTGAGTTATATGTCTTTTAAATTCTTCTCTATTCTGTTCACTTACCTTTTTGGAGTGGGGGGAATTCTGTTTTCAACATGTTTAAGGAAGCTGATGTAAAAAAATGTGAATTTTTTTAATGTCAATTTTTGATGATAACTATGCATCCTGTGCAACTGTAACTAGGATGATAGGATTCATCGAAATGTAAAGTTAGCACCTGTGTATGATAAAAAGTCAAGTTGTTTTGATCTTATAGTAACCCCACATTTGGGGAAAGTTTTAGATCGTATTTTGAAACATCTGGAGAGTGAAACTACTGAGATTGAGATGCACAGAAACTTGCCAAAGCTATGTAATTTAGATTGAGACAATACTTTATGCAATCATTCAAGGTTTCAAAATCCGCTATTCTGCGTTTATGTATTCTTAATTCTTGTAAATTCCCCACTTCATGGTGGTAAGTTTGATCTAGTTTCGTTAGTAAAATTTTCCGAGGTTACTATCTTTTTTAGTCAAACAAAATACCAAGTTTCTGTGTAGTTTCATAAGACTTGGCAGTGTTTTTTCATTGATACCCTTCCATATACCATTGTAAACGCAGGATTAAATGTTAGTTGAAAATTAGTAATATCATTGTCCAGTTCTCAGAGATAAGAAGCATCAAGGTTTCTATATAAAGAATAAGGAAAATAGTTTTTAGGATTTTTTTATAATTCTGGCATACTGTTGCAAGAAAATGCTGCAATGCTGACATGCTGTTGCAGGATACAGTCATCAAAGATTTGCTTATCGCTGTGGCAGAAATTGTTGACTATCAGGGAATGGATGAAAATAGTTTATTGATGGAAAATAATTAGTCACAACTAACTGTCATTGAGTGACTGATAGTTACATGCACTATACCTTCATTAACTAGTCTATTCGCTGTATTACAATTTTTAGAATGCTTCATTTACTGATCTTATTGAATTTTTGGTTTATTTCTCAGGTTACAATGGACATTGTAACTCACTTCTTTCTCCCAGATTCTTGTGATATTCATCTAAATCACGGGTACCTACTGGATGCTATATGGTCTTGGGTAGGAATCAAGCCAGAGCATAGACAGAAAGTAGCAGAGGTATTCTGTTGATTTACTTACGAGATGTGTTATTAGGTATGTCAAATATGACCTCACAGATGCTTTCTTTCAAATGAAGCTTCTTTCTCTGATGGGCTCTTTGCGCCCCCAATCCTCTGAACGGAAGTTGAAATGGGGAGTAATTAGGCGTCAGCTTTTGCAGGTTTGATAAATATCACAATCACTTAAAACATTTATTACCCTCCATCATTTATCAACACCAGCATCACTTTTATCCTCATTTCTCTGTGTGATTGTCCTGTGGAAATTTTGATTCATTTCCTTTCATGTTTGATTTGTGTACTATTAAGAAAACTTGTAGGGCAAGTAGCATCTACTTGCTTTTTGGTAGAAGAATACCAAAGAAGTTTGGCCTCCCTCCAGGAGGTGTATCTTGAGTTTATTAATGTTCATTTTGTATCAAGTTATATAGGAAAATAGAGAATGGAAGGATGAAAATCATTATTTTGGAACCCAAGAGATTTTGGAAAGTCCAAGTTAAACTCATGGAAAGCCTCTTTATGAGAAACGAAAAACTAAAACTTTAACAAAGTAATCATGTTCCTTGAATAATTTTAATCTCAACCATTTCAAATGACCTAACCACAAAATTCAAATAGGCATAAAAACTTATAAAAAAGAATGCTACAGTTGCTTGAATACTGCTGCTCTATTATCCATAACTAGAGTATCCTATGTCAAGTTGTGGAGACTGATGTGGATGTGGCCAGCGGTTTAGTGTGCTATCAGATTTAGCATGGCGGTCTCGCTGTGTCTCTTGTATTTGTAGTTGATCGAAAAACCTAATAAGAACTCCTAGTGCAGCCGTGTAGTAGGCAGAACTTGCCGAACCACATAAATCTTGTGCTGTGCGATTGTCTATTGTTTTTTCTGCTTTATCTTCTTGCTTGATTCGTTTCCTAACACCCTAGAGTACTTGAACTGCTCCATTTGCTTTATAGCAAACTTTTAGTTTTTCCTTTCATGCATTAGTTCTCCATGAGCTGGCAGTATCGCTCCTGACTTTTGCATGATTTGGCACCATAGAAAGTGTTATTGGTCCCTCCTTACCACACCGCTGACTGAGTCGCGTGTAATTTTTTAAAGTCTCCTCGCATGCTTATTCATCTTCTGATGCTTTTAGGGTCTGCATATCGTTTTATATGGTGTCATGTTGTTAAAGTATTTTATAGGCTAGGTCCATCTGTCCTCACTTGTGCTTCATGTCTTCTCGCTGACTCTTGTTCAGTTGTTTGGAGTCTCATCTTTTTTTCTAATGCTATCCTGTTGTTTTATTGCAATTTGCATCCCTGTCCTTTTTGTCTGCTGTCTTACCATGGAGTTGCTTGGTAAATTGATAAGCCATGTTTTGCTAATATTGTCAGGAATTAAATTTAGCAGAAGCTGTTGTGAATAGGTTGCAAACTGTTGGTTTGAGGTTCTGCGGAGCTGCAGACCAGGCCCTTCCTCGGTTAAGGGGAGCTCTACCAGCTGGTACAATATGCAATTCTGCTTACTCCTCTAATGTAATGTAACTTTTACTTAGCTCTGATACAACTGCAGATAATCGAATCCGGAAGGCACTTGATGAGCTGTCGAACCTCTTTATCCATTTGAGGGTTTGGAAGATAGAGAACCACGTGTACATAAATGCACTAATGCCACCAACTGAAAATTATCATAGGGATTTGTTTTTTCAGGTAAATTAGCTTCAGTCATACAGGTATACTAGTATGATATTTATATGCTCGTCCATAATACTTAACTGCCACTGCTTACTAATGCTTGTTGGTCATAGTTATCATGTGCTTTTGTCTCTGAGATAGTGACTTCTAGCCTAGCGATTGTGTGGAATCTTTTCATCATTCCAGATGATATAGAGCCCAACCTAGATACATGCCCAAGCATGATCGGACCATGTCTTTGAGTTCATTTATTTCCTAATTCCAAATTGACTAGTTTAACTGTTGATTCTGCAAGCTAATTCCAATGGTTTAACAGTGAGAATGCATATAACCATTTTGGTGGAGAGGAGTTGTTCAATGAACAATTGATAGAGGGAGAAAGGGAAGAGTTGAGTGAAGCAAGGAAACAAAGAGCTGGTGGTGGCAACACCCATTACCCTTATCCTCACACGTTGTTAATGGCTTTCTAAATATTCTTTTTAATTGTCATAAACTGAGACAAGGTTAACAAATGGGGATGCACTTTTTTTAAGTCCGTGTATCAAGCTTATCCTGCAGAGTAAGACTTACCCTAAATTCAAGGATACCTGGAGCCACTCTAGGCCGGGGCACGTTTCCTGACTTGCTTTCTTTGTTCGATTTCTCTATATCTACTTATTAACCATATGCATAAAAGAATTCATTTTGCTGACAGATTTCATAACCAATTACTATTTCCTTACCCAGATATATTTAATGAAGGAGAACAATCCTGGCTCACTTAATGAAGGCGCATTGCTTGCTATTGGTGGTCGCTATGACTATTTGCTGCATCAAATGTGGGATCATGAATATGTATGTCATGTAACTTATTTCTTTCCCCTCTTTCTCATCTTTCCATTTCAGGTCTGTGCATTTACTGGTCTCTGTCATATATGAGTTCAGACTTCAGCCATCTATTTTTGTTAAGATAACTTGATATTGTCCAGTGTGGCATGGGTTATAGTTTTGAAGCATAACTGGTATATGAATTTTGTGTTTTTGATCATGCTTCTGTGTTCTTTTATTCAGAGAGCTAGCCCTCCCGGTGCTGTTGGCGCCAGCCTTGCATTAGAGACTATTATTCAGTATTCTCCTGGAGAGTTCAAACCTATGAGGTGCAGTTTCCTTCATTTGTTCCTCTTTTTCTTCCTGGTCTTCTGTTTTAATCTTCAACTACATTCATGAGGGTGGATATCGTCTTGCCATTTGTTGCTGCAGAAATGAAGCTGCCACCACTGTTCTTGTTTGTTCAAGAGGAGGAGGAGGTTTATTGGTTGAGCGCATGGAATTAGTTGCTGAATTATGGGAGGAGAATATCAAGGTTGAAGATTAAATATTGTGCTGTGCTTGTTCAAATGTCATAGTTTCTCTGTACTAATTGGTTTGTTTGTCGCTGATCACCAGGCGGAGTTTGTCCCACTTCCCGATCCAAGCCTTACAGAGCAGTATGAATATGCAAGTGAGCATGATATAAGATGCCTCGTCATAGTAACAGATGCGGGGGTGTCACAAACAGGTGTTGTCAAGGTAATAATGATCAAAACCTGTTCTGAATGTTTCTGTATTTTATATGAGAGAATGCTCTAAGACTGCAAGTGTTTCATATAAATTACTGATATACTGTAACATAACCAAACCTCACCCTACCTTGGCCTAGCATCAGCTGTCATCTCTGACCAATGTTTTTGGAGAACCTTCAAGCTTTTTTTCTTTTTCCTTTTTCAGTTTTGAACTGTTTAAAGAAATCTTGATGCAGTGAAGATGTACTGTTAATTCATGGATTGATATTTTCAGGTTCGTCATATTGAACTTAAGAAGGAGAAGGAGGTTGGAAGAGAAAACCTTGTCAAGTTTCTGTTGGATGCGATGGCAACACAGTTTAGAAACCCGTCAGTTTGGAATTAGGCCCTAATCAAAGGAAATATTTGTCCAGTTTTTGTTAGCTGTTTTCTGATACTTCCCTACTTTCTAAGAATTTTTTTTCTTTTAAAACTCACACACCTAAGACTTTCTGCTAGGATTTGAATCCATGACCTCTCGCAAGAGACCACTACCGCTATGCTATAAGCTCTTTGGTTACTAAGAATTGAGAAAGACTCAAAGATGCTGGAGTTCAACTTCCAAATACCCCAAGAGAAGTCTGTCTTACTGAATACAACATATTGATTGAATTTACAGTTAGTACATTACAGACAGGTTTTACTTCTTCAGCAATCTGCTCAGGACGAAGTTTTGCAGATGTAGATTTTTGCCACTCGAGGACGTCAATAGTAACGATTTTGTAATGTCATTCTCAAAATACTGATGATGTACAATATATAAATATGTAAATATATATGATATGTCAATATAGTCATTCCTCTAGGGGTAGGAACTAGGAAGGCATCAACATTGTGAATGGACAAGAAATACTTCATTTGTAAAGTATACTTGGTGGTGAATGTAAATATGAGAAGGCAAAAAGCACATGTTTATGTGCTATGTACAAACAGTTTTCTTTTCTTCCCCTGGACGTTAAAAAGTAAAATAACAGAGGTAGCATTTGAACTCAAGCCTGTTCCTGTTTTGCAAGAATAGCAGAGAGCTTAAGCCCTAGTCGAAGTTAACAAGTTTTCAATTCAGCAATGTTTGCAAATCAAATCGAGAGCCGCTGTATCTTGAAAATATGAGAGCATAGGCTGACTTTTGATCAATGCATCGATGTAGTGGTGTAGTATTATAGCTTAGAAGTGCTGTAAAATATAAATTAAAGGAAATGCATGTACAGCTACATGGGTGATCATAGACAAACTCTCACCTTGTTTTACTTTACTATCGCGTTCCCAATCGCTGTTGTTGTTATGGTCCCTACCACTTCAATAGCAGATTACCATTACTAAACTTTCATGTCCATAATTAACGTGATTTGTTTTTTGAACTTGTGTAAAACATTTAAGAAATATTTGTTTGCTTTTTTATGCAAATACAGCCCTTATAGCTCAGTGGTAGAGCGTCAGTCTTGTAAACTGAAGGTCCGTAGTTCGATCCTGCGTGAGGGCACATTTTGTTTCGTCTGTCTCTCAATTTTTTTCTTACCATTTTTTTTTGTTTTTTGGTTTCACCATCCATGAGGATCTTGACTAGGAGCAGAAGCTAACCCTAAAACACTAGTACATTTGAACCGAATCCTACCACTCAAAACCCTAACACATTAGTAGTTTCTACGGATCTTATTGATCCGATAGCATAATCGCATTAAGACACACTAGTAGATTCTACGGATCTTACTGATCCAATAGCACAGCAGCACCAATATAATCAAGAATTAGGAACGGCAGAGTCTTCAAAGTTGAAAATCGAAGTAGACAAAAAGACTTGCAACAAAATACCAATTAGAAACATTTAGTACAAAACTGATGAAACCTAATGGATCTGGAAAAAATGAAGGGAATTTATGAAGAAAAACCATCTAATTGTTAGAATTGAATACATAAATTGACAGCTGAAAGTTACAAAATGATGGTCATGCAAGCACTTAGTGGCAGTGCTCATGGCAGTAGTTACTAGTACCACCAGTGCTCCAGAAAATTACCCTTTTTTTTCCTTTTTTTTTTACATTTTCATTCTACAAGAAACCAAATATAAACCCAATAAACCACAACCAAGAATTCAAAATGTTTCAGGCAGTCATTTCAGAAATTATGCTGCAAGAACAGTCTTTCTTGAGGTGAAGCAGGTCCAATCTCTTCGTCCAAACTCTTCAACCCATCCCCTACATTTGCAACGTAGCCTAAAGTTCTTGCTGAGGTTTTGCCATCAACATCTGCATCCGAGGCTGAAGACTTTCTCCCTTGCGAGGAAGTAACGCTCGGAAAAGTTATCCACGAAGGCGCACGGAACTCGATCCTTTGGTCTTCGCCTTCTACGACATCAGTTTCCGAGACTGCTGATCGGTTCGAAGATCTTTGAGAAGATTTCTTGTGCAATCTACTGCTTCCAAGAACAACTTCGGTTGGCAATATTGGCTGGTCATTGCATGGACTGCCCATTAGCTGTGCAAGGGCACGTTCTAAAGCTGTTGTTACTTTATCCATTGACGGCCTTTCCTTCCCCCTCATTCTAACACACTTGCAAGCCACGTTTGCAATCCTTTTCAAAGCTTCAGTGTCCAATGGAGGCTTCAAAACTGGGTCCAATATGGCCGATATATCTCCAGCTTTGATCAGAGGAACTGCCCATTCGACTATGTTTCCTTCTTCATATTGCATATCTATGGCTTTTCTGCCACTGAGGATTTCCAAAAGCAACACGCCAAAGCTATAAATATCAGATTTGGTTGTGAGGTAGTGAAGCCTGTAGTACTCAGGATCAAGATAGCCAAGAGTTCCCGCAGGTAGCTCAGCCAATGGCGAGCTACTATCAGCTGGCCCCAACAAAGAAAGGCCAAAATCAGACACTCTGGCATTGTGTTCTTCATCAATGAGAATGTTTGAAGATTTGATGTCTCGATGAATTACAGGTGGGCAAGCATAACCATGCAAGTATTCGATTCCCCGTGCTGCTTGAACCGCAATGGTAACCCTACGAACCCAATCCAACTGCTGTTTTAAGGCAGGGTTCTTCCCATGAAGATGCTGGTGCAAGGATCCATGAGCCATGAATTCGTAGACCAGAAGCCTTTCTCCACCTTCTTCACAATAGCCAAGCAGGTTGAGCAAATGGGCATGGTTTAGTCTTGATAGCAGATCAAGCTCAGTGTGGAATTCTTTGGAGTTTTTCTGCTTATCAGAAAACACTATAGCCTTTTTAACCGCAACGACTGTCCCATTCTTTAATACCCCCTTGTAAACACATGAGAAACTTCCTTTTCCCACTATGGATTCTTCCTTGAATCCACTGGTGGCCCTTTCAAGCTCCTCATAAGTGAACATCTCTGCCCTCCTTAACTTAATCTCATCCATGTCGGGGCGGATCTTTCCGTTATCTTTAGAAATTGAAGAACCACTTCCATTGGTTTTTTTCGGCTTCGATTGTTTTGTCGAGCATTGGCAGTTCCTTAACCTATAGCGAACATACAAAATAGCAGTTGCTGTTACAACAATCACCAAGAACACAGCAAAGCCTATCTCTGCAATAACGACCGGCAATTGCAATGACCAAAACCTGTTCTTTCCTTTAGCATCATTGGAATATAAAGAAGAACAGTTTGAGAAGCATTCTGCTGAATAGCAACTCGAACAATTATAATCACACTGGCGGTCTGATTTCGAAGTGCATTCCGTTTTCTGGTACATTTCAGCAGGGCAACCATTACTGCAAGGCAAGCAAGCATGAGAATCTGGAGACTTGCAAGGTGCATTGGCATCAAAAACTTCGAAGGAACCAGGCGGGCAAGGAGTAGTCTTGCAGAGTCCAGGTGAAACAGCTAGGGGAAGAGAGCTAGGGAACCCAAGACCCCAACAAACAGGTGAGAGAGATTTCTCGGCAAGAATTCCACAAGTGAAGTAATTTCCAGCAGCGATTTCGTAGACCTTAATGCCGGTAGGAGTTGGAGTGCTTGGTTTTACAATATAGCCCCAACAAATCACCTCGCTGTCATAGCTCTTGATTCCACAAGCATGGAACTTTCCTCCCACGACAGACAACATAGGATAACTCGGAGGCAAATGAACATTGCCTTGATTCAAATACGCTGCTGATATCAGAGAAATCTCTTCTTCAAGGTCCAAGCTCCTTCCCCAACAAAAGGCTCTTGAATTCACCCCCTCTAGAATCCCACAAACGTGATATCCACCAGCTGCAATCTTTTGAAACCTCATTTCTTGAGGAATCAAGCTGATTACTTGGCTACTAGCCTCATCACCCCAACAGAAAACAGTCCTATTCTCTGAAAACAATCCACAATTAAACTCAGAACCAGCTGAGATTGATTGAATCTGCCCATCAAACACATGGTTCCTTGTCATGTTGTAACCCCAACAATCAATAAGAGCGAGGTTTCTATGCCTGCCAGTTAATGGCTTTCTCAAACCACATAAATGGTAATCACCAGCACTGATTTCTACATACTCAGCCTCTTCCATCATCGGCTGAGGCACACCTGGTCGAAGATAGCCACTACTTCCCCAACAATAGGGTTGGTTAGATTCCAACAGAAGCCCACAAACAAAGCCATCTCCAGCAGTTAGACCGATAAAAGGGAAATGAGTTGGAGTTCCATAGATTATAGCTGAATTTGAACCATAACAATTCACAAGATGAGATCCATCTGATTTTATACCACAAAAGACAGGACCATTCTCACCATAAGAAACGGCAATGGAAGACATGGAGCCTAAACCTGAGACTAGCCACCATAAATCTGATAGAACCACAAATTGAACCAAAAATCCACCATTCCATTTGCTAACCATCAAGAACCTGATAAGGAAATCTCTAACAGAATAGCTCAAATTTCCCATCACAAAAGCCAAACCCCAAGATAAAAGGATATGAAATGCCACCAACCTTATGTTTTGATAGTTAACCACCAACACTATAGGGAGACAAGGACGACTTCATTGATTTTGACTTGCATGTTAGCTCTTAAAGCACGATGTGAAATTCTGATATCTGTCATTGTTCAACAACAGAAACCAGCAAAGAACTGCAAAAATCCATCAAGAACGACACCTAAACACCATATCATACTCCTTTTTTGCACCCAAAGACCACAGCACACAACACTCATACATAAGCAACAATGAAGAAGAAAATGTGATGAAGAACAATGCAAACATAAACGAAGCCTTGCAAACAAGAAGCTCAACCAAAACCCAGATAAAAAAAAACTTGCTATTTTAAGAACAAGAAGCTCTACAAACTACAATCTCGTAAACTCAACACCTTAAACTGAAAATCCAAGAACTTGCGCAGCTTTTAATCTTTATGCCTTCCAGCTTAAAAAAGAACTTACCCTTTAACTGGAAGAGAGACTTTTGCAAGTTTTGGATCAAGAAACTTGCATTAGATCACATTTAGAGCCAAAACTCACCTTCTTTCAAGTATAACTTCAACCCCACCTCACTTTCGGTAAAAAAGTCTCTCTGTTGTGCATGTGGGCTACTGAAAAAAGTTAATAGTGCTTGAAGAGAAAACTTTAGTTGGGGGAGTGTGTTGACGGTGGTTGCAAGAGTATTGTTGTTTCAGGCAAGAAGAGAGAGAGAGAGAGAAAGAGAGAAGGAGAGTCATAAATGTCCATAAAATTGCAGCTTCTCAATATGGGCAGGTGTAGGTGAAGACAATAAATGAGGAAGTTAATGCTATTTGATCTTTTTCGTGCCTTGTTTGCAGCACTCTACATTTTTTCAAACTTATTTTTTGCCATTTTTACTCTCTTTAGCTTCTTGGGTGAAACTGTCTTCTTTGTTTGTTCTCATGCATGTCTTTGGTCTCCAAAAATATACTGAGCTATAAATTTTATTTGTCTTTGATGCACTCCGAAAGATTTTCTAATAAATACTTCCACAGCTACATTATACCGTAAAGAAATTATAGTTCAAAAAAAAGCATGGGTAAACTAATTTTTGCCCTTCTAGTTTCCAAAATGTTCAACTTCTGCCCTCGATATTTAAAATTTCCCAATGCTCCCTCATATTTGCACAAAAGTTTCCATGTCTATTTAACAGCAAATTGATGGCAACCACCAGAGGAGGGCCGTCCCTTCTTCTTCTTTCTTTCTTTCTTTTTTTTTTTTTTTTTCATTCATTTTGTGTAATTGACTCAAATATATATATATATATATATATCATCTTCACACATGATTTGATCAACGTGAAGAAAACCTTAAAATTAATCCCAAATCAAATCTGAAAAAATTACAAAACTGTAACTCTTTAAGTTTTGAATGAATCATTATTCAAGAGATGATATGGATGTAATATAAGAGGATTCTAACAAAACGTTAATGACTAATTAAAACAAATATTATTTTTCACGTCTCTTTGTGATCACCATAAAACTTATGTCTACTTCTTTGATTTCAAAAATGTGAATGGTTTGAAATTCCTGATTTTTATAAGATCAATCCATACCTATTGAAAAACATAGTTAAAGAATGATCAGTTCTCGATTTAAAAAAAAAAAAAAAATTGACCAATTGAAACTAGACATTCTCCTTTCTCTCTATAGGTTTTATTTACAATTTTGATAATATGGTTTTTATGCTAAATTTATTATTCTAAACGAAGGATTTGATTTTATAGTTTGCGGCAACTTATCTTTTCGAATTTGTACATTAATTTTGAAAGAAAATATGATGAAAAAAATGAATTTAATGGGCATGCACTTTTTTTTCTTATGAAAATACAATTAAATAAATTAAAATTGATGAAAAATAAGAAAAAATATCTGAAATTGGGCCCCCATAAATATCTGTTATCAATTCACAGTTAAATAGATACAATGAAACTTTAATTTGTCCCAATATGAGGGTACTATTGAAATTTTAAAAAACTCCAGGGATAGAAATGGAACATTATGGAAACTAGAAGCGCAAAAATCAAGTTTACCCAACAAATTGTAAGAAATATGACATGCTATTAATGGTTGCTTAAACTTTTTTTTGTTTTTTTTTTTTTGGTGTTAATGATTAGTATCAAATTATGGTTGAAATTAATTAATAATTCTCACCTGGAGTTTCAAGTTCAAATTTCATATGAGTAAGATGCTGGCCTTATTAATTAATTTCTTATTATATAGCAAAAAAGTTAATGAAAACTAAGTTAAAAAAATTGGTTGAGGAATTCCTTAATCGAGCAGACAAATGTGTTAGTTATTAGACCCTAGTTTAGACCATCACACAAAATTGAAAGATTTATTGCTCCACCCAAAATATAGTTTTTTTTTCAAATAAATTCTCCTCAATTAATTTTTTATCCATTTTAAGAACTGGATTTTTTAAGTTCACTAATAGTTCATATTTAGTATCACGCAAAGAAAAATAAAGGATTTTCAAGAATAAAAATTGAATTTCTAATCTCGTAAGTTAAAAACATTTTTCTTACCATTCTCAGTTGTAATATAATTCTAATATTTAGAACATTTTTTTATTTTAATCTACTTAGCAATTGGCTGAAATTGAGCTGATCATCTTAAATGGAACATAAAATTTCCCAATACATTGATTTTTTTTTACTCATAAAATAGTCAAAACATTTTGAAGTCTTAGCTAGGGTTGGTCACATCCCTCGTTGCTTTAATAAGGAAGGTTAGGTCAAAAAATTAAATTTAATTAGTTGGGTAGTACATGGACCAAGGTGGCTACGTTTGTCTCCTTTTTTTTTCTTTTTTCTTTTCATAGATAGCAATTTTTTTATGATATAAATCAAATAAATACATGATTATTTTTTGTGGCGTAATGATGCCAAAAACCAAGAAGAATATTACTACATGTTATATTAAAAAAAAAAAGACAAAACTAAAATTATTTTACAATAATGATCTTTTAAATAGAAAATATTCTTTTCTTAAATATTATTAAAAGCTCGTTGAAACATTCCAATCTCAACTATTTATTTACAAATAATCTAATACTATCATAAATTATCGAGAGAGCATGTTGCACTATAAGACTCTATTGAGGAAAAATCTCAATAATGACAACTATTCAAGACGAGGCTTTTTTTTTTTTTTCTTATCATCACACAGTAGATTTTAATACTAGCATAAATTAACAAGAGAACATGTTGCACTATCAAACTCTATTAAGAAAAAATCTCAATAATCTAAAATTGCCAAAGAATGTCAATTTCTTTCAACTAATAAAAAACACTTATCACAACCTAGTAAAAGAATATCAAAAGTTTATATTAAAGACATAATATTCTACCAAAGTAAGATATTTATTTACAAATTATATCTAAATTATCAACACATTAAAAAAAAAAAAAAACTAGAGAAATTAACAGTTAATGAAAAATCACCAACCACGGCTAGGACTTTTTTTTCTTAAAAACAATAAAAGAAGAGAGAGAGAGAGATAACATGGTTATTCCATAAATGTTTCTTCTTTAAATGAACAAAGATGAAGAAAAATAACAATATACGAATAGTCCTTTGCTCCTTTTCATCAATACCAGGTGATGGTGAAAAAGTACATGCATTGCCTATCTTTTTAGCTTTACAAAAAATAAACATTTGATTGTATCTTGTAGTCAAGGGAATCCTAGTTGACACAATTTTTGTGATTGTTAACAAAGGATTGGTTCAATGAAAAAAAATTGTGAAGCCAAAGTCTTTCTTGTAAGTATTATGTTCCCATTTGGATTTACTATGATCAAAATTTGAAAATGTAATATAACTAATAAGTGAATATATTTCTCATCTTATCGACTTAAACCAATTTTATAACCTAATTTAATCGAATCAAAGACAAGTTTAATCTTAGCATACGCAAAATAGCTTAATAATATCCAATGATTGATTAATTAAATTAAACTAATATATAAAAGAAATCCGTAATATCATCTATTATATATGAAAAAAGGAAAAATAAGTCCCAATTTCAAGGGATATGCAAGAAGCGAAAGATAAGGGTTTTGCATGATACATCAAATTAAGGTAGGGGACCAGCCAAATTTGCAATTACATGAAAAAACTAGAACGTTTGTTAATTTATATCTTTGTTCTAATTCTTGTCTTGTTTTGGTGGTTTAATCTCCTTCCTTATGATTTTGCGTTTGGTGTCCAAAGCTTCCACATGATGGGATTAAAATATTACTCATTTTCCATGAAAAGACAAACTTAGTCACATTCAATCAACTTCAAAATAAATAAATAAATGTCCAAGAGATAAAAGATTAATTAGCTCCAAAATCTTAGTGTCCTTCTCTTCTGCCTTCTTGCTTCCTCTATTTTTGTGTATCTTAATTAATATTTTTGTCTCTTGTAGTTATGATTATTTTATCTTGATTCTAATAGAATAGTAGTTGATTTTGTTGGGTGGATCAAATAACATAATCTAAAAAGTTGGCAAACTTAAAGCAAACCCTAGCTGGCCAGGATACCAGGAATCTCTATTTGACCCCAAAAGAACAATGGATGACAAGAATGAAGAAAGATATGAACTCTTCGCAAAATAAAATCATCCCAAATACTCGTGCAGTTAGGGCAATCAAATCACGCTCAAATTTGGTTGCATATGAACACTTCCCTAAATTGAATTACTTTCTCATAGAACGAAGCACAACACTATTTGATATGCTTTCAACATTTTATTTATTTACTTTTGTGGGTTTTAACATAGTTTTAAATCATGAACACAATTGTAAAAATAATTGTGATTACGATCGTAGAACATAACTGTAAAATAACAGATCACGACAATCAATATAGTAAATATGTTAATAGTAGTTAATAAATTTTTAAAACAAATATATATATATATGTAGGAACAATAATATAATAATGGTTAATGACAATAAAATCAATTACTGTTATATAATGTTTTTATTATCATTATTTGTGTGAATCGAAATTATGTCATATGAAATGATAAAAAACGATAAAGACTTTGACCTAATTTCTTTAAATAACACCTATAAATCTCACGATTGTTGGACATACTTCTTCTATATGTACGTACGAATGACATGAGAGTCGAGTGTAACATCATCACCATGAAAAAAACGCTACTAGAAAAAGATTTGAACGACTATATTGTTCCAAAGCAACCACAATGAATAGATTTGTGTGCTTTGACTAAAATTGTACTCTAAAAAATTGAAGTGTTGTTAAATTGAATAATAAGTTATATAGCCAATCTTGAGCCCCACAATTACCAATATAATTAAATTAGAGAAGTCGGCCGTCCAAGAAGAAAGAAAGAGGAAGAAATAGAATACTCTCAACACATGGGTCATGATTATAAAATGGATGTACAAACTCCTTCACTCGTACTGGAAGGAGTAAATTATAAATTAGTCCCTTTATTTTTTTCAAAAGAATTAAATAGTTCCTCTAATTTCAATAACTAACTAATTGGTTTTTATATTTTTAATTGATAGCTATTTGTAACTTATTCATTTTCAATATTTTTCAATTATTTTTTTAATAAGTTAAAAAAATAAAAAATAAGTAAAAACAATGGAAAGATTAATGAGAAAAAAAAAAGATACTTTTGAGACAAAATAATATTAAATCAACAATAATCAAGAACTGAATAATTAATTTTTGAAATAAAATAAACTAATTATTCACTTTGAAAAGCTAGAGGGACTAATTTATAATTTACGAAGCTATATGTTTTTTGTCTTTTTCTTTGTGTGTTAGAATCTTTATAATTTTCTGTTTTGAATCATTAAAGATAAAAAAAATTATGTTGTCAGAGAAACTTCCGGATCATAATCAATACCTAGTCTTCATCAGTTCTGATTTTTTTTTCTATTTTTATGCCTTTTTTTTTTCTCTATAAAAATGTATAAACTCCATGCATAAATAATATTTGAGGGGGACTGACAGGGTAGGTGCTGAAATTTCTTGTTAAGAAAGTTCTTAGACTCAGGTGGAGATGGAACCTGTAAGTTAGTCCATGAAGTATCCACCAATTCTCAATCAGATCTTCAAGCTAATTTTTTCTTTAATTAGATCCCTATCAGTCACCCATTAGAAAGTTAATTCTCCCCTGTCCCCTTTTCGTCTGATCTTAAATCTCTTAATTCATGCAATTAAACACACCAACTAGAAGAATTTTTATTTTTTTTGGTTAAAAATTTGTGATGCTTTCAGACAGAAGGATCCAGTTGAAATGTTTCAAAGATGGGGAACCTAGTTGTCGATGGTTCAGGGACTATGGTACCAGCTAGTTGCGGAACACGATGACAATAATTAAAGGGACAACTGTCTCAATTAGTTTTTGGGGATTGGATGGGCAATCCAAACGGAATATCTTTTTATTTATTTTTTTCTTATAAGCCATGATTAAAATATCGTAGTCAACACTTAATGAGCATCTAAAGATCTGGTGGAACCTATTCTAACAGACAATATTTTCAGAAAAAGAAAAAGTCAAGTACTCGAGGAGCTAACTTGAAAGAACATGTCTCAAATTTCACCTATTTTGAAGCTTCATATCTTGTCTACAGAAAAGCCCATTGGATTTTCAAGGTAGCCCCCAACATGAAAAACCCAAGTTGAAAGCTCGACCTTCGAACTCCATATTTCAACTGCAGCTTGAACAACCTGCCATGGCCAACTAGGTTTGCAAATGGTCATCATGCAGCAGAATTGATAATGGAGGCAGCTCGTGTTTATTTTGTCGAAGTATAAATGTTCTGATTCATGATTTCCCAAAAATCTATTTGGGGAAATCTCGCACTTCCTACATTAGGAGAAAGAATAAATTCTCCTTAATTTTATCCCTAAAATTCAAACTCAGGAAGTCAAAAGAAAGGAACAGACTTTCTTAACCACCAGACCAACCCTTAGGGATTGCAGTCTTGCAGAATGATAATTGCGATACGGCAAGAGTGTGAATGGCTGAAAATGGTGAGGACTTTCGGCAGCTGACACTAAATAAGTACGAAGAGAAGTAGGGTAGAGATGGAGTTTTAAAGGGAGGTGGAGGTAGAAGGGACAAAGGGAGTTCTTTCTATTTGCAGCTCGTCTTGTATCACTGCAAATAATTTCAGTTGAAATAGAAACAAGACAATATCACTTGACTATGATCTATGCAATTCTTGGTTAGTAACTGCAGATTTTGTGACTTTCTATTCTATTCTCTACTTGCATCAGATCAGTTATTTGGTAGACACAATAAACATGGATTTAGAACACTTAAAAATCATGGCGAAGATGAGAAATAATCCATAAAATTTTGTTTTACAAATTCATAAAAGAATCGGAAAGTCACAAAATCCGGATGATATATAAATCTGGCATTCAATACAAAAATTAAATACAGTACAGATAATTTATAACAGAAAACAACAATTTGTTATTTACCATGTACTTCCATATTCAGATTGCTTTTGTGACTGCTGTGTGGCTGAAGAAAAATTATAAGGCTTTAACCACCTTGAAGAATGCGTTGTAGTTTTCTTTCGTGTATTAACCGATCTCCAAAAAAAGTAGAATCTGCAACTTAATGAAAGAAAGATAAGTCAATTATCGCCATACATACGGATCCACTTATGTGCAGTATGAATGGCATGTATGTATTTTTTTAATGAATAAAGCATTCGCTTTGCGGTAAGAGAGCAGCAGTCTGGATTTAAGAATGGGTCCCTTGTGCTCCATATAGGTTTTGAAGCCATTTATTCCTGAAATGGATGAGTGTTTGTTCTAAAACTATCAGGCCTTTATCTCTATCAGGAGGCCTAGCATGTATTATATTAGCTCAAGTCCTTAACTGGAAGATAATCAGCTAACTAAAAATCAGTGTACGCTAGTAAGCACATTAATGCATGCATGAATGCATGGTTCCTGAAACTGACCCATTTGAAGAGTACAGACTATATTTAATGCAGTTGCAGAATAATATTCCCTTTTAATAACTCTAAACGTGATTTTCTATATAAAGACTGCTTAACAACAGCGATATGTAACATTTTAACGTCACACAAAGTAATGGACGAGTCAGTTTGTTCACAACCAAGGAAAGAAATAGTAAAAAGGGTGTTGTGCTTACCATAAACTGTACCCTAAATTTGGAAACAGCCAAATAATAATATCAATCCAATTGTTGTGACGCCGGCAACATGCAGAATGCGAACTCACTGGAACCAAAAGAAAGAAAGCAAGAAAACCAAGGAATCATTAACAGGTCAACGGAAATGAGAAGCAAAAGGCTAGAAAATAAGATGTGAAAACTAGCAGCTGTGATGCCAATGCATGTCATGGTCGACCAGGTAGCTGTATGACCTAAGTCATTAGTTATCCACTTCAACGAGGTGTCCTGCAATAATTAGTAGTGTGGCCAAAGTAATGCATCAAGAGAGAACCTTAGAGACTAGCCTCATGGATCTTCTAGGAAGGACTTTTCCAGCAGAACGCCTTGTGCTTCTTAAAATTATTGTATCACGTTTCCCACGGCCATTTTGACTCACTCTATCTACACATGACCCCTTTCTAAGGAGTTCTTCTCTTGATTTGATAACACTAGACTTTAAAGAAGTCTTGTCAAATGAGTCATCAACCTGCGAGCATCTGAACGAGGCAGATTTGCATTCACTCAGATAACAGCATAAATAAATAAATAAACAGTTGAAAAAGAGATTTTTACGGGAAAAATCAATTACACTGAACTCTCCCTGCCATTGATAGCATTGTTCCATTCCTGCAAAAAGGAGGAATGTGGTTCTAACTCATTAGTGTTACTGGGTATACTTGGCAGAAACAAAGATGGATGTGGATATCTTACCGCAAAAGCTCTGGGTCATCTATAAGAATTAGAATTTTGCATTTTAACAAATAAAAATGTATCAACAAAGTTGCATGATAGTAGTCAAATTATGGTTCATTCTTTATGGAATGCACAAAAGGGACAGAAAGATTTCTGTCCAGGTGATGAACTTACAAAAAGAGACCAGTCATTGTCAATATACAAACTGTCTTCTGCTTAAAATTTGCAAATCTCACGATATAAATCATAGAATATTTGCTAATTGACAGTTCAAAACTTACAGTTCTATCAACAAAAGAGAGGGAAATTTGCATTTTGAACACATAAAAACTACATCTAATTCATTACTCTCAGCAATAAAAGAGACAAATTTAAAGGCAAAACAAAGCAAAATGTGAGATAGAAGCACGAAAATCATCTGGATCATGATCTCATGGAAAGTGCTAATGTTTAGCCGATATAGAACACCCTCCAATTAGGATTACAATGAATGTTCTGTCCAACAAAATAGTGGATATGGACAACTCATATAGCACTAGTCAAAACTAAAGCTATTTTATGGGATAGTATCGAACATTAACTGACATACTTGAATTAGTCAGAACTTCACCCAAGGATCATCATACAATCATCAAAATCACAGGAGAAGATATAAAGGGGCCACAGAATCATTTTGTTATCCATTCATCCTTCCAAATTCTCCTAAGAATGAACCTCACTGTGTGGCAAACAAGAAGAAATGAAGTGATTTCTACAGTGACAACATTATTTTAGTTTAGATAGTGAGACAAGATGAAACTGTCATCCCTAACTTTCTGATAATTTGGAATAACTTCAGCGTAGTACATTGCCTCATGTTTTAACTTGATCTCGAAGGTCTAACATGAGGAAAGAGGCAAGAGATTTAGGACACAGGACATTGCCAGATGCCACACTTTCAAATCTAGATGTAGTAGAAGTCTAGGAAGAAACATGCAAATGCAAGTAAAGTAGAGGAGAAAAGGTATAACCTGCTCTTCGGAGCATGTGGGCACCTGGTTCTCGCAACGATCATTATCACTTGAGTTGGCTGATCCGTCTTGCTCAGATCCTCTATTGTGGTTTGAATCATATGGATCCAAGAATTTGCAGTTTTTATGAGGTAAACATGATGCATCTTTGTAATGGTTTCCAGTTTCTGATAACTGCATCTCCATAAAGCTCCCAGGGAATACAACACTAGCATTCTCAAGATTACAACTGTTCTGCTGGGTTGAATTCTCGCAAACTTCATCATCCTGCTTTGAACTCTGATGCACCAATGCAATAAGATCTACTGAACCATTGGATATGGAGTTTACAGCAAAATTGCAGGCTGTCTTTTCTAATGGAGTATCAGTAATATCCGAGTCAAGGGCAGCAATGCACTCCTTTTTACTACAGGATTCAGTGTTCGAAGTTATCTGGTTCTGCCCATCAGAACTGGGTTTGGCTGAGGCAAGTCCTGGATCCTCCTCTAAGGACTGTGAAACATCTACAGCTATGCCACATGGTATTACGGGTGATGAGATTACGGAATTGTTACCCACATTTGGAGGTCCATTCCTCACATGAATATTTTTTTCTACAACTGAACTAGGAGAAGGTTCAGCTTGCACACAGTCATCCTTTATTTGGCCAGAATCCATATTCTGAAGAACAGAACTTTTCATTTTTTTATTACTCTCTCCAATACTCCCAAGCTCTTGATAAAGACTTCGAGACTTAGCATTAACCACATTGTCGCACAAAGAAACCTGATTTTTATATTTATTAATCCACTCTGATGGGCTTGAATTCAAATCAACACAAAGGTTGATTCCCTCTTCCGAACTGACATGAAATTCAAAAGATGCCGGAAACTTTGCAGGAGTTATCATAGAAGGAAGGGCATTCCCTTTAGCACAGGCTACAGTATTTATGTCTCTACCATGAAATTGGATTGAATCTTCTACTCTGCCACCAAGGCTTAATTGGGGCTTATTATGGTTGACATGACTCCCAGCATATTGAGAAAAAAACTGAGATGGAGATACCTCTTGGAAATCATTAATTACACCACCAAAGATTTCCTGTATATACATAACAAAACAATAATTAAGCAAGAGTTCAGATTTTTCAGTGTTTATAATGCAGATAAAAAGTCCAAAAATCAACAGATTTCTTTAATATCAGCCTCTAACAACTCTCATGTTGATTAACACATGCAGCTTTAAAAATCCATCTTAAATCAATAAAAAAGGAGGAAAATAAATCATGTATGGTCTATTTGGAAGCATTCAAATCTTCATAAACACTTCCACCCAGAAAAAAAAATCAATATTAAGGAAGAAACCTTATTATAAGCTCCAGGGCCTATATTTTCCAATCTATTGCATTTGATATTTCTATTCCCTTTGTCAATCTCCTCTCGGGGACAAGATCTGATATCAAAGCTATCTGCAACAGAATAATGATCAATTTTCATAATAATCTATATCAATTTGGTACGAAGTTGATTTACCGCCAGGAATATAATCCTAAACTCACAGAAATTAGAATCACAGACTTTGGTGGTTTGCAAAGGCACAAACCTTTTATAGAGTTTAATGCAGGCTTTGGCTGCAATGCTGGCATCGAAGACGTGTGAAGTAAAGCACCTTGAACCCCACCTATGCTTGTGCTTGACGATACTAAACTCCAACCTTTCCTCTGCAAAGTCAAACATCAGTTTTCAATGTACTTATTAACAAGCAAAATCCTTTTAATTAATATCAAAAGAAATGTAGAACTCAAAATCTGTCTGTATGGGAAAAAAGAACAAAAATTTAAACCCTCATAGCCATTAGCATGCCAAGCAAAACAATACTAGAACTTGCCTAATTTCACAACTACCTCCTCAAGTACAATAAAACATGCGGATAAGTTCGAAAGTAACACAAAACATTCTAAAGCATATTAACAAAACAGAACCAGAGCTTCTTCGACAATGAACCACACTCAACAGAATCGCTTCTGAAATTCAATATTTCACAAATGAACTTCTGTACAAAAAACCAAACTAGTGATTACTTCAAACTTTCTTCCTAAAGAACTCATATGAATTAGTATACCAAATATTCATAAAACACGCGGATAATTTCAAACAACAATAACAACACTATAAATTAGGCATATTATTAACAGAAATTAAGTTCAAAAAACAAAACAAGCAGATAATTTTCCCTGCTCAATTATTTATAAAACACACGGATAAATTCGGATAATAATGAGAACACTACAAATTTGGCAAATTATTAACAGAAATTAAACTTTCTCATAAATTATTACCATAAAGTAAAAGGCAAGCGATTCGACCATTTCGGAACTTGATTTTCTAGCAGGCAAACTAAATTGCTTACACAAACTTTGAAGTTCTTTTCTCGAAAGTTTGCGAAAATACTCCTTTCCGCCATCCCCTTCCTTATTTAACATCTAAAATTGCAAAAAAATTAGCATAAAATAAGTCTCAATTACAAAAAAATAAGCATGAGATCAAATATTAAAGCATAATTAACGAGCTAAGGTGCAGAAATTTTAATTCAAAAATAAAAGTTAACAGTGCTAGCTCAAGTCTCTAAGGACAGCGTTTGGGAGTTAATTTTACCTGATCGGAGATTTTCCGGGAAAGATGGCGAGAAAGTGAAAGAAAATGTGAGAAAATTCTTCGTGTTTGCGTAGCTAGCAGAGAAGCTGAAGAGCGTCGGCTAATGCCATGTTTTATGGGTTTCATAAAATCTTGGTTTTTCTTATTAATAAAAATAAATAAATCGAGGAAATTAAACTTTGGGAAAACCTCCAAAAAGTCGCCAACCTATAGAGGAATTATTGATTAGGTCCCTAATCTTTTTTAATCTCAATTAGGTTCCTAGTATATCGATGAATTCTCAACTAGATCCTTTCATTAGTTTTAGTTAACAAGTTCGTTAAGTAGTTACTTATAACTCGTATGATTTCCTTTTTTTTCTATTAAAAATTTTGAATTTACTAAAATCCTCTTATCACGAGATGTAAAAGAAAGATCTTTAAAATTCAATGATTTTGTATAAAAAAGGAAAAATAATTCAAGTTTCATATGGCTACTTAACAATTCTATTAATTAAAACTAGTCCAAGAATATGATTAAGAATCCATTGCTAGGTAAGAGATGTAATGGAGACAAAAAATAGATTGAGAACCTAATTGGTATTTCTTATATAAGTTGGGGACTATTTTATGTTTCCCGTAAGTTTTATTAAAATAAATAATATTTTTTGTTGAGCTTCATGTAGTAATTGACTTTCGTGTCTGAGTAGCTATTTTTGGAAATTCAGGAAATATTAATCTGTGCGCTAAATATGGTAACTAATATGGCGTGATTAGGTGTGGAGCTTTCTCGAGATTGAGGAAAGCATGTCAGCCAATAGAATTTGGACTTTTAAGGGACCACATGGTTTTCCTGTGGGAGAGGGGAGTATCTGATTGTAATCAAGCTCAAGTTCAAAAAGAGACTGAGGCGCTGAGCTATAACTTGAAAAATTCAAATGAAAAGGCAAGTTTTCTTTTTCTTTTTCTTTTTTCTTAGATTTCTCTTTATCATATACTATATATACTATTAAGGATTAATAACTCGATTATTAATCCTTATATAATAAAATAATTTTTTAATTTATCATTTTATCTTTAATTAAAATTTTATCAAAATTTTCAAACCATCAAAATTATTCACGTGATTTGTATGTAATTAATATTTATTTTCAAAATATTTTTACGAACTAGTAAAATAAAAGGTTTTTATCAACAAATTGTATAACTAATTCTAGTACCTAATTTAACTTGAAATTCTTGTTAGAATGATAGATTAAAAACATAAAATATACTCAATGGTAAAATTAATTCAATTAGAGATATAAGAATATATTGAAAAATTATTCTATTATATAAGAAGAGATTTATCCATTGTTCTTATTATTTAAAGATAAGTTAGTTTATTCTCTCATATAAATAAATAATAAGAAAAAAAAAGCTTTGTTCTTGAAAGATCATTATTAACAACTATCATTAGTTGAATTTTTTTTTGAATTAGAATTTTTATTTACTTGTAAATTACTAGCCACGGGATATTTGATCCAACTACTAGAACTAATATAATTTTAAAAAACTAAGATATGATTAGATATATCCAATTAATAAAATATCTAATTATTCATAATTAATTCCTGTAAAGTTTTTTTTAAAAAAAAAACTTTTCAAATTATCAATGATTTGAAAGCTTTATTGAACTCGCTCTCCAATGGGAACTTATGAAGGTCAATTGGATTAGGCTGAAGAAATGTCAATTTTGTAGGCTATGAAAAGTGAGTGGGATCTTTGTTTGTTTGATTCTCTTCTCGTTTTGTCAAACAACGTTATCTTCTTTTTCTTTTTAGAATTTCTAGCCGGTGTAATTAACTAACGACCGAATACACATGCAAAAAATAACAAAACATGGGCTTGAGGTTGAAGCGCAGTGGTGAGATTAAGGATCGTTCGTCGATGATATTCGGATTTGATTTTTTCTGTATATGCATGTCATCTCCGCGGTGCCTTACTTATTCATTGGGCTTGCGGGATGTTCAATAGGTGCTAGGGATTAGTCGAGGTGCGTGCTAGTCGGTCCGGATACCTTGAGTTATCAAAAAAAATAATAATAATAACAAAACATATCTATTATCTATTAATTAATATCTGTTATCTACTAGTAATCAATACTAACTTTTTAGCTCCAAGATTCTTCGTTGCTGGTTTCACTGTCTTGGATGAAAACAGATGTAGAAGTCATCAAGGTTACAATTCAAACTCAAGGACCTATCTTGGCAAAGATTAAGGTACATGATCATTATGAACCCTAATAGACAGAAGTTTACAACATGGGAGGGGAAGGAGAGCAATTCGAGTTTAATGGATATGGAAGGTTTATGCCCAATGCGGTAAGAAAGTTTATATTTTTTATATTTATAGATAGTTTAGTATTTTTAGATTAATTTACATATCAATCTAAACTAAATTCATCGTTTTCCGAGTTAAGTCGGCATTAAAATAAACTTAATTTTTAATCGATTATTAAATTATTTTATAGACTAAACAAGTTTATCCCCAATGCAATGAGAAAACATAAGATCTCATTCTTGATAAAAGTGAGAATATCTCTTCGAACATGTGGATGTAAGACGAGGCTAGTATGCTTGACGGGGCTCATAGTGTGCAGCCAAGGCGCAACCAATGCAGGACTCTCTCTTGTGCAAATAAGCAAATTCATGTCTTATTGGCACTAATTAATGTCTTTAATAGTCCCTTTTTTTTTGTGGTGTTACCATCTTGTCACTCTTCAGCCTTGGAGACCTTATTTTATCATTTGTTAGGCTCCTTGTAACATAGTTCTAAACAATAGCTATTATGTAATGATGGTTATTTGAAAAAAAACTCAACAATGTTTTACTCAAACGACGCTATATAATGATAACAATTCAAATAATGGTGGTATATATTATTATTCAAAAAAAATAATTTTGATTTTTTATTTTAAAATAAATTTATCAATAATTAATAATGCTCACGTTATTAGTTGTTGCAAAAGTTGTTTTGCTACAGCAATCAATGATCGCAATTGTGCCTTTTTTACAATCACATCCGTGATTTAAAACTATATCTTATATTGTGTTTTATTTTTGTTTTTTTTAGTTTCTTGATATGAACTTCTATGGTGCATGTAAACCTTTCATCTTATTGAATTTTTTATTGATTAAAAATACCTAACTACTCCCGAACTTTAAATCATTTGAGATTAAGTATTTGCATTTTTTTATTAGTTTTAGAGATCTATGAACTTTTAATTTTTTGAGATTTAGTTAATCTAATGATTTTCGAGTTATCACTTCCTCTTTTAAAAATTCAATTTTTAGTATTTTGAGCTAAAATTTTGTATACTCATTAAAAAAAAGAAAAAAATCCAATCTATTTTGTAAAAAAAATATTCCAACATTTTTCAAAACAGAAAACTATATTTGTTTATGTTTTGAGCATTAAAAATATAAAAAATAAGCAAATATAGAAAATAGTCTCGAAATGATTTCAAATTTTTTCAGGAGCATGTAAATTTTTATGAATGATTTATATTATAAAACTATTTATATGATTGTTATTTTTTGAGATAAATAACAAAAAAAACTGAAAAATTGACCTGAAAAAATTAAATCCTATGAGATCTTCAAAACCAATTAAAAAATTCAGAAACTCAACCTTAAATCACATCAAATTTCAGAGGTGGCTACATCCTTTTAACTCTTTTTCTTTTTTTCTTTTTGGTTAGCTTAGTAGCACTTTATCGGTCTATTCTGAGTTATCAAAAAGAAAACACGAAAGCTAGTTGGAGGTTGATGTTTTTTTTTGTCTTCTTTTTCGCTACGTGGGCTTATCATTGAAGAAGAAGAAAAACATCTCATGAATTTTTCTATGCAATCGTGAGAAAGAGAAGCCGGCCAGCTCATTAAGAGACGGAGACAAGTGTGTCTTCTATGTCTATGACTACTTGTAATAGAAATTCCGATGTTTTTTAAAAAACGGAAAGCTATATTTGTTTATGTTTTGAATATTAAAAATATAAAAAATAAAAAAATAAAAAATAATTGTGAAATGATTCAAAAAATAAAAATATTAAAAATGGAAAGCTAGTTGGAGGTTGATGTTTTTTCTTTGAAATGATTCTATTATGAAATTATTTATGTGATTGTTATTTTTTAAATAAATGACAAAAAATTAAATGTTGAGAGATCTTCAAAACCAATTAAAAATTTCAAAAAATCAATCTTAATCGATATAAAATTTCAAAAGTGATTAGATCTTTTTAATCTTTTTTTTTTTTTTTTGTTAGCTTAGGACCACTTTATCGGTCAATTCTGAGTTATCAAAAGAAAAAATACAAAAGCTAGTTCGAGGTTGATGCTTTTTCTCTATTCTTTTTCGCTGCATGGGAGCATGATTGAAGAAGAAGAAAAACATCTAATGAATTTTTGTATGCATTGTGAGAAAGAAAGCTCATTAATTAAGAGATGGAGACAGACATGTCTCCCATGTCTATGACTACTTGTAATAAAAATTTCAATATTTTTTAAAATCGAAAACTATATTTGTTTATGTTTTGAATAAAAAAAAATCAGAAAAAATAGAAAATAATTTTGAAATAATCTCAAAGTTTTTTAAGAACTCTACATAAATCTCCATGAATAATTTTCATTATGAAACTATTTATATGATTATTATTTTTTGAGATAAATAACAGAAAATTGACAAAATGAGCTAAATCTAAAAAAATCAAAAGTTCATAAATCTCAAAACAAATAAAAAAATTTTAAAAATCAATTCAAGAATAGTTAGAACATTTTAGCCTTTTTGTTAGCGTGGTACCACTTCATCGGTCAATTCTGAGTTATCAAAAGAAAACACGAAATCTAACTAAAGGTTGACGTTTTTTCTCTCTTCTTTTTGCTGCGTGGGAGCATGATTGAAGAAGAAGAAAAACATCTCGTGAATTTTTCTAAGCAATTGTGAGAAAGAGATGCCGGCCAGCTCATTAAGAGATTGAGACAGACAGATATGTCTCCCTATGTCTATGACTACTTGTAATAAAAATTCTTACAATAACTACAGTTGTCCCTTCTCTCTGAGCATCTTAATTAGTAGCTGAGTCAACTCTATGTTAACAAAATAATAAGATTCGATATTGATGAAGAATGGACAGGCTCTAATCACAAGTTGCACACATGATACCACTCCTAATTAACATTAATATCTCTGTAATAAATCCAACCAGATGGAGTCAACTAAACAAGTAAACCCTTTTCTTACTCTTCACTCCATGGCAAGTTTCAGATCTTGACAACGAAAATTGTGAGAAATTTAACTCTAACGTGTCACATGAAGTTAATTAGATCCACGTTTCTAGTGACTATTGTTTGCAAATGTCAAACAAATGATGCTTTTCCTAAACTACACAATAGAAAAAGAATGCCCAAAATATATATTTAAAAGGCCTTGGACTGAATAAATTATAAATTAGTCCTTCCCGTTTTGAAAAAACAAATTAATCAATTTTTTTTCGTAAAAAACTAATCATTTAATTAGTCTTTTTGTTTTAATTTTCTTGATAACTTAATCATTTTATCAGTTTTCTGTTTCGATTAGTGAATTTTTTTCAATCCTTTTTGTAGTTTGTCAACTTTGTATTTCTTAACTTGATATCTAATTTATTTAGAAATGTCGAAATAAGTATATACATTATTTCATAAAAATTAACCCTTGTGAAGGATATCCTAGCCAACTGCCATGACATTTATCATTAAGGTATTGTAGGACATTTAATGCACTCGATAGAATATTGTTCCCATTTATACACCCCAAATTAATAAATTGAATTTAAAATTCACAAGACTCATTTGAATATCAAGGCTAAATCGTAAAATGCATTTTTGAGCGAAAAATAAATATCCTTTTAAATTAAAAAAAATTCGATTTTGCTTCTTAAACAATATGATTTTTTTTCAAAATTTATCTATTTTTTAACCTTTTATTGAAAAATAATAGACAAGGAGCAAGTTTCTTAGCTAGTACGTAAAAAGGAGGCGAGAAGCAATGAGTTTAGGGTTTTTTTCTCGAGCATTTCTCGTTCCCCTACAAAGGAAGGGAGATGTCGCTGCAGCTACTACTAATATGAGAGTAAGACTTGGCCCAGGTCGAAGGATCAAAGAGAAAAGACTTTCGGAAGAGGTGAATCGTACTCGAATGATCATTAACCGGTGTAGGATTAAAGATCAGGTCTAGGATTCGAGTCAAAATATTGACCTTCCCTCTCATCCTAGGGTTTGGCAAGGAATTCAAAAAAATGTCTGTTGTTCTATATCTTATCTCTGATAGAAAAACCCTTAAAAAATCTTTCCAATTCGTCTCTTCTCTCAACTAGTTAGCATGTTTTTCTAGTAGAAAAAATGATAGGATCTGAACAGATTTGTATGGATTTTTTCATCAATTTTCAATAGAACCCTAATAGAAAGAGCAAATTCAAAGAGATATTTTATAATTTAGCTGGATATCAAAGAAATTAAAAGTTCAAACTAAAAATTGTTGTCGTCCTTGGACATGGGAGTTGAGCTGCTCTGAAAAGGGAGAAAAAGAAATCGGTGTTGTCCATCCATGATATTCGGATCTTAGTTTGACAACTATTGATTCCCAAAATAATCTCTCTTTTCAAGCAAATGGCCATCATTATGTTTTGCTTTCAATTATTCTAAGATCTTATTATTTATTTTTTCAAGAATATTTTGCCCAAAACTTATGCAGCAATAATGGTGATGCCAATGTCCAACCGCGTTGGCTCATGTCCCACAAGGAGAATTTGGCAAGAAATTATACCTGAAATGATGTTGGTCTTGCTGTGACGGGCATTACCATGACACCTAATCTTGTATTAGGTGTTTATAAACCAAACTTTGGTAGAGTGGGTTGAAATTAGGCTATGGAGAAAACAACTAATGCTCTACAATTAACTCTTACAAGTTGGCGTTTGTCTAATTGCTTTTTAATGACGCGATAATGAAATTATATAACGTTGATAACATATAACACATGTTATTTATGTGAAATGTCATCATGCTTCTTATCACGACAAATAACAATAATAGATATGTCTGAATCTACTAAATAATGATCGTTATGTTATATAACGAGTTGTTATTTAAAACTATGACAAAAAACGTTAATGCACTAACATAGAAGATGGATATTATTGATATTTTTGTCGAATTCTTTCATGTACAGACAATGCACTTAAAATCAAGGGCATTTCATGCTTGAATTTTGGTGTAAAAATCACTACCAAAAATGAAATATTAGCTCAATATTATGTAACTTGGAGTAATTAGAGATAGGTGGGCATCCTTGATCCCACAAAAGGCAATCACTATATATGCAGTCCTTCTAGTTTGAGAAATGAATTAATATTTTTTTTAACAAAAACATAATATTAAATTAAACGTAATCAAAACTAATTAAAAAATTAAAAAATTATTTTTAAAACAAAAAAAATTAATTAATTCATTTTTTAAAACTAAAAAGACTAATTTATAATTTTCATCTATATATGCTTACCCAACAAGAAAACGTTTAAGGGTATGCTCTAACTAGGAAATTTACATCAATTTCAAACGTCAAGTTGCGGACGCCACGCAAATCTACAAACTCTATAAGTAGTGATTCACACTATAAATAAATACACAATTTCATTGTCATTTCCAACAAAAAAGTATGGAGCCTTCCACTTATTTATCTCAATGACTAAAAGCTTACCACTTCAATTTCTAATTTTTTTTTGTTTTTTGGAATTAATCTTGTTTACTTGATCTCGTATAAGAAATAGTCAAGTTAATCCTTAGTTTTTTTTTTTCTGTATTGATTAAATTAATCTTATTTCATGACCCGATTAAATTCAAATTTTCTTTTCTCTTAACACTGACTATATATATATATAGACACACACACATGCTTAATGAGTCAAACATCCCATGAACTTTAGTTTATTTAAAAATTAATTTTTAAACTTTTAATTTGTGTTTTAATAATCTCTTTGAATTATAATAAAAAAAATTAGTCCATCCTATAATTTTCATTTATAACTCCCTCCTCTTTAAAAAAAAATCAATTAATAGTATTTTGATATGAAGTTTTCCACACACATCGAGAAAAATTCAATTTCTTTTTTAGAAAAATTTCAAAAATTTTCAAGATTGAAAGTTATATTTTGTTATTTTTAAATATTAAAAAATATAAAAAATTAAAAATAAATAAAAAATTACAAGGAATGGTTCTTTTTTTTTCCAAGAAGTTTTAAAAACATCTCGCTAAATGATTTACATCATGAAGTTATTTATGTAATTATTGTTTTTTTTAGAATAAATGACAGAAAATAAAAAATAAACTAGATCTCAAAAAAAATTCAAATAACTCAAAACACAGATTTTTAAATATATTATAGTTTTGGAGAAATTTAACTATTATATATATATATATATAGCGTATGCGTATGCACGTTCGCTCTCTTAAATTCTAATATGTGTGAATCATGCACGCATAATTTATAAGATTTTTGTGTTGATTTAGACAAACAATCAGAATTTACGATTATAGTCCATATAAGTGGATATATAATTCATTCAACAATTTTCTTTCTTTTTTTTTTTCACCATAAAATGAACTTAATTCTTTGACTAAAACTTGTCAATTTTTTCATTAAAAAACAACTCTCTCCCTTGTCCGTCCAAGTAATTTTTCAAATGGTTTTTCAAGTAATTTTCACAAGAAGATTATTAGATTAATAGTCTATTCTCAAAGCCGTCCAAGTCCAAATAAACAAGACAACTCATCCAAATAATTGGGCAAAACCGGCCCTGTCCCTGAAAGTTGCCAGGTGTCACCGCTCCACCAATCACGCATTTATAGCCGTTTATCTGTTTAGCATCTAACGGTCACTGTCAAATCTCCCTTGTCCGTTGGCGCGTTCTGTTCCCAAATGTCTCTCTTTTCTAACGTTACCTTCTCTTTATGATTTAGATCCGTTATCAACGGTCATATTTTTCAACGAACTTTTAAATAAAGTAAATAGGTAAAAATTAACTCTCTCCAACATCCAAAAAGAAGAATAAAAAAAAAAAACCTTAATTGCTTTCATTATAGCGATAACTAAGTATAACTTTCAAGTATTTATATATTATTTATTATCCATCGGATGGAAAATTTATTCACTCATATATCATTCATTAGGGTTTACGGATTTATTTAAATATTATTCATTATTTAACATAAAATGAAAATTTAAGATATCAATAAAAAAATTATAAATGCTACACACACATATGTGTGTATGTGTGTAATGATATTATTTACGGTGTGTATATATTATATTTAATGAAAGAACTATAAATATTTCATATGTATAATACGAATCATATTTGACAGTATTTATATATTGTCTATTACTCAACATATAAAAATTTTAAAAATCTATATCCGATTTAAAATCGTAACTATCTATTAAAAAAAAAAAAACCTTTTATCTGCTCGAATCTGTTGGAATGGTATTCATAGATTAAATTGCATCGATCCCTAGCAAATAATAAATTACTATTCTACTAAGTGACACAAGCCCAACAACAAGAACAACAAAAATAATAACAACGCGTTGTTGACAAAAAGGTTAATGATTATTATATATGGTTGTTAATACGCGTAGAAGAAGAGCAAGAAGAAGACAGCTCTAAAGAGACCTAACTTTTTTCAAGAATACTAACATGAATTCAGCCATTAATGCTCTAATTTTCTTTATATAAGGACTCAAATTTAGTCTCAAATTTCTTGTCAAAACAATAGCTAGCATTAAGGCAAAACAACTCCCACCACACGTTTTCTCTACACTCTTGCTTTCAATGCCAAGTATTTTGCTTAGGATTTTCCTTCTTTACAATCTTCTTAACTCTTTCTTCCTATCCTTGGTCCCAAAGAAACTTAGGTGCCTTCTCCCCACTTCTTGGTACCACCACCCCCACCCCCACCAAGCCAATACCAATACCAATACCAATACCAAGAAACCCTCTTCTTTGCCACCACCACCATCATCGTCTTTTTGTTTGAAAAAAATGGACCAAGCTGAGCTGAAGAGGGTTTTTCAGATGTTTGATAGGAATGGAGATGGGAGGATCACAAAGAAGGAGATGAATGATTCTTTAGAGAATCTTGGTATCTTTATCCCTGATAAAGAGTTGACTCAAATGATTGAAAAGATTGATGTCAATGGCGATGGTTGTGTGGATATTGATGAGTTTGGTGAATTGTATCAATCACTCATGGATGAGAAAGACGAGGAGGAAGACATGCGGGAGGCTTTTAACGTTTTTGATCAAAATGGTGATGGTTTTATCACTGTTGATGAGTTGAGGTCTGTTTTGGCCTCACTTGGGCTTAAACAAGGGAGGACTTTAGAGGATTGTAAGAGGATGATCATGAAGGTGGATGTTGACGGCGATGGAATGGTGGATTATAAAGAGTTTAAGAAGATGATGAAGGGTGGTGGTTTTAGTGCTTTGGGTTAATCATATGCTCAAATTGCACTAATCTTTATTAATTATGGGGTGTAAATATTTTGGACATTAAGAAACAGGGTTGTGAATGTGATTATCAAACAGGATCAGCTTTGCCAACTCTTTAAGCTGCCACTGGTTGAATCAATGGTACGCCGTGTAGATCCAGTTTCGCCGTGGCTACAGTCAGTCGATCATTGACACACGGCGGCACGAGGCAAAGCAAAATCATCACAGACACTGTTAATTAACTTGGGTGGAGGAGGCTGCCCTAGAGTAGTAGGTCATTTGTATTGGGGTTTATTAGTTCTTGAAATTTTTATGATTGGCTTGGTGGGGGTGGTTTCATTGTTCTTCTTTAACTAAAATCTCCATTATTTTTCATTGTTTTATGCTATTTTTTTCTTCTTATTCTTGCAAACTAGAATTTTCATGAAGAGTTTCTCCGAAAAAAACCTTTTTCATTCTCTATTCTGATGATCATCCAGGAGTTTTGCAGCATATCTTCTTCAACTTGCAGATAAAATGAGTTTTATTAGTCTTGCAAATCTTGAGGATGAGATACAGTAAAATGAGCTGTAGGTTTGCTTCCAATTCGGTGCACCTGAAAATAAAATGCTGTCTTAGTCAAAGAAGGGATTTAACCCCTAAATGGTTACCTAAATTTGCCACTGTAAAGTCAAAGAAACCAACTAAACATTGACATTCCTAAAATAGGTGAAAGAAGCAGCATAAAATCCAAAGAAACAGTTCAACAACTACTACAATGATTGAGGTGTCTCTTCAGACATTGTTGACTTCCAATGGAATTACATCTTTGTGCCCTAAAGGCTACAACTGGATACAAAAGGCATGTTTCATGGTTGAAACAAAATCCAAGCCCAGTTAACTGGCTTTGCCAAGAAAAATTCAAATCTGAGCATTAAAGAGATGAAGCATTTGGTTCCCTTGCAAGTCCACACTATTTGTTGAGATGTCAGATCAGAGGAAAGCTCATAATGTAATTTCCAAAATGAACAAGACATGACCTGACTATCTTCCTTCACTTGACTATGAACTACAATCAATGAAATTCATGAATTGCATACATTCTATGTCGGAGCTCTCCAGAAAAAGTTTCATGTCAATGGTACAAGTTCTGCCTCAAGAGGTAACCAGAGAAGTGAGCTCTATGTTCTAGTTTGGCATCCATTAAAAATCACCAAGTTCAATTTCTTTCAAAGTATTAACTATATCTTCTACTCTTAAAGACATGAATTCTTCATGTTCTTTGAGATCTTTAAGAATCATGAATAGCTGCTGTTGGAAAGCTGCAGATCGTTGTTGTTCCCGCTGAAGCTCATCATATAAATCCTGGATCTTCCTGTCCTTTTCCTCCTGCAAACATGGTTGAACATTTCAGAGTTAGGAGAATGACAAAAAGGAAAATCTTGGAAGTATTACAAATGTTGAAAGAATCCAGTATTGGAATCTTGTCATAAATACAATTGACAATCAAAGATATTTCACAGCCTATGCACAAGGGTTTAATCTTTTCCGTTGGTTTTACTTCAAAATGACACGAGTAATCATTTCATGTATGGGATGCTACAATGTCACATTGTTCAATCTTGGGGCCTTCAAGATCAGGAATTGCGCTATATGTATCATTTCAGTTGGTTAACGAACTTTCATTGTAACATATTTTAAGCTTCGTCCACAGGTAGGCATCCTCCCTGGGTTCAAACCATAGACCTGGCATTTGCAAAGCAGAGAAGTACCACTCTAGCCAACAATTTGGCTACAGGCATGGATTTAAAACTAAAAATTCCATAGGCAGGCAACTGATTTTTCAACCATGCAACAGTAAGTACCTTAGCCATTATCCTAACTCGAGTAGTATGGACACAGAATAGCTAAAGCATGGAAAATGTGACTAAGAACATCTCAGGACTCGAGTGTATGGGTTAAAACAACCATACATTCAGTGATAGACATGGAAAAAAAATTGTCGAAGTAATGTACTCATTTCTCCCATCCAAGTATGGATGGCTTACTGATGAAATTGCCACTTAGGTCCCTACCACTGATGACATCAACTTTCAGATCATAATCATAAAAATCTAAAGCTTCATCAGGTTATGGATTTAACCAGAGAATACATGTTTGGATCTGGTTCTGGGTTCTAGCAAGGATGAGAGAGATGAGGTTTCAGGAACAATTACTTGGATATGAGAAATCCAATGACATTTAAGCATCTACGAATCCTTGGAATTGTAAACAAACAGTGCAGGTGGAGGGTGTGATATTAGAAATGTTGCAAAGGGAATTTTCAAAGGAAATAGAGCAACACTGACAAGTGGATATATAAAGGCTGTTATGTATGAATGTCAAATTTAGACATCTTAAAAATCTGTAATGTTAGTCAAGACATGGGTTGATAGCCTGATCATGGATATTCTAATTTCTATAAATTGCTAACTTGATCTATGAAAACGGCTTTGCAAATTGCGAGTGATATCTCAGACATACCTCACTAAGTATATTAATAGTTGGCAATTCTCCGAGAAATTTACAGCGAGTCATTAGCTTGTGATTGTGCTCTTGCATAAATTTGGTAACTACCCATTTCCCTCCATCCCTTGCTGCCAATCTTATCATGGCTTTGCACCCTTCTCTAGTAACTGGACGTGGAGGAAGAACTCTGTCTTTTCTCAGTGAGTGCTTTGCAGCACGAAAGCCTTCTCTAGAACATACAAAATCACGTCCTATAACTGCCATATTCTTTAGTGAGTGTCTGATCCGATTTGTTCGTATAGTGAAGCCTGTTCTCTTGGCATATTCATAATAGAAGTCTCTTGCATCATCTAAAGATGGAAAACTCATTCCAGTATACGGTTCTAAACCATCCACGCGAAAAATTTCCACAGATGGTTCTGTCAACATCACGCCATTATTTACAACACTCTGTGAAATGCATTGCTCTAACAGCCCATCTTCTGATGCTTCATGTTCACTGAAAGTTTCAAAGGTTTCCTCATCCGAACCTCCATCAGTTTCTAGAAAAACCGGCCCATCAGTAACACTGGTCATTATGTTCCCGGAAAGAGAATTCTATCCAATGATCCCCAATGAAATGACAAACAATGCTACTCCTGGCCTCGAGAGATGGACTTAGGAACTACACATATTGAGCGCTTCATTATGAGACAAAACCAGCACATTAAGCATTCAGGCTGACAAAAAGATTCACAAGAACAAAGAATAGTTAAGCATATGAATGTTGCAGCTGCGTTAGCAGGCACTTCAAATAGCACATTTTCACGCAATCCATTTTTATGTGAGGTAGATAATACTCTCATTCTCAAAGAAGCCAAAACAAAAGAACAAAACATTGATGTACCAACGATCCCAATCTCATTTTTCTCAACAACCAATCACATAAATCAATATACTCATTTCTAACTTTCTTTTCCCAAGTAAAAAAAAATAAATAAATAAATAAAGGAAAAGCTTTTTCCTTTCAAGAATCATTAGTAAGAGCTACACAAAGTTTTCCCATTTTCTTGAAAATCAAAGCATCATCATAACCCAAAACTGTTACCAACACCCAAAATGTTCTTCTCCAAACTCTCTCCCTCACTTTCTCAGCAACCAAACAATCTAAAACAGAATTAAAAGGAACTTATCCTACAAGTGTTATCAAAGTCAAAGATTTTGCTTCATTTTAAGTACATTACAGGCATAAAGATTCGATCTTCATTCCTTTTACACCAAGTTTGACATCAATTCTTTCACTTTCTCAACAATTCAAAGGAAACCCACTTCACTAATTCCTCTATATAAAAGATTAAATACAATATGCATAGACAGAGAGATTATTATTAAAAATAAAATGAAAATTTAAGTGAAAGGAAGCTTACTCTTTTGACTCTTGTTTCTCTTGCAAGACTATGAGTCAAGTTCTGTGAGTTCTGTCTTACTGTCTTGTTGGAAACTAGAAAGAGATATCAGAACGCGAATCTTGAGGCTTACCTCTAACGGTCAGTAATTTAGGACAGACCAGGGACAGAGAAGCACATGACGATGTAATGCTTTTTTTTTTTTTTGGAATTTTCTTCAGTGGGTTGAAGTGATTGCTTTTCTAGTGACTTCGTTACGAAATTGAAGTACATTTTCTCATTTCTCGCAGTCAAATATTTGTTTTGGAATTTCTTTTATTTTTCTTTTTTCTTCTTCTTTTTGTGTTTTTCCTCCTTAAAAGTTGGCTGAAGTCAGGTCAGAAGTCACCCTTGAAGGAGTAAATTATAAATTACTCCCTCTAGTTTTGAAAAAATAAATTAATTAGTCCTTTTCTAAAAAATTATTTAATCAGTCCTTATATATTCAAATTTTCTTGTGATTTAATCATTTTTGTTAGTTTTAAATTTATTTTGATTTTTTATTTTAAGAAATAGAAAAAAATGTAAAAAAAAAAGAAAAGATTGACAAGAAAACATGACATTTTTTAAATAAAATAATATTAAATTAAATGTGATCAAAATTAATTAAGAAACTAAATAATTAATTTTTGAAAAAAAAATTAATTAATTAATTTTTTTCAAAATAAAGAGACTAATTTACAATTTACTCTGACTTGAAACCATGGAGAAGAGAGAGGCCTTTCTTTTTGGCAGCACAAATATAGTCCTTTTATTTTTCATGACCTTAGCTAATGGGCCCAAATGTTTGCTTTTTTTGATTGGGTGGAGGGCACAAGAGCCCTAAAGAGAAATACGAGCAGGATGGCAGGATGCAGCACAACCTTCGGCAGAGGCAGAGCTAGAGGGTGGGGCACCCCCAAAACTTTAAATTGTGCTAATTTGGTCCTTAACTTTAAGATATTTCACATTAGGTATGCCTTTGCATACCCAAAACATAACCTAATTTTCCTTTGATCCTTGTTTATCTTAACTTATTTTCATGCTAACTCCTAACATCTTTTTATTGGCCCCTCCAATTTACATATTTCTCACCTACTTTTTGGGGGAACA